TCCGTCCTGTCCCAACTGACTAGATCAGTTGGGTAAATCTGCTCCCGGCTTTCCAAAACTTGATACGAATAAGGGGCCTCAACCACCCCCCCACCCCACCCCCGCTATTCTTGTTGCCGGGGAAACTGTGCAGTCTTTGGTGAACTTTGAGCTGGGCACACAGCACTGATTGTGCCTGACCCCGTTGCACCGAGCGCAGGGCAGGCTTTTTAGTGAGTGATAAGTGTTGATATGGGATGGGGGAAACTATCACCACTCTCTGGGCTTGGTTTTAGTTTGTTTAAAAAGTTATATTAACATAGAGGAGCAGAAAAGTTAACTTGAGCGTGGTTTAAGTGGTTTAATGTATTGTGTGAAGAGGATAAATTCTGTCTTTATGTTTAAATGTAAAGTCGAAGCAGAAGAAGGCTTTGAGCTCAGCAGCTTCAGTCTGATAGAAATCAGCTTGTTAGGAGTCCAGACAGGTGTCTGCAGGTAAACAGGAAATGGATCCACCTCTAAAGAGGACTGGGTCTCATCAGACTCCACCCACTTTTACTCAATATAAAGTCCACCTAATACAAGTGGGTGTGGTGTTACTCAGTGTGATTATTTATTATGACGACCAGGAATGGGAAGAACGGGTGTGATTAAGATTTAATTTATTGAATGAAATTCATCACGTGACGTTGTAGGAATTAAATCTGGGTGTGTTTGTTGTGTGTAAGCCTTAGCCAGAACGCTGAGCTCATCAGGAATTTTGTCACATTGCAAAAGTCCCGAAAACTGTTCTCTAGCTGCAAACTTTGAATCCAGCTCCGTTTTAGCAGTTTTCCTCCATGTCTCTGCAAGTGTGTGTGTGTGTGTGTGTGTGTGTGTGTGTGTGTGTGTTGATGGTGGCTTCTATTCTCATGGTAATTGGAGCTTAGAGATGAGGGTTTTTGCAGTCCTCTGAACAGTTTTGGTGCTTCAGAATGATAAAGGACCATCTCAGAAGGGGTGTTGGTGTTTGAGCTGCTGCCTAGAGGAGCGTTGTTGAAAGGGTTTGATGAAAAGTATAAGCAACAGGTGGGTGAAGCCTCACCAGTTCAGATCATTTAGTGTAGTATCACATTAAACATGTACATTTGGACAGTGCACATGGAATTATTTTTGCTTTTATTTAAAGTTTTCCTACCCAAAAGCTGAAAAACACATAAAAATCAATTATTGTTTATTATAAATCACTGTGCGCACTCCAGATACCATTACAAATCATTTGTGTAACTTCTGGTTGTTATTTGCTATCAGTGTTTGATGAGCCCTTGAGGACTCACTCAGGTGTGACTCACCTGAATACCCAGCGATCAGAAGTAGCTGGAGCTGTTTTCTCTCACAACGTCACTTTATGGTGCTGCAAAGTGCACACCACTCCCTGCTGAGACTGTGTCTGTAAAACTTCATACCACTCTTCTCTGAGTAGAGGGAATCGGAACTAGTTCTACTTTACAGGCTGAAGTGTTCTGATTCCTTTTGAATTTGAGTCACCCGGTTTACCCGGTTGCCTTTACTGACCTTAGATCAGTTACAGGCTTTTAGGAACGTGGGTCCTAATGGCGCGTGCTGCTGCTGCAACCAGATCTGTGCAGATGATCACACGCAATATCACTGAGGTTGTCCTTTACTAAGTTTAGTGTTTACATCAAGATTTATTATAAAAACATCTGTTCTCTATTTAAGACTTATTGATAGAAAGATGACCTTTCTCTGTTGAAATTGATTTAAATAAATTCTAGAAGTGGTTTTGGTTATGTCAGGTTTAGCCTTTGCCATCAAGTAACTAAAAGAATGCCCAAAAGCTTTTTTTGTTAGCGTTATTTGTGTATCTTATAGTAAACAACTTTATTTCCCACATTTCTTCCCCTGATTAAAGCTAAATATGATATTTAAAGGTTCATGTATATAATCTTTTATTTTTTGTTTATTTCTCCTTTTGAGTGAATTTTTCAGCTGTTATATGTTAAACTTTCATCCTTCCTTACATGTCTCTCTGCTTACACACCCAACAAATACTGTGTATTTTAACAGGGAATGGTCCAACCTGCACACGAGCACACCCACATCTATTACTGCAATCAGTATTTCCTCCTGGTAGATTTCAGAAACCCTTTTAAGCAGAACTTGTTTTTGTGTTGCACCAATACTGATCGAGTCATGGATTTGTTATGTGATGAAAAGGCAGAGTGCATTACATGTTTGTTGTCAGGAAACACGCTGTGTTTAAAGTTCCAGCTGGAGATTTTTTTGTCTGTAGGATCTCGTGAGTGAATGAATACTCAATAACTTTATGGGAATTCTGTCAAACTGGGTTACAATGTAGTCATGAGGTTTCACAGGACGGCTCTGGTGGAAGTGGTGCATGTTTAAGCTGGAGAAATGGGGCGCATAATGTGGTGTGTGTGTGTGTGTGTGTGTGTGTGTGTGTGTGTGTGTGTGTGTGTGTGTGTGTGTGTGTGTGTGTGTGTGTGTGTGTGTGTGTGTGTGTGTGTGTGTGTGTGTTTGTGTGTGTGTGTGTGTTAGGTCAAAGGTGGGAATGAAGCCATTCAGTCTGATTAGATTCTGAGTCTTTAGTTTCTACTTTGCCGGTATTGTGTCGCCGTGTGACTTCAAAAAACCCCGTTAGTGAGCTACTTTCTCACCATTGGGGAAATGGCGGCGTTCGGTGGAACAGCAGGGACGGATGTCGGGGCTGATACGGTTCAAGTGATGAGGAACGCTCCTTTAAGTTGAGCTTTAGCCAACTCCTGAAGAGGGGTGGGGTCATTGTGGGAGTCAGATTATGACAGAAGTTCCAAGGTTTTTATTCATATTTAGGGTGGGGAAATAGTGTCAACTGTAGGCGCAGGATCCCTGCTTTATTTTAAATTAGAGTAATCAGAGTTAACATCGTTAGCTCTGACAGCATCTGTCCGAGGAACAAAGGGGACACCACCTCCAGCCGCCTGAAGACAACATAACATTACTGAGACGTCCCTCACTGCTACTTACCTCCGAGTTTTATTGATGTTGATACCTTAAAAAATCAATACTGTCTTAACCCTCTCAGGCTCAAAATAAGTTTTGATAAAAGGACGAACAACTAAGTCCTTCAGGGGTACTTCTGAGTAAAAAAATGCTCATGAAATACGTATGTGGAGTAACCAGGTAGGTAGGTTTTAACGTTGCAAATCTGCAACGCCTGCCTCCAGAGGGTTAAAGGGCACCCTAAATTCATTTAAACAGACATATGTTGGATATTTTAACACTAACAAGGTGGTTTCTTAAAGGGAGAGTTTTCAGTTTTGACTTGCTTTTAGCACCCGCTAGTTAAAGTTAAGTTTGATGGTTTAATCTCCCAATCCAACCATTTAATTCTGAGTGTCTAACAGGGAGGCATTGGGTCCCATTTTTTTTCCCAAAGTCTTTGGTATGACCTGACCATGATTTGAACCCTGATCTCCCAGTCTCAGGGAGGACACTCATACCATATGCCACTGACCTGGTTCAAGTTAGCAAACCCCAAAAGTGAAACTTATCTCTTTGCTTTGCATTCTTCTTTTTAACACCTTAAGCTAACAGCTGAAATGTCTCCCCAGCCTTCATTAGTTTCAACTGAGTGGTTCATCAGTAAATTAAACAAATGGTCTGTGTTCATGATCTAAAACATGCAGGAAATGTGCTGAAAGCAGAGTCCAGTGCCAGGCATGTCAGCTCCACTTTAATAAGTCCAACAGGAATCGGATTGGCACTCTGAAGTGATAATAGGTTGAAAATCTGTCCATGGGGGGGGGGGGGGGGGGGGGGGGTGTCTGAGTGACATTTCATTAACCCTGTAAAGGATCACTTTAGCACATACTGGCTCAAGAAAATTATTTAAAAATATGAAAAAGTTGCATCGTACCCCTTTAATCAGACACATCACAGCTCTCAGCTTTGCGTTAAAACACTCTGAAACGGTCCTGCTGCTGTAGTTGGTCTGAAAATGATCAGGGTGTCCAAAGGGTGGCCTACGGGCATTTTACAGACCCCCCCCCCTCCGAGTGTTTTTGTACGCCCTTGGCTTCAGCCCGCCAGTGCAGGCTTTTTACAGATTTACACCTCCCTCCTTTTTGTTCCTTTCATCCAGCTACTGTGTGTTTGATTGTTGAGCCAGGGCCGTTCTGTATTTCTAGTTTATACAAAACTATGCCGTCAATTTGTCACAACGCTGAGGCAGCATCAGGGAGCCTTAGGTTGTTTATAAATGGTCAGACAATTACCACAATACTACCAAGCGGGGCGGAACAGATGCCACAAAATTCAAGCATCACCATGCCAACATGGCACGTTTATGAGACACACCATTGCGGTAATATTACGCAGATTTGCCGGCACGGTGTGTCTTGTAAAAAGGACTTCTGATGATTTTAAGCACATAAAGTACATTCAGATGATTCCTCTTGGTAGGCACATCAGACACATTTCTACAATCTCCAGGGCAAATATGCATAAAATAGACAAATAGATTTGTTTTGTTTTTTAATCTCTCTCCAGTCCCATTGTACCCCGTCCGCCTCCTCGTCTCTTACTGGGTCTTTTATGTCTGCCCTGTCCCTGAGAGCCCGTTTGTCTGTAGTTGCTGTCACAAGCCTTTGTATCACTCTCAAAACGCCTGGGTCCACTCCAGTTTAGGGTCCATTCATGCAAAGCAGTGATGCATGAAAGAGGCTCTCCCTTCGGTCCAGGGCTCTGCAGAGATCACCCCCTCTGAGAGCGATCGCAGGATGAAAAGCTCCCTGGAAAAGATGAAGGGTTTAGGGCGGCCCGAGTGGGTGGGCTCGACTGTGTTCAGTCACAGAACCTTTTCTCTGGAGAAACAATCTCTTTACTAGTTTAAATGAGCAGAATATACAATATTAGGCTCATGGTAAATTTATTTAAGGTAATTTTAGAAAAAACAACCAAAACAGTGTTTATAAACAAGAAATGGGAATACATTTCAGCGTTTTGTTTTCTTTAATCAGAGATGAAGCTGTTGTCGTCTCAGCCCAAACCCCTGGACCCCACCCCGACTTCAGACACCACTCCCACAGCCGGCACGGGCAACGAGGACCCTGAGCTGAGGATGCTGGAGAAGAGGTCAAAGGTCATCGAGGAGCTGCTGCAGACTGAGAGGGACTACATCAGAGACCTGGAAATGTGTGTGGATGAGGTCATTGTGCCTCTGCAGGAGAAGCAGGTAAAATGGGTTTTTCATTATATTCTTACTACTTTCATGAGGCATGTTTTCATATATGTCATTATTTTGGGATTTTTCTTGCTTTAGATGATGATTTGTCTTTGTTTTTTATTTGTCTAGGTGAATGTGGACTTTGAAGGACTTTTTGGAAACATCATCTCTGTGATCGACTTGTCCCAGCAGCTGTACAACACCCTGGAGAAAACCGACTCTATAGGTAACACGTTGTTTCGAATGTTGCAGCTCTGAACTAGTTTGTTTTCAGTTTTTAATGGGACGGTAAGCCTTCATCCAAACTTTTATTAGATCACGTCTTGTTTGATTTTGTACTATTTTTTTTAGAATCCACTCCTTATGCAATTTAGTTGAATTGAAACAAAACACCACAATATTTTTGTGCCTCATCTTCTCAGGAAGCGTCTTTCTGGACAACAAAGCTGAGCTGGAGGCGGTGTACAAGCTCTACTGCCAGAACCACGACGAATCCATCTCTCTGCTGGAGAGCTACGAGAAAGATGAGAACATTCAGTGCCACATTCAGGATTGTCTAGAGAGACTGAGGTGAGAGGAAACGCATCTAAAAAGGGTTGGTGGCTAGTTTTAGATGTGTAATGGCCATAATACAACAAATGAGGAATGACTTGTTCATAGTCAAAGGAAAACATTAAAGGAGAGACCATTTGTACACAAACCCACTCTTTTTGCTCTCCTCATCTGGATTTGCTCAGTAATGTGGAGCAGCTTGAGAATGTGCCCTGCCTTGTTTCTCCCGCCCGGTATTACCATCTGTAACTCAGATACTCGGGGTGATCCGGCAACATTTGAAGATAAACGCATCTTGTGTTCGACAGGAAGCTGCAAAACAAAGGGGCTTCGTAAGCAAAACAAAAAACCTGATCGTGAACAGCAGAGAACAGCAAATTGCTAAGCTGTCATCCACCCCAAGCCTCTTACTGTATACTCTTTGTGATTTTGTGAGTCATAAGTCGTCGGCCACATCGGGGCAATGAGTTTTTCAAAAATCTTTTATGTATTTGAGAAGTTTTGCTGCAACTTTGAGCAATTCACCAAGTTTAAAGGTGACTTTGCCCACTTAGCTTCACTGTTTCACTGATCACTGTCTAATTCAGCAGTTTAAATCTGTATTAAGGCTACGATGTGCTTTAAAATTCTTATAACCTCCTTTTTGTTATTTGTCCATTCATCCTTTTGACAGGTCCATATATCGTGAGTGGTAAGTCTCTATAATGAGTGTTGGCATGAGAATCCACCTGACGGCATGCCTGTTGCTCACTAACCTGTAAAAGTGACCTTTGTTTGTGTTTCTTGCTCAGAATCAGAGTGGACTTTAAAACTGTGTGTTCTGACTGAATATGTATTTGCATGTGTGTGTCATTGTGCAGAATCCTACTCTGTTTAATGCCAGTGAACCCATTTACTTCCCTGAATAAGCAAAAAGAGGGTTGATTGTGAGACTTAGTGCCACCTACAGGACGTAAACATTATGGCTCACTTTTCCATGCTCTGAAACAACAATTTGTTTGAAAAGAAGTCAAGTGATTTGATCACTTCCACCAAAGTGATTTAATATTTTTGTCCTGTGGATTGCATCAACACTAAGCTAATCAAGTTCCTTTACCTTTCCTTACTCTAGAATTCCTTCCAGATGTTTGGTTCCCATCTAAACGTATGAATGTGATGAAGTCGATATCATTGGATCATTGAATCCATATGATACATGTTCATCTCCATCACAGGAAGGAAATAGATCTCGTCTGTTTCTGTGCTATAATGATTTTATTTCTGCCACAAACAATATTTAACAATCTTCCCCTTTTTTCATTTGCCGACATGCAATGATGTTTCTTTTTTATTTCAGGGGTAAAGCGAACTACATCAACCTGGGCTCTTTTCTGATCAAGCCTGTGCAGCGGGTGATGCGGTACCCGCTGCTGCTGACAGAGCTGCTGGGGGCCACACCTGAGAGCCACCATGACCGGCCCCAGCTGACTCAGGCCGTGCAGGCCGTCAAGGAGATCAACGTCAACATCAACGAGTACAAGCGCAGGAAGGATCTTGGTAAATGACAGAGGCTGCTTACTGTCTGAAAGCAACAGTTCTGCCATTTAAACCCTAACCCTAAACCTGTGGTAGTGAAGTTTTTCCTCCTGTCATTTTAGTGGTGAAGTACAGAAAAGGAGAAGAAAACTCGTTTATTGACAAGATCTCTAAACTCAGCATGCACTCCATCATCAAAAAGTCCAACCGAGTCAGCAGCCACATCAAGCACCTCACAGGGATTTCACTCCAGGTTGGTTTCTGCTCTAAGCTCAACTTTTACCCTAAACCAGGATTTATTGTTATTGTCTGAAACATGGCTCTGTTTTTATTTATTTTTTATGTTTTTTGTCTTAGATTAAAAGCGAGGAATTTGATGATGCTGAGAAGAAGTTCAGGCTGCAGGAGCGACTGATCAAGTCGTTTATCAGAGACATTTCTTTGTATCTACAACACATCAGGGTAGGAGCTCGTCCCCAGGAGAATAGAAACGTCTGTTTTATTTGAATGTGACCAGAAGATTAATGCTTGTACAAATCTTTGTTTAGGAATCAGCATCTGTGAATGTCTTGGCAGCCATCAGCCTGAGTGACATCTACACAGAACGGAGCGTTTTGGATCCGGAGCGCTTCCAGAGAGCTCATCGCAGTATCAGTGACAAACAGTTCACACAGTTTGTAAGTCTTCATCCTCTCATTAACGTTCTACACAGGTCGGATACCACAGTTCTCAAAGTGGTAGCAAACCAGACCCTGAATTTTTCTGGTCCTATCCGTCTCCTCCTGTGCAGAAGGAGCACACAGAGAAGCTAGTCATCAAGCCGCTCTCCCAGCTTCTCGTCATGTTCGCCGGACCCCACAAACTCATCCAGAAGCGCTTCGACAAGCTGCTGGACTACGACAACTGCAAGGAGCGTGCCGATCGCCTGAAGGACCGGCGCACCCAGGGCGAGCTGCAGGTGACGCGCAACAACTACGAGGCGCTGAACGCTCAGCTCCTGGACGAGTTAAAGAAGTTCAACAGTGTGGCGGAGGAGATGCTGAAGGACAGCGTGAGCGCCTTTGCTCAGGCCCAGAAGGACTTTATGAAGATGACGCTCGGAGAACTCAGACCTCTAATTCAGGTTGGCACAGTTACACTCATTAACTTTCTAGATACGACAAACTAATAATAAAGCATGCATGCTTGATGTTTTTCAACTCGGTTCATTAAACAGTTATAGTTTATAGTTATAGATACTCTCCACGCAATGTTGTTGACTGAATTTTTTTATTTTTATCTGATCATTTTCAGTTTTCTAATAAAGTTGGCTCAGAGGGAAACCTGATCACCCAGTTTCAAGAGGAGTACGGTCACGTCCTTCGTCTTCTCCAGAGCTTCAGCTTCTGTCCAGAGAACCTCCCTCCTTCCACCACAAACATGAAAAAGACGTTTGAGAAGAAAACGCTGGAGAAACAGAACTCTAAGAAGCAGCTGCAGGGACTTGTGCGTTAAAATCTTTACTCCAGTGAATAACTCTGCAGTCATTCTCACTGGTTTATCTAATCTTCACTTCTTTCTATGTTTTTCAGCCCAACCACAGTTTGCAGACGGATGAGCACCGAGCTGAACTTCTGGTTCGCTTTGGCCCAGGGAAGCTTTACCAGGCTGAGAGGAACTTTAACGCCGCTCAGGATCTCGATGTTTCCATACAAGAGGGAGACCTCGTGGGTGTGATAAAGCAGCAAGACCCGTTGGGTAGCCAGAACCGCTGGCTAATCGATAACGGAGGTGACTTATTTACACCTCTAGGTGCTAAAGGAAGAGAAATTTAACATGAAATAACTTTGACGTGTTTGTTTTTTCTTTTTGTCTCGTGCAGTCACCAAGGGCTTCGTGTACAGCTCTTTCCTCAAGCCCTACAACCCACGTAGGAGCCACTCGGACGTCTCCATCGAGAGCCAGTCGTCCAACGAATCAGGATATGGTGGCTCCTCCCCCGTTTTCTCCCGCCAGAACAGCAACAGCACTCTGACCTTCAACCAGGAGACGGCCACCGTCAGCTTTTCCACATCTCAGTCCCAAAGCCAGTCCTCGCCACACCCGTCTCTCGACTCAGCCTCGTCTCGCAGGACTCACCACCGAGATGCACCCAGCTCTGAATCTACCCAACAGAGCTCAAACTCCTCCCCCCGAATTCACTCAAATCGCAGAGACTTCTCAGAACAAACTCACAGGAATCCTCCCATTTGGAGAGACTCTGAGCCATCCCAACGGCACACGGACAGTCACAGAGAGCCGTACGACTCCAGGTATGACAGCGGAAACAGAGAGACGTCGGACTTCTCTGAGAGAATGGACTCGTCGTCGTCACTAAAAAACACTCATCTGAAGAGGTATGGACACACGGATAAGGGCTCCAGCTCACCTCAGTGGAGGAATGGAGATAACAAAAGCCAGAGAAAGCCTACCTGCACCAGAGAGGAGTACCACAAGCCAGAACCAGAACAGGACAGTGAACTGGACTGTCAACAGGTGAGTTTGATTTTTGTTTTGAAAGTGACCCTATTTCAAATAAACTAATAATTATTTCCTCTTGAATTTTTCAGATTTATTATGCGCTGTACTCCTTTAACGCCCGTTGTGCTAACGAGTTGAGCATCACAGCCAATCAGAGGCTGCGGATAATTGAGTTTAAGGACATGAACGGGAACAGCGAGTGGTGGCTCGGGGAGGCCGATGGTGGCAAGCGAGGATACGTGCCTTCCAACTACATCCGCAAATCTGAGTACACATGAGCAAAACTTCCAACGGCTGAGCGAGCGCGAGAAAACAAAATACTGTAACTTATTTCTGAGCTGGTTTTGGTAGTGACCGACTAGTGCTGCAAAATCTGCTCCTGCCTATATTTATACACTTTTTTATTCATTATTTTTACTCACTGGATTAATGCGCTCCTGTTTCCAGTTAAAACCTGTGAATTGCCATATTGTCTGGTCCGAATGGTTTGGCTCTTCAGGAGATTGCAATGAAAAATGTTGGACCTTCTCATCACTGATGCACAGACAAGAGCAGAATTCCACAGTTTGAGGCTCTTAAGGTGGCTGCACGTTTGGAGTGTTGACCTTTGAAGTGTTATTTGAAGTAAAACAGGAACAGAGAACTAAATTACCATTTGCAAGCACTCCTTTTGAACTTCAGCAACTTCCTGTGAGGAAGGAGTATTATAGGCATATTGAACGCCTCCACATACTCCTCATGTATATTTACGGCAATTAAATTCTGTATATTTTGGGAATGTGATCCTGTGCCCGATGTAAAGTGATACTAGTTTGAATAAAAAACTGCTTAAATGAAAACCGAAAGATTTCTTTCCTCGCCTCTTTAACTTTTCAGGTTTTTTATGAGCTTTTACTTACATAAAGTGCACAACTTTCCATCCAGCCATCCATTTTCATCCACTTATCCGGAGTCGGGTCACGGGGGCAGTAGCCTAAGGCGAGAGGTCCAGACTTCCCTCTCCCCAGCCACTTGGGCCAGCTCCTCCGGGGGAATCCCAAGGCGTTCCCTGGCCAGGTGAGACATATAGTCCCTCCAACGTGTCCTGTGTCTACCTTTAGGTCTCTTCCCGGTTGGACGTGCCCGGAAAACCTCACCAGGGAGGCATCCAGGAGGCATCCTGACCAGATGCCCGAGCCACTTCAACTGGCTCCTCTCAATGTGGAGGAGCAGCGGGTCTACTCCGAGCCCCTCCCAAATGACCGAGCTTCTCACCATATCTCCAAGGGAGAGAGCCCAGCCACTCTTCGGAGAAAACTCATTTCGGCCACTTGTATCCATGATCTTGTTCTTTCGCTTACTATCCAAAGCTCATGACCATAGGTGAGGGTAGGAATGTAGATGGACCGGTAAATCGAGAGCTTTGCCTTCTGACTCAGCTCTCTCTTCACCACGACAGACCGGTACAACGCCCGCATCACTGCAGATGCAGCACCAATCCACCTATCGATCTCACGCTCCAGTTTTCCCTCACTCGTGAACAAGACCCAGAGATACTTAAACTCCTCCACTTGGGGCAGGACCTCATCCCTGACCCGGAGAAGGCATTCTACCCTTTTCCGAAACAAGACCATGGTCTCAGAGTTAGAGGAGCTGATTCTCATCCCAGCTGCTTCACACTCGGCTGCGAACCGCTCCAGTGAAAGCTGAAGATCACGTTCTGATGAAGCCAACAGGACCACATCATATGCAAAAAGCAGAGACCAGATCCTCAGGTCACCAAAACGGATTCCCTCCCTCCACACCTTGGCTGCACCTAGAAATCCTGTCCATAAAGGTTATGAACAGAATCGGTGACAAAGGGCAGCCTTGGCGGAGTCCAACTCTCACTGGGAACGAGCCCGACTTACTGCCGGCAATGTGGACCAAGCTCTGACACCAGTCATACAGGGACCTGACAGCCCGTATCAGAGGGCCTGGTACCCCATACTCCCAGAGTACCCCCCACAGGGCCCCCCGAGGGACGTGGTCAAACGCCTTTTCCAAATCCACAAAACACATGTAGACTGGTTGGGCAAATTCCCACCCACCCTCCAGGATCCCCCTAAGGGTATAGAGCTGGTCCAGTGTTCCACGGCTAGGACGATAACCACATTGCGCCTCCTGAATCTGAGGTTCATCAATCCGACAGACCCTCCTCTCCAGAACCCCTGAATGGACCTTACCAGGAAGGCTCAGGAGTGTGATCGCCCTGTAGTTGGAACACACCCTGCCATGGACGTAATTTTCACTTTAGAAGTGGGGGGGACACGGGGGGGGGGGGGGGGTGTCTTTACAGTATGCTCTAATGGGAAACAGGCTTCAACACAAACGGTTGTTTTCCGCTTGGTCCTAGAGCTCAACCAGTGTCAATTTAATATAGCGTAATATTGTTTTTGGATGGTAAAAAGTGCAGGGGTCAAAACTTGACTTTGGAAAAAGTGGGGGGGACATGACCCCCCTGTCCCCCCCCAAAATTACGTCCATGCACCCTGCGGTCCCCCTTTTTAAATAAGGGGACCACCACCCCGGTCTGCCAGTCCAGTGGGACTGACCCCGATGTCCACGCGATATTGCAGAGCCGCGTCAGCCAACACAGCCCCACAACATCCAGAGCCTTAAGGAACTCTGGGCGGATCTCAACCACCCCTGGAGCCTTGCCACAGAGGAGCTTTTTAACCACCTCAGTGACCTCAGCACCAGAGATTTGAGAGGCCGACCCAAAGTCCCCAGACTCTGCTTCCTCACTGGAAGTGCACAACTTTGTACAATTTTAAATAAATTAAGGAATGCATAATTACTGAGTTTTAAACTTAACTTTTTGCTGAGAAATAAGTGAATTATAGTTATATTTTTGTTCAAATCTGGAAGATAACATAATGCACAACATCACACGATTCTACATTATGTTGGAGTATATGGTGTAAAGGACTCTCGGCTACCAATAAATTAAAGTTTAGCTCATTATCTGTACAATTGACTGAGCTTTAGCCTTTTTGTTTGGGTCTAGGTAGATAACCTGTGGTTGTTGGGGTCAAAAAGAAGGTTAATTAATCCAATCTTATATTAAAATCCAACCAGTTATTCATGAGTGGGACAGAACTGACTCTCAAGACAGTAAACATCTACATTTTGACCAAAAATCTCCCAGAATGCCTTGTGGCAAGTGATGCGGTTGGCTCTTAGCTACTATGAGACCAAATTTTAGGTCATTATCTATTTGTTTAGAATTAAATTGTACATTTTGAGCTCATATTAATTCTAAGTCCATGCAGCTAATATGTGAGATTGACTCGTTACATGCAAAGTCAGACATTTCAGCATTTATTGGTTATATTTGTGATGATTATGGCTTTCAGCTAATGAAAACCCCACATTCAGATTAGAAGTGTCACACTTGAATCAGCTAATGAATCCAAACACCTGCAAAGGGTTCCTGGGCCTTTAGATGGTCTCTCAGTCTAAGTTGGATTGCTGACATAAATTGACTTTTGCACCAGATTCTGATTTTTCCAGCTTTACCTGCATGTTTCCCTCTGCTCACCGAGAGTAAGAATCAGAATAAAATGTAGTTTGCCTTGGAAAACAACTTTATTGAAACGGCAATAATACCAAGCATTTACTCCCAGCCCAGCTTTGAGTTAAAAGTGACACCGTTCCAAACTCACAGCTGAACCTGCCAGACTAAAGTAGATCATTTCATGGGGTCTGTTACAGAGAATAGAGCCCGTGGCTATACATCAGACACAATTTGCATGGCTGCAGTGAGACTCACCTGCTGCAGATGAAACCATGTAAAAATAAATATTCTGCACTTTGTACTGCCAGTCTCTCAGAAACCCTGGTCCAACTTACAACCCTTCTAACGTACTGTAGACAAAAACATGCATGTTTTCATTTCAACATTTCCATCTTCTAACAGTTCCTGTTCTTAAATCTTCATTTTCATATTTAAAGACAATGGTTCTGAGTGTCAATCAATAGATTTACAAAAATCCTAATAAATCCCTTTTTGTTGAGCGCATCAACAACATCACCAACATGACATCTCCTGCCCTGGTTCAACATACTAATCTCCCATTGCTCACGATAGAACTTCATTGGTGCAGAATCTCACATAACTACTGAGACACAATATCAGTTTGATCAGCTTGGTAAATAAACCACTTAATTCCATCTCTGAACACTATAAAATCTATATAAAACCTCTTGGCTCTATGCGTTTTCTATTGCAGCTTTACTAGACACACTTCTTTGCTCTGTGTTCTGGATGGCAGCTGTGGAGGAGGATGACGTGGAGCTGGATTTCTTCTCCATGGATCTGAAGGAAGTTGTGACGGTGGAAGATTTTTTCTGGACCGTCTGAGTGGTTTTCTTCCTCTTTACGTGAAGTACCTCCATGGCGTCCATGTTGATGCCCTGTTGAACCTCCTCGCTTGTTTCCGTCTGCTCTGAGGATTGCTGCTGCTGCTCCATCTGCTGCTGGTGATGCAGCTAAAATAAAAAAAAAAACGAAACCAAAGAGTAAGCACTGTACTACTATTTGATACCTGTTACAGTTCTTTGTTAGATTTTCATTCCATACACACCTAAAAAGCAAACAAACGAATGGGAAAATTATATGAAATTTGAGTATCCACCTTGATCTTTTGTAACTGATGTAAAATAAAGATCAAATTTACAAAAAACTGAGAAATTTCACAATGGAGGACAAAGGGATTCTGGTTAAAAAGAGTGAGAGACTCCGCCCCTTTTGGAGCTATACAGCTCAGGTGGACGTCACAATAAAAACGTCATTCAGAGTTTAAACAGGAAACTGTGATTTTACAAGACTGAACAATTAATTAATATTAAACGATTGTATTTAAAATGTAATTATTTTTTGAGATTTTTCCATTTGATGATGTCAAATTTAAGATTTTAGATTGTAAAATTGTAAAAAAAAAAAAAGTAACCTTTTGTTATTTTCACAACATGTTTAGCAAACGCATAAATTATTAATGAAAAATAGAATTTCTGTTCTGGTTATGCCTGTTTTTACACTTCCACAGTAAAATCCACTCTCCATGCCGTCTCACCATCATCATTTGCTGATACTTTGCAATAGCCTCGTCGGTGCTAACCCCCTCCGCCAGGCCCAACTCTGCAGCCCTGCGAGCCAGCTCTGCCTTGTGGGAGCCGGGCGGGGTCCATCCCACTCCTCTGATCCAATTCAGGTCTGACTTGTAGTTCACCTGCAACGATTATCAGACCTGATTTAAACATGCACCTTTTCCCTTTGAACAACCATTTTGTAATCCATGCACTTACATCACTCTGCAGCCTGTAGGCCTGCTTGGCATGCTTGACGTTGAGCTGCTCGGGGTCACAGGTGTAGTCGTGGAGTTTGTTCCTGTAGGTGAGGTCACTGGCCTGAGCTTGGCTCTTTCTGGCCTGCAGGAACTCGGGCTGGTCCGGCCTTATGTTGTAATGGGATCGCTCCTCCTTGGACTGACGTGCATACTCCAGGTTGCTCTGGAGCTTGCTGGCTGCCAGAGAGTGCACCATCTTAGGGTCATCCTCCACGCAGCGCAGCCCCACCTGGTGGCCCTTGTCCTTCAGGTGAGACTCCTTGTAGCGGTACTGTTGAAGTAAATAAAGAACTCATTAGAAAACCCTGATTTGGTGTCTTTTTCTGCAAATTTGCAATTAGCACATTTTGGGTAAGGATCGTACATCACTGGCGATTTCTCTTGAGGCTCTGGCAGTTTGGAAGGGAATAGCATCCAGTCTCAGGTCACATCCTGATGTCTTCACCTGCTCTCCAGATGCTTTGTAGACTTTCTGTGTGGGAAATAGATTTTAAAACACAGTTATTACAGATATTAGCAACTTTGGGAAATAACTTATTGTTTATGATGGCCTTACATCACTGATCTGCTGAGCGTTGACCTTGGCTCTGACAAAGTCTGGGTCATCTGCATGTAAGGTGTATTTATGCATGTCATCATCCTTTCCAGATTTGTACAGCCTCTGTAGCAGATCCCAACCAGACACAAACCGTGCATCAGTTTCAGAATTCACAGCCATTGAAATAAGGTCATGCATTTAGCTGATTCATGTCTTCATACCTCACTGCAATGCTGATAGCTCATTTTAGCGTGCATAATATCAGGAGAGTCAGGAACCGAGGTGAACTTGAGTCTGTCGGGCAGCTGGCGATACTTCTTCTGCAGGACGAAACAGCACATGGGAGAGACTTGAGATGAAAAAAATGTTTATTTATTGTTATAATACAATCACATATTAGAATAAAACATATTTCAATAATTATGATAATATTATCTTTTAAACAGTTTAAATATATATATATTATTATTATAAATATTAATAATAACAAGATGCTGTTGCCATTTACTCCGACACCTGAGAACTTTGAAGCTCAGTTTTGATTTTAAATAGAAATATTAAACTTACAGTCATAAAAATAAATAAATAAAAAACTGAAATGTGGAAATAACAAAAATACATCTATGTAAAAAACCTAGCAATCCAAAAACATATTTCAAACAATAAAATATTTTGTTAAATTATGGAATTGTAGCCATTTTGGTCAAATCTTGAAAACAATTTGATCTCATCTGAACTTGTATGATATGACGTGATCTGTTGGTACTTGAACCATGTGTTGTGAATGACCTTTTGAGATGACATTTCTCACCTCACTGATGAGTTCTCCTGCCTTCTTAGCTGCCTCCAGCTGAGGTGCACCAACTCCATCCCAGGCCACTCCTTTCATGAAACTCAGGTCTGACTTGTAGAGTTTCTACGCAAAACAATGTAAGACCATTTGCATCACATTTCGCTTTGAGTGGATTTTTCTCCCGTGTGATTTTATCTCACCTCACTCTGTAGGTTGTAGGCTTTTTTAGCCCACTTGACCTTCATGTCATCAGGGAGCACCGTATACTCATGCAGCCTCTTCCTGTAGTCCTGATCGCTGGCCAGTGACTGGGCGTTCTTAGCCGCCACCAGATGGATCATGTCCGGGGTGAGATGGTACTGCCCGCTGGCTGACAGTGCATCCCTGCGGTACTTCTGGTCACTGGCCAGCTGACCGGCCTGCAGACAGTGCTGGAGGTGTGGGTCATCTGTGACACTTCTTACTCCGATGTGCTTCCCCTTTTCCAGCAGGTGGTTGTGTTTATATTTGTACTAAAGACAGAAGCATAATTTTGCATGGAATTATTTGTCCACACTACCACAGAACAATTTTTGTTTATAAACGATCTGATATGAACTTACATCACTGGCAATGCCTGTGGAGCTCTTAGCAGACTGGAAGGGGATGTCCTGCATGGTGAGCTTGTAGCCCTGAGCTCTCAGAGTGTGCCAGGACTCTTTGTATTTTATCTGCAGCAGGACAAATAAGCACTCCTCTTAAAACATCACACACACACACACACACACACACACACACACACACACACACACACACACACACACACACACTACTGCACTGCAAACTGCTGAGCCGAATAGTACCTCACTGAAGTTGGAAGCATTGATCTTTGCTTGTGTGATCTCTGGTCTCTCAGTGGTAATGGTGTAGTTGTGTTGGTCATTTATCCCTTTTTCTTTGTACAAACGCTGTGAAAGGGAGAAACAATTGTCGTATGTTTTTGATACATCTTCTGATACTGAAGAAAAGCGAGAACAAACCAAATGACTCACTTCATTTGTGATCTGATTGCTGAATTTAGCGTGGACGATGTCTGGGGAGTCTGCAACAACAGTGTGCTTGAATTTGTAGGGTTGCTGTCGGTATTTTTGCTGTTACAGAAGAAAAAACATGCTATTCAAAACAATAAGGGCCTTCATGCACATTTGCATGGCCAAATGTAAGAGAATACATAAATACAAATCAAAGATCATGTCTCACCTCACTGATGAGGTCTGTAGCCCGTTTGGACCCTTCAATCTGCAGAGAACCAGTAGCGATCCAGGCGGCACCTCTCAAGTAATTCAAGTCAGAACGATACAATTTCTGTGGAAATTAGACAAAAATGCATGAATGTACACACCTTTGAGACATCTATTAGAGCACTCCATTGCATGGCTTCATTTTATAGAAGAAACAAGGTCCTAATTTGCACTTGAGCAGAATCAGACACATTTTTATGGGAATTTATAGAGCAAAAAGACAGAGTCGGTAAACACAAAAGGTGCAACTCACCTCACTCTGCAGCGCGTACGCCTTCTTAGCAGCCTGCAGGTTCATGTCATCGGGCAGTGAGGTGTAGTTATGCAATGAAAGCCTGTAGTCGTGATCACTGACCAATGACTGAGCCTTTTTAGCATGAATGACATCCATCATGTCCATCGGCAGCTGATATTTTGAGAGCTCCTTTGCAGATTCCTGCTTGTACTTAATCTAAACAGATAGCAAAGGATAATATTTACAAACAGCAGCTTTTATTCAGATAAATTACAGCTAAGAAGCACTCACATCACTTTGTAGCCTGCTGGCGTGCACCGAGTGAGCAATACTCAAGTCATCCTGCAGTCCCTTAAGTCCAATCATCTTCCCTTTGGATTTCTCAAACTCTCCTTTGTACTTTTGCTGAAATTGAACAGTGACACAGCATCAGTGTATTGAACTGTTCTGGAATGCAAAGATTTTATTTGTGCTTGCATGAAACCTTACATCACTCAAGATCTCCCCAGATGCTTTGGCAGACTGGAACGGAATAGCGTCCAGATGCAGCTTGTAGCCTCCATCGCGTAACTTGTTCCAGGATTCCTTATAATGAGTCTAGAAGAGCATCATAAAGAAAACCCATGATCAGACACAGACTGATTAGCTGTTTGATGGATCCTAGTTTCTTCAAAACATAATCTTACCTCACTAATGTTTTTGGCATTGATCTTGGCTTGCACCAACTCAGGTAACTCTTTGTTGAGTGTGTAGTTGTGCTTCATGTTTTCCCCTTTCTCCCTGTACAACCTCTGCAGAAACACACGACAACCCAGATTACCACTTAAAAAGACTAATCCCCAGTTTTGGAGAAGTAGCCTCTTTTGTTAGTAGCAGGAAGTTTAATCAAAATTTAATCAAATTACAGACGGATTACAGGTTAAACTTACATCAACAGCCAGTTTATTGCTGAGTTTGGCCTGGATCATTTCTGGAGTGTCTTCAATGCTGGTAAACCTGAGAGAGCTGACATCCTGTCGATACTTTTTCTGGAGAAACATAATTTAACATAAAATATGGAGATGCATATATACTCTTCACACAGCAGAGGGCAGTAGGATCACATCAAATACCATAAAGTACTGTAAATTGTTATTCTGTTGAACTTAGATCGTTTTTTTTTACTCAGAGACATGGCTTTCATCTCAAATGTGTCAAATATCAGTTTTTAATGATTTTAATAACAAATAAACTTTTTGACCCTGCACCCGTCCCCCCTCTCTGCTGTCCACTCCTCGTTCCCTTCTCTCCATGATTGATGTCAAGTTGTTGTTGTTATTGTTGTTGTTAGCCTCAAGGGCAACATGCCGATTACCACTTGTGAGTCGCTTTGGACAAAAGCGTCAGCTAAATACATAAACATAAACATATTTTTGAAGTCCAACCAATTTCAAATAGCTAGGAGGAATTAATGCCCTCTTACAGGTGAAACTCAAAAAATGAGAATATGTTGCAAAAGTCCATTTATGTCAGTAATTCAGCTTAGACTGAGAGACCATCTAAAGGCACAGGAACCCTTTGCAGGTGTTCTTGATTCATTAACTGGTTAGAGGGTGTGACACTTTGAGTGTAGAATATTGAACCTTTTCACAATATTATAATTGTCTGATATTTTTAATTTGGGGTTTTGATAAGCTGCAAGCCATAATCATCACAGTTAAAACAAATAAAGACTGAAATGTCTGGATTTGCATGAAATGAGTCTGTCTCATAAATTAGTTTAATATTTTCAGATGAATTACTGCAATAAATGAACTTTTGCACCATATTCAAATGTTTCTAGTTTCACCTGTTAAAAATGTTTAGTCAGAAATATAAACAGAATGGAGCTTAGTCAGTTGCTGGATTTAAAAAAAATAGATATAAAATCCTGCTTAAAAGGAGCTCTGTTATATTTGTGTTCAGTGAATGTCATGGTCTGCATCCTGCGTCTCCCTCATGTGTCTCCTTGTGTTCTCCATCCCTCTCTAGGTTTCCCTTATGTGTCTCCTTGTGTTCCTCATGTGTCTCCTTGTGCTCCCCAGGCCACTCCAGGTATTTTCCCCTCAGGTGTTCCCCCAGGTTTCAGTGTCCCTGTGTTTCCCCCGCCCCCCTCCAGGCTCTCTAGGTTTCCCTCACGTTTTCCCTTTGTCACCTTTTTTCATTAGTCTTCTGTTGTGTTTTATCTTGTCAGTATTCTCCCTCTAGTTCAGGGGTGTCAAATATGCGGCCCGCGGCCCGGATCCGGCCCGCAAACGGGTTAAATCCGGCCCGCGAGATGGTTGTGTAAACTTTATTTTCATACTTTACAATGTAGAGTGAAAATAAACTTATCTTTGTGAGCAAGTTTTCTCTGTAATGAGTATAAATAAAACAAAGCTGCGCTCAAGGCTCACACAAGAACTTGAATCACATCCTGAAGTTGGTCGCCACTCAGGATGTGACTTCTGATACTGATACTTTTTATTTATTTCAAATTTTCAAGTACACTTCAGGTGTTGTACTTGTACTATTTTGGATACACTGTCCTCAGGTTCCAGCCTTGTTTTATATTGATTGTATTAAAACAAAGAAAACAATCTGAAGTTGTTTTTAATTTACCGGTCCGGCCCACTTGGGACTAGATTTCTCGCAATGTGGCCCCTGAGCTAAAATGAGTTTGACACCCCTGCTCTAGTTCATTTTGCTCCCTTCCTCATTTTTAGGTCTGGTTTCCTCCCCTGCTCCGTTCTGCTCCTCCTCTGTTTATTGGTCTCACCTGTGCACAATTCCCTAATCACCCAGCCCCTGTGTATATAACCCTGTCTGCGTCTCAGTGTTTTGTTGGTCCATTGTTTGTGTCAGCGTTGTCTCGTTCCCTCTCTTGGTCTCTTGTTTTGGATATCTCCAGGTCTGCTCTTTAAAGGAGCACTTGGTCTCTAGGTCTCTAGGATTTTATGCATTAGGATTTTGGATTTATGTTTTTGGCTTCCGGCCCTTTTTGGAGTTTTTACTTTGGACAATTATCCCTAATGAAGGACTTTACTTTTTTTCTACAACTCCTGCCTTGTGTCATCCTGTTTACTGCAGCTTGGGTCCTAACCTCCCCCCAACTCACAGTGTGACAGTCATGTTTAATGATGGTCACCCCGACTGGAATGACCCTTAAATAACCGGGGGTATGAATAGAGTTTGCTGCCTCCAGTCTATAAATGTGTCACGAAAAAGATCTTCATGTTCCAGTCGCACGGCTTTATATGACATAATTTAGTGATGAGGGATGATTCAGCTTTAACTATTTAAAGAGTGGGTGACCTGAAGGCCAAATGACTCGTGGGTTAGCAATCACTACAATAAATGTGAACTATGCTGGCAACCATGGTAAATGTCCAAATTAGCTTTAAGTCATGTTTAATGAGGACATGGCAAATATATAATAATAGTGCATGAAGCATAAATGAAAATTATATGGCATAAAAACTGAAGCAATATTCTCATGTGTAAGTGTGGGTTTGCTACAATGAACAGTCTGTAATCTGTAAAAAAAACTATTATTTAGACTATGACCATTATCCAATCATGGTGCAGTGATACTTCAGATTGAACTGTGAAAACTGAGTGTCAAATTAGCTCTGTCAGTAATATTCTGCATTAATTAACAGGCTAAAGCATCTAAAAGCATTTGTCTGACAGTGTTTTACCAATAAATATGACTTACTGAAATAGTTATTTTGGCTAGTTTGTTACCACTTTTATTTAAATGCAAAATAACTAACATTAATACTAATATTCAAATGTGCAGTGCCATTTATAAAGTAACTATCACAGCTACAGAGGGGGCCATAGAGTTGCACATTACCTCGCTAACCAAATCTGCAGCTTTCTTGGCTTGCTGGACATCCAGAGACTTTGAAGCCTCCCACCCAACACCCTTCATCCAATTCAGATCTGACCGATACCGTTTCTAAAGATGGATGAGCACATGAAAAAAAAAAACAGCAGTCTTGTTCATTCGCCCTTTCTGCAATGGTATGAATGTGTTAGTCAAGAGACGTACATCGCTCTGCAGGTCGTAGGCCTTCTTAGCCCAGGTGACGCTGCGGTCAGTGGGCAGAGTGGTGTACTCATGGAGGAACGTCCTGTAGTTGGTATCGGTGGCGAGGTCCTGGGCCTTCTTAGCGTGGCTGATGTTCATCATGTCCAGAGAAACACTGGAAAAAATTTTCATTTAAAACCAAAAATTTTAGATTTTGTTCCATTTACTTTATATCCGACTGTTATTGTTTTGTGGTGACTGGTTTCCTTTTTTGCAACTACAAATGCTGATTAAGAAAGTTTCTGTGCTGTTTTGTGCTAAAAATCCCCAAAATATAGAAAACCAGGGGTGTGTCCAAGGTGTGGGCTGGGATGGCACCATCGACAGATATGTTTATAGGGTAGCACACGCCACCCTTGGAATCTGATTGGCCACCCCACTGAGTTAGATATACTTTACATTGTCCACTAAAGTCTTAGGGTTATAAACCCCAAAACAACTGGTGGCAGCAATGCACCAAGGAGTAGATTGCTGAACAGCTAGACGAAGAAGAAGAAGGCCCAATCCCAAAAGTCGCAATTCCACACTTGCACTCTTCGATTGCACGATCCCAGCCAGGGGTTCAAGTGGACAGGGCTATTGAATTCCGGGCCTCAAGGGCCAGCATGCATTACGTTTTAGTGGTTTCTCTGCTCCAACACACTATTCAGTGGTTGAATCACCTGTGCAGCAGCTCATCAGGCTCTGCAGAAGATTACCTGCTAATTGAAATCAGGTGTGTTGAAGCAGGGTTAAAACCAAAACGTGCTGGATACCGGCTCTCTAGGCCTGGAATTGAATAGCCCTGGCGTAGGGTGTCTCAAGTGAGGAAGTTGACCAGGCCCCTTTTGCACCCTTGATCCGCACTTCACCCAAGTCTGCATCAATGTGGACTTGGGTGAAGTGTACTACCCACAATCCGTTGCTGCGGGAGCAAAGGCTTGAGTGCCTTTTCTGAAAATATTAATTTTCAAATAAACATTCATTTTAGGATGATTAACTGATGCTCTGAATATTTAAGACAAAGCAGCAATGAATGTAAATTTATTTCAAATAATTGTTTGGTTGTTTGTTTGAAAGTTGTTTATAAAGGATTTTTTTTTATTGTAGCGTAGCGACCAACATTCCAACATGTGTTGCAGTTGAAAACACAATGCTCCCGGTCCCAATTCAGCAAATATTTGCACAATTGTGTACCGTGCACTCGAAGCCTTGGTGCTGAAGAAGAAGAAAAAGAAAAAAAAGTAGAAAAAGAAGAAAAAAAAACAACATGACACTCACAAATTCACTAGAATGCAAAAAAAATTACTATTTTTTTAAAGAAGAATGATTTTGTGAGGAGTGATACCCCTCTCCCATCACCCAATAAATAAATAAATAAATAAAATAAAAACTTTTTTACATTATAAAATGAAAATAGAAAAATACGAAAGTGCCCCATCTGGGCCACCCCGTTTTAAAATGCCTGAACACGCCACTGTAGAAACAATTCTAACCGTTACAGTTTCAGTGTTGGAGTCTCAGCATGCTGTCATATATCAGAGATCCTTGCCTGAATTTGTTCTTTGTATCCTTGTAGTTCTTCTTGTAGTGAAGGTCACTCTGAAGTTTGGTGGCCAGAGCAGAATGGGCCATCTGAGAGTCGTCACTGACTGATTTAATGCCAATCACTTTGCCTTTGCTCCTCTCATACTGCTCTTTGTATTTGATCTTAAAGAAACAACAGGTCAAAGCTCCTGTTAGTTCAACCTTAAGACAATGAAGTAGAAAAATTCATCTTTAAAGCATTTTATACATTTTTCAGCCAAACTCACATCACTGGCCAGGTCTCTCTTGGCTTTCGCTGTCAATATAGAAAGAGAGTCCAGAGAAAGCTCAAAACCCTTTTCTCTCTGCTTCTCCCACTGACTCTTGTAGGATTTCTGTTGATGCAAACAGAACAATCCTCCATCAGAAACGTAGAACATTTATTTGAAGAGGACAAGTGAATTTCCTGCAACGGTTATCTACGGGAAAACATCGTAAAACGAATAAGCAATGAGGAGTTTGACTGTAATGAAATGATCTAAAACCTGAGTAAACAGAGGCCATGTTTTCTATTTATTCTATTTTAGAGTCGTCAATAAAAAAGTAGTCATGCCTGGTATTTTTTTAATGTACTTCTAAAATTAAACCTGGATATTTAGTAAAATCGTGGAAAGTGCAGCTTGCAAATAGAAATTAGAATTTAAGTCATTTTCATCTCTTTCTTTCCCATTTAATTCCCAGCTTTCCCAGGTAAAAGGAGGAATGACTTAAAGCAGGGAATTTTTAAATTTATAACAGCTCAACCTTTTAAATAAATAAACAAGAAGCTGACCAGGACTTACCGCGCTGATCAGGTCAGCGTTTGCTTTTGCTTGTCTGAAAAGCGGCTCATCCTTGGTCATGGTGTACTGGTGAATGAGCTGCTCCGTGTTTGCTTTGTACGCCAACTGGACAACCAGAGAGAAACTTGTTATGAGAGTGGCACCAAAACAAGAGATTTCTGCTTGATCTCATCTTTTGAATATTACATCACTCTGCAGCTCCTGACTTTTCTTGGCGTGTTTGATGGAGAGGTCGTCTGCCACCTGGGTGAACTTGAGTTTGTCTGCTTTTTGACGATATTTAACCTAGAAAAGAAAAGCACATGGCTGACATTCTAAAGAGAAATCATGGTGAGGATCAGTAACAGCTTATTCACTCACATCACTGAGCAGCTCTCCAGCTTTCTTGGCCTGAGTGATGTCGAGACAGCCCTCAGCCTCCCAGCCCACCCCTTTCATCCAGTTCAGGTCTGAACGATACTGGTTCTGTGGGGCAGGTGACACAAAATCTCAACAACATTGTTTATTTATGTGCTACATGCAGCAGCTTGCCCTTCCTACCTCACTCTGCAGCGAGTAAGCCTTCTTAGCCTGCTGGACTTTGATGTCATCAGGCATGACGGTGTAGTCGTGAAGTTTTGTGCGATAGTCCAGGTCGCTGGCGAGAGCTTGAGCCTTCTTGGCATGGCTCAGGTTGATCATGTCCAGAGGAAGGCTGTACTGTGCCTGCTTTTCCTTGGAGCCCTTTTTATACTCAATCTGTGATGGAAACAGTAAGAAGTGTGTGTTCTGAGTGGGTAGGTGCAGTAAGTCATCTTTGCACACTTAGGAAATTTGATTTCTGCTTACATCACTGCTCATCTTGGCCACATGAAGAGAGTGTAGAGTCTTGGAGTCACTCATGTTGACCCCGATTGCCTTTTCCTTGTTTTTCATGTAGAGCTCTTTGTATTTAATCTGAAACACAAGATTAAATTAAATTAAAGCCACTTGTATTTAGATATTTTGCTCAGCCATCCGTGTGTGTGTGTGTGTGTGTGTGTGTGTGTGTGTGTGCGCGCGTGTGTGCGTGCGTGCGTGTGTGTGTGTGTGTGTGTGTGTGTGTGTGTGTGTGTGTGTGTGTGTTCCTACATCACTGGCGAGGTCTCTAGAAGCTTTGGCAGCTCTCACGCTCAGGTCGTCCAAACCAGTCTCACACGCTTTGGACTTGGACTTCTCCCACTCTTCTCTATATTTAATCTAAGGGGACAATCAACAATGGATTTAAAATACTAACTTGACATTTTCTCAACTAAGCATGTGTGCATGCATATTGTGTCACCTCGTGCAAACTTACATCACTACACAAAGCTGCATTCTCTCTGGCCTTTTGGATTTGCGGCAGGTCCTGGGATAAAGTGTACTGGTGCTTTGTCTTCTCATAGTCAGCTTTATAATTTAACTGGGGGACACAGAGATCACGTGTCATATAACTGCCCCGTGATCTCAGTGTTCAGAGGGGCATTTTAACAGAAAAACAAATCCAGATTAAGTGATAGAAATTCATTTTAGTCCAGAGTTTACTCACATTGCTGACAAGCTGAGCGTTCTTCTTGGCTAAAACGATCTCAGGTGTGTCAGTCACAGACTTGTACTTGACCTGGTCGATATGCTGCTTGTAGTTCTTCTGCAAACATAAGAGATGCTTTAGCAAATCCCATGATGTATTGGACTCGTGAATTTACTCATTTGATACAAAGTGGTCTTGAATAATAGTTTTTCAAGTGTTTGTGTGGTTTTTAAAGTTGTTCTTGAACCAGTCATTTACCGTGCTTTCCTTTAGTTGTAAGACATTTAACTCAGCTTGTGATTTCTTCTGGCTGAAAAATGTCTCTCTTTATAGGTGTGGTTCACTTTTTTAACCAATACATTTCTAATGAATGCCTTGCAAGTTGTACTCTCGGTACAAAAAGCTGTGGTGCGCCTGTTTTAGGGTCTAGAAGATTACCAAATCAGAGGAGAGATTCAGATGGCAGGATTTGTAGTCTTACTTCTGGATATTTGGACATCTCAATTCTGATTCGCTTACAGAAACGTGACTATACCACTGACTGTGTTTGTGTTGCAACGTTGATGTTTTATCTCCACAAATAACACAATCCTGGAGAAGTTCTGCTGTGTGGTGGAGTTGTTCACGCTAACAGTAAGCTTCTACTAGGACGTTCTCTGCAGTTTCCTGGACATTGAACCGACAACATCCTTCCCTGTCGTGAGTCAAGATGGGTGAGTCCATGAATGCTAACTGACAGTGTGACGTGGATCTGTCAGGATTTTCAAATCCTAGAGTTTCACTGTCTATTTTCTCCCAGAGGCTAATGCAGGAGATAGGTGTAGGAGACTATTTTCATGCTCAGCCTGCATGAAAAACTCAGAATGACCGATTATTATCAGAAATAATTTAAAAATGTTTTTTCAGTGAACCACACCTTTAAACTCATGGGATGAGTTCCGCTGACACATAACAGACAATTTAGCAATAAAGCATATTTAAATGCGGTTATTTTTACTAGCAGCACATTGATACAATTTAATTTTTTAACATTTTGCAAGTAAAATTCATCCAACATACCACAAATGACAATTTGAGATGCAAAACTGTGCTTTAGCATAAATGAAGAGGTTTTTCTAGAATTTTGTCCTTAATTTTTTAGTTTTCTGATTTTTCAAACATCAAGATGAGCTATGTGCTGTTGCATGTACAAGAACAGAAAATGACTCAAAAGCAGGCAATGTACAAAGACGATCCTAGAAAGTTGGCAGAACTATTGATCAAACCATGTCAGAGGAATAAAAGAAACTCTGGTTCTATGGAAGAACAATACAATGAAACTGGAACTGAGTGTTTAACTCAGACTTGAACTCTGGGTCAACGTACATCTTTGAGAGGATCCAGCTTCCTTTGGCTCTGGTAACCTGGTGTGAGAGTGGCTTGGTAGTTGTATTCTCCCTGCTCCAGATCATGGCCCTGTTTATATGAAATCTGAAACAAGAATGGTCAATGTAACAATTTTCATCATCTTTACTGAACCGAATGGATTTCTGAAAGGTGAAAAGTCGTGCATGAGTAAAAGTTGTATTTTCAAAGCTGTTAAACACAACATAATAAACATTTTTGATGGCTGAAACTGGACTTACATCACTCGCCAGTTTCCTGGCTTTAATGGCGTGTAAAGTCTTCTTGTCGATACCGGAGTCCTCATAGTGGCCCTTCATGTCACTGGTGTATTTCTCTTTATATTTGTTCTACCATTAAGAAAAGTAAATTACTCGTAAACAAAGTCTTACAATTTAGTTGAATCTGTGTAGATTGACATTTAAAGTGGCTTGACCTACATCACTGGTGAATTTAGCCACCTTAGCAGCATTTTGAAACTGTGGCGTCTCACAAAAGTTAATGCTGTGTCCTTTGGTGTTCTCCAAGTCTTTTCTATACTCCACCTGCAGGAATAAGGCAACATTTCTCTAATTTCCCTCTGGGATTAATAAAGTATTTTTGAAATTGCATTTGAATTTGAACATTTACATTTTCATCATGTCTAAATGTATCCTTTGAGGCAACAAAATACCAAACATTCTTTATATTGCATGGCTAAATAAAGAGCAGCATGCCTTCTGCTGATATGTCACCACATCTCTGGATGTAAGCTACCACCTCACCACACTGGCATGCTGAGGCTGGATAGTTGGAATCTGACACAGTAAACCGTCTCTTATACTACATACACACACTCACTCACCAGCATGCGTGTGTGAAAAACTCATTTTCTTATATTTACCCTACTCATAAAAGTAGTTTAGCTAGCAGAAGAAAGTCGAGTACACCCTCACCTTACTGACAATTTTGTTGATTTTCTGGGCATTCTTTAAAGTCAGGTTGTCTTCTGTGGCCAGACTGTGGAAGTGGGATGTTCCCTTCATCTTGTTTAGATCCTTCTTGTATTTTAGCTGTGAAGGAACCACAGATAATTCAGAACAGATTAGAAACACACATTCCGTCTGGGTGGACAGCCAAAGAGCAGACAGAGGAAGGTATTCTCATTGTTGTCCTTAATCAGGACTAACCAGTTACAGCGAGGCCTGATGATGGATGAGGATGGAGATGCCTGTGCTCTGCTATGTTTTGACAGTGCTTAAAAGAAGATTGCATGGCAACATGTGTGATGCTAATTTCTTTTTTTAGCTGTACATGATGTAGAAATTCAGGAAGCACCTACACAAGATGTGCTAAACTAAAGATGTCTCATGCGGAATGTCCTACTGTCTTCTGGTGTAATTAGATGTCCCTGTTTCAGGAAGTAGAATTCAGCTGGAGGAGAACTGAGCTTCAGACGACAGGATTTGGAGTCCTATTTCCTGATGTTTGGACATCTTGCCTCGAATTGGATAACAGCAACCCTACTCTACCTCTGACTTGCAACGTTGATGTTTTATCTCTACAAATAGCACAAGCCTGGAGGAGTTCTGCTGTGTGGTGAAGTTGCTAATGCTAACGGATAGCTTCTACCAGCTGAGATGTTCTTTGTTGTTTCCTGGACGCTAAACCAACAACAGCTTTCCCAGTGTGAGTCAAGGTTAGCCTAGTGAACTAGACCAAATTCTTGCTTTGCAAAGTTTGGTCTAGGCATGCTCCATTGGAACCTCAGCAGCTCCTACCAGGACTCTGGCTAGCCAATCACAACTCTCTAGAGGGGTTTCAAACACATAAAGAGCTGTGATTGGTCCATAATGGTGGGCCAATCATAGTGCTCCATCTGCTTAGTGAGCAAATCACAGAGCTTTATTCGCTTTGTGGGCCAATCAGGGCACTCTATATGCCTGGTGGGTGGGATGATGCAACAGAGTGAAACAAGAGTATGTCACATTCATTGTCCAGTGGAATGCGGAGATCATTTGAAAGACAACGGTAGAACCCGCCCCACAACCGAGAGCCGTCAATGGACTAAATAAATGTATTATTTAGTCTGGCTTGCCAGGCTAAGTCAAGGTGGGTGAGTCAATGAATGTTAAGTGACAGTGTGACGTAGATCTGTCAGGATGTTCTAATCCTAGAGTTTCACCGTTTATTTTCTAGCAGAATCTAATGCAGGAGATAGGTGTAGAAGACGTTCAGTCTGCATGTTAAACACAGAGTGACTGATAATTTTCAAAAATAACAAGTAAAAATGTTTTATTGGAAAAGGACCTCTGTCACTAGTCTGTCTGACAACATGAAGTAGGCTAAAAGATCTCAGAATGCACCACATCATGTCCTGCTCTAAAGAAATTCAAGAACAGAAAACATCTAAAGACCGTAATTTAGTTAGGGTAAAGGTCAAAGGTCATGATTCAACAGGAAAGAAACAAGGCAAAAACGGCACCATAGGTCAGAGGTCAAAGGTTCTGGGGACCAAACAGCAAACAAAGATCGGTCCATGTGCTGCAGTGTAATGGTCTGGGATAATGCATAATTGATGGAACCATGAATTCTGTTCTTTACTAGAATATCCTGAAGGAGAATGTCTGACCTTTGACCTTCATGCTGAAAATCCCCCCAAAGTGGCCGATTTAAAACAATTCTTCAAAGAAGACTGAGACGAAATGTCCACGGCGATGTGAGGCACCACCAAGGATGTTACAGCCAATAATTTAGATACTCATCCCTTTGAACGTGGCACAGGCCGCCTTTTTCTTTCAACAAAGGAAATCATCATTTGAAAAACTACATTTTGGATTTACTTAAGTTGTCTTTGATACTAGTTTGGTGATCTGAAATGTTTAAGTGTGACAGAACAAACAGACGTGTATCGGGGGTAAATACTGGAAGGCTTGTTGGTTTCTACTCACGTCACTGGCGATTTCCTGAGCTTTCTTTGCAAGATGATAACCAGGAGTGATCATAGCAGGGAAACTTCCTTTACCTCTTTGCTGCTCGTACTCTTCTGTGTAAGCAGTCTGTAAACCCAGCACCTCACATTTAGGCTACTTTTAAAGAAGACTCAGCTCAATCCTCACAGGATAACAATGCTTCAACACTAGCAAAACAAGACGTTTATGTTCATACCTGACTGAAGTTCTCAGCATTTTCTCTGGCATGAACTATTTCAGCTGCTGCTGCCTCAGAACTGGCTTTCCCTTTAATCTCTTGCTCGTACATCTGACGATATTTAATCTGGACACAATCAACCTTTTATCAGCATCTCACAAAGGTGCTTTTAATGCATTCTTTTACACAAGTGCTTTTTAAAACTTTGACACTCACATCACTGGCCTGCTCTGACGCTCTCTTGGAAACCTTGTAGCCAGGAGTGAGATGAGCTGGGAAACTACCTTTCCCTCTCTGCTGCTCGTATTCCTCTGTGTAGGCAAACTGGAAAACAGAAATTCTTTGTTTGACGGGAGAAGTTTGACAGAGTTTGTCAAATTAATCAAAAAAAAAAAAAAAGAGAGGAAAAGCTCACATCGCTAACTATTTGTCCTTGTTTTTTAGCCAGGAGCACCTCAGGCGGATCAGCAAATGTGGTGTATTTTGAAACTCTCTCTTCGTGGCCTTTTTTGTATTCCAGCTGAGGAAAATTAGAAAACCATTCATAGAAACAGTTTTAGTGTCTGCAACAGAAAGTTTCGTAAAAGAAGTGATATCCTCTTACAGTGCTGGCCAAAGTATTGGCGTTCTTTGCCGCTTGGTAGCCAGGTGTTATCATGGCAGGAAAGCTGCCCTTTCCTTTTGACTCATCGTAGTGTTCTGAGTATTTGATCTGCAACAGCAGCACAAAAGTAGTCATCAGGAACCAGGAGGTATCAGAACCTGAGTTAGTAACACAGAAAGGTTTGTCTTTTGGAAAACAAAGAATATTTCAAGTGATCCCAAATGTTTGAGCACCAGTGTACTCACATCACTGATGGTCTTCTGTTCCTGAGACATTGTCACTACCTCTTGGTTGGTCAACGACCCTGAACACCAGGTCTGCTGCTGCGAGAACGCTGATTGGGACTGAAAGGCCTGTTTAAAACATAAAAATCAACCCAGCCAATGCAAGGCCATAATAAATTCACCATAATAAATTCCTTAAATTATCAATCAAATCCTGGCTAATAGATGTTTGATGTATTTAACCATTTGACTGGCATGTCAACAACATTTTAGTCTCTCTATAACTATGCACATAGCTTAAATAAAGAGAGCAAATCTATAAACCAATAAAACTATGAAGATGCTTGAATAAAAAATTCACCTTTACAAAAACTGTGTTATTATTATTATTGTATTATGTTAAAGGGACACTAGGCAGCTTTGCTTGCTTTTAGCACCCCCTGGTGTCCGTTAATAATTCACTGTGGTTTTAAACGAAAGTGAAACTTATCTCCTTGCTGTGCGTTTGTCTGTTTAGCACCTTAATTTAAGATGAAATGTCTCCTCAGCCTCTGTGTCTACATGAGTGAATAATCACCAAATCAAACAAAACGGATGAGAACAAATCATGATCTAAAACATGCAGGAAACATGCTGGAAGCAGACTGAGCTCCACCATGTCAGCTCCACTCCACTACACAGCTCCCCCATCAGTAGGGACTGGACCGGCAACTCTGAAGTTGCAAGACCAGTATTCTGGCCGCAGGGGGTGGTGGGGGTTTGAGTAACATGTCATTAACCCTATAAAGGATCATTTTAGCACATGCTAGCTGAAGATAATGATTTAAAAGTGTGAAAAAGTTGCAAAGAATCCCTTTAAACACCTTACTATTCAAACATGTTTTAAAAGGTTTGATTGCTTTTTCCTCTCTGCGAACATTAAAATGTTCAAACTCACTCAGACTGAATAAAAGGTTTGAACTTTTCTGAAGATTTGATAAATTCCTTCATGATCACTGATTCACAGTAGATTTGCAAACATTAGGGAGCAGTTCACAGTCAGTGTGCCCAACGCCAGGCCTGGCTCCAGAAGGGGGCCCAGTGACCTCTTATCAATGTTCTAACATTGTATGGCTATAATTATTTTGTGGAGAAACAAATGGGAAAAAAATGAATAAAGTAGTTATCTTGCATTTGCCTGAAAAACTCCACCAATAACATGTTTGAGACCGAAAGCTACTATTGTATCATCGGGTTGTCTGTCTCGCTAATCCGCCGCACTACCCTGGGTCCTCCACTTATTACACACTCAGGTATTTAGCAACAGAACACCACTGGTGTGAGAGGTTCTCCACTCATAATATCAGAGAAGGAGAATGTCATGGTCTGTGTCTGCGTCTCCCTCATGTGTCTCCTTGTGTTCCTCATGTGTCCCCTGGTCTTCAGCCCTCCAGATATCTCTCCCAGGTCCTGTGTTCCTTCAGTCTCCCCCAGTCACCCCTCTGCAGTTTTTTATAGGTTCAGCTTCTCATTTTATTAGTCTCTTTAGTATGTTTTCCCACAGGTTTTTTTAGTTTAGTTTCCCTTCCCCTTAGAATATTAATTTTGCTGGCTCATCTTGTCTTTAGGTTTTTTACTCTTAGGTCATGTTAGTTTCCTCCCTGATTAGTTAATTACTTTCACTTGGTTTCTCTCCCCACACACCTGCAGCCTGTCTACCTCCTATCATGCCCCAGTGTATATAACCCTGTCTGCGTCTCTATCTGTTGTTGAATCATTGTCTTTGTCACCTTTGTCTCGGTTCCCCCTCTAGACTTTGATCTTTGTTTTGGATTCCAGGTTTTGGTATTTATGGACTTTGAATTTTGTGTTTTGGCTCCCTGCCTTTTTTTGACTAATTATTAAATAAAAAGAATGTTTACTTTATTGCTCCACTAAGCGTCTTCTGGTTCTCTGCATCTTTGGGTCCTAACCTCCTCTTGGCTCCCCATCGTGACAGAGAAACAGTTGGCTGCTACCACTTCAAATTTAGAAAAATCTACCAGAGTCCCAAAAAGAAAAACACTATTTGAAGTCACGGACAACAAAATACGTTTGGACCTAGAATAACGACAACTGGTGTTAAGTGCTATCTCGTTTCTTCTGGCAATGTAGGTTTTTTGGTACTGGCAGAAGCATCTCAGGGAAGATACCCGAGGAGAGGGTCGAGTGTGTTTGCGTTCAAAACCTAGCTTGTTCTGTAGATTCTCTATAGCAGCTTTAAGAAAAAACACCTGATATGACAATTTAGGAACAGTAAGACCTACAAAACGGTTTGCTACAAGTTTATAACAAAAAAGCACAAAGTCACAAATATTTGCATCACAAAAAGGATTTCTTTTCTGGCTTTGTTTATCTGAAGAATCATTTGTTTTATTACAGAAACTCCTTTTGTAATGGCCAGTTGCTCTTAGGGGAGCTCACCTGGCTTAACGTCTGATTGGTTAGGCGAGCCTTCTCCAACTCCATGGATCTCATGCCACAGTGGAAGGTGGACTTACAGCTCTCACCTTCTTCACGATACTGCAGCTACACACACACACACACACACACACACACACACACACACACACACACACACACACACACACACACACACACACACACACACACACACACACACACACACACACACACACACACACACACACACACACACACACACACACACACACACACACACACACACACACACACACACACACACACACACACACACACACACACACACACACACACACACACACACACACACACACACACACACACACACACACACACACACACACACACACACACACACACACACACACACACACACACACACACACACACACACACACACACACACACACACACACACACACACACACACACACACACACACACACACACACACACACACACACACACACACACACACACACACACACACGAAGCTTTCAGTCGACAGCAGCATCACAGACAAACATGGTTTCCGACCAGCGCCTTCGTTCTGGTGTGTTGGTTAGAGAACTTGAGCTTACATGTGATAAAAGATAATGTCAACGTGCTGTTAATAATAACTGCCATACTCTAATAAAGATGAAACCAGATCTGGCAGGATAGATCCAGAATGGAGCGCTTCTCCTGATCATCCTTTAGCAGTAAATATGTCCTAAACTAATATTAGAACTGCTAATATTGCAGAGGATGAGAGTTACAAGGGCCAACAATAAAAATCTATTTCAAAACCACAAGCTTAATTCTTAAACACATTCAGTCTCAACTGAGTTGGAAAAAGATCCATGTTTTAATAATTTTCACAGGTTTTTGGATCATTAAAGATGATTTAATTCAGCTGTGAGTTTTTTAATGCTAGCTTGTGAAGGCCTACAGTTCCTCTAATGGTTTACAGCTAATCAGCCCTCCTGCCACTAATATCAGCACAAACTTGTAGACCAGACTCCGATCGACAGAAACAGGTGGCGCAGCAGCAGAGGAAAGGAAAGGACGAGAGGCAGATTATTTTTTTCTTCCTGACATGTAATTTTAGCCACCTGAAGCACAAAGTAGGAAAGCAGAGGGAGGGTGGTCTAGCCTCTGTCAGAAGTCCAGAAATAACCCGAGACTGTTCATTCCAAACTGTTGCCATCACCACGGGCTCGGTGCAGCCAGACGGCACCTTTATTGTTAAACAAGCGACATTTTCTAAGATTTCCTAAATGCATTTTGGGAATTTGTAGCACCTAGAATCCTCCAGGAATTGAGTTATTCTTAAATCACAACATTTTGGACTTTTGGAGTAATATAATTTTCTGACCTGTTGTTATAAATAAAAGCCTGGGTAGTTCACATTAATATCTTTTAATAAATAAATGGAATAAATGACAAACCATGATAAATATTTGCCCCATGTCAGTGGCTCATGTGACCCAGTGACAACAGAATCAGATAAAGGCTTTGTGTGTCGCTCCTTTGGTTTTCTGACTGATCTGAGCTCACCTCGCTGCTTGCCTTGCTCTGCTTCTTTGCATTGATGTTGATGGGGGTCTCGTAAACACTCGTGAATGTGTTGTTCCTTGGATTGTGCCTGTGGGCATGAGATAAACATGTGTCATGAGAGCGAAATCAAAACTTAATATGCTACAACAAGTTACAAAGCTTTCATTTTCACCAAGAAAGGTTTTCGGATCCGTTTTGGATGCATCATTTTTAAAACATGTGTTTTTAGTGGAATAATGCACTCACACAGAGCAGTAGGGCCTCTTCTTGTGGCTGATGAAGTTGTTAGGAGTGAGGACCATCTTGCAGACATCACAGTGAAAACAAGCTTTATGCCAGTTCTGACAAAAAGGACACAAATTATTTGATTACTTGTGTGTAAAACTGTTATCAGATGAAAGAAAAAGTGGACTAAACTTTAATTTTCCAATGTATTTGGATGATGAGCAGCAGAACTTCAACACAATAAGTTATGTTTGTTGAGTAAAACGGCTCCCTTAATCTGAATTTATGGGGAAACTCCAAACAGCTTTCTTATTTAGTTTAAGGCACATGCAACATTCCTGATCCCTCACCTGTTGGTCTACCGAACCACATGTTGCTTTTAGACACTTCAAATAACTCAGATGTGAGCAACTTAGCCTCAATTCAACTTTCTAACAGAATAATCATAAGAAAAAGTTTATTTAAAAATGTAAAAGCCTGAAATTTCAATTACCTGGTCGATACAATTGATCTTCTCTGCTGGGTAGACCACAAACCCACACCTGGCACACGACTGCATCCTAAATGATTATCCTTCTCCCAGATAAAAGAGTCAGGTGGAATAGTTGGTCAAGGATGCTAGAAAGTTGAACTCAAAGTGGAACAGACTGTGTCCCTCGCAGTCGGATTAGTGTGCCTTTGCTTGTGGTTAACTTTAGCTCTGAGACTGTGAAACCCTGAAACTGTCTCTTACTTGAAACCTTGTCCCATGATGCATCAGCCCCCATCAGTCCACCCTTCATCAGGACTGGTTGTGTCCAGCTGTCTGTCTGTGAGGAGGGACATACACAGAGTTCATATGTCACTGTGTGTGTGTGTATGTGTGTGAGTGTGTAATAATCTCAGATTGGATGTTAACGTCTGGCTACCTGTCATGTCATTATGTCATAGTGGTTATTTCACTGTATTATAGTTTCTATTAAGCTTCATGAAGTAATTGTCTTTACTAATATAGAACTGACTACTATGTCTCAAAATAAAGAAATTGTTTTACTGCGTAATTACATAATACATGCAATATATTATAACTCAATAAAAATAAAATAAAAAGTTAAGTTGACACTTGCTGACAGCAGTACTTGGATCATCCATCCATCCCTTTATATTCACAGTGTACCCATCTTCTGATGGTCACTTCCAGCAGGATAATGCACATGTTATTAAGCTTGATTCATCTCAGACTGGTTTCTTGAACATGACCATGAGTTCACTGCACTCAAATGGCCTCCACAGTCACCAGATCTCAATCCAACACACACACACACACACACACACACACACACACACACACACACACACACACACACACACACACACACACACACACACACACACACATCCATGGTGTAAGGCAAAACAGATAAGAAAATAACGTTTTTAGACCCATTGACTTGCATTAATTTTTTCGTTCTCCCGGGGACCCACAAGCCGACCGGAATGGGAGGAGACTTAGACTCCCTATGTGGCATATGCCCAGGAGACGCTCTATCCCCACTGCAGTTCTGCATAGGTCTGATCCTCTTCAACCAAATAATCAATAAAACTGGCTATATGGATGCCAACTTAAGAATTGAACCAGTCAGCTACCTCCACTGGATGACATAAAGCTGTACGCCAAGAATGAGCGAGACATTGGTTCACTGATCCACACCACCAGGATCTACAGCACTGATATCAGAATGTCATTCGGACTTGAGAAGTGTGGTTAGATGGTGACAAAGAAAGGGAAGGTAATCTATACAGAAGGGGTCTCACTCCTAGAACGAACAATGGCAGACACTGAGGACAGCAACACGTACCTTGGTATCCCACAAGCAAATGGCAACCTCGATGAAGCCGCAAGGAAAGGAGCCACAGCCAGATACCTACGAGTATCGCACAGATACTCGTAGGTATCTATTATTATTATTATCATTATTATTATTATTATTATTATTATTATTATTATTATTGTTATTATCTAATATAATGATAATAATAATAATAATAATAATACATTATTATTATTATTAGTGTTATTATGCTTATGTAATATGTCTCTCAGTCGTAACCGTATTTATATATATATATCGATGGTCATAACAAAAATAACTTCCATCAAATCAACATAACTGAAATGCTTGAATTTCATTCATGGCTATTTTGTTTGGTGAGTCACCCCAAGATAATCAACAGTCCCAACCTGCCCCCTCAAATAGAAAACCCTTAAACGCCCTTGTAGCTGATTCATTACAGCTGTCTGGAACTCCTCTGTTTTACTTTTTAACTTCCGGTACAAGTTTTTCCTGTTAAAGATTCACAAACGTGTAATACGCTTTAAATTACACGTATCTCGTTAGGATACCCATGATACCTGCCACATCCGGCAGTGCAAAATTACGCAAAGACGGTGACGTAGTTACGCACGAAGTATTTTATTTTCAAGTTCAAGGAACAGTAAGTGCTCATAACTTGGAAGAAGGAAATAGACTTATTTGTGGTTAAAACAAGCTGACATCCTCAGCAGACGAGCGACCCGGAGTAAGTTAATATGAAGTTTTACAAAGTTATAAACGCTTCAGGTTTAAGCTAACCATTTTTTTTACAGCTAATGAGTAAAGTCAACCAGCTGAAGGGTTCACACCGGTAATTAAACGAAAAAACAACTCAATATAACATTTTCACGCACATATTTTTTGTTTTAATTTAGAAATTGGTTGTAAAGAGTGGACATTCCCATGTTTCTTTATTGTAAGAATAATAAATGTTCGACTAGCAATGATGATATAGAAATGAGCGTTGCCGTGATCGCAGATGGCTGGAGAACCCGAGGAGCCTACTGAACTTGGAGAAGAACAATCTGGAGATGAACCTGACGCTAAACCTGACCGGAGAGGGAGATTTCTGCTGTGTGGGTGGGTGACTTCCTTTATTAGAATAAGTGAGACAAACTGACATAATCCCGGTGTAATTAGGTTTATTCTACAGTGTGTTGCTTTTGCTTTCATTCTGAGCATTTTGCCACAAGAAGGATTTATTTTATTCTGAACTTTTACCAGCTGTTTAGTTCCTCTGTGACTTGTTGTTACTAGATAACCTGTTAGACGTGATTCACCTGTTTCTAACCTTAAACATCTCTTTGATGCCTCTAAATCTTTAGTTAGGTTGTTTGTCCTTTTTGTTGTTGTTTTGTACATAATTTTATGAATTTAATTGGCTTTTGGTTGCTCAAACAATAGAAATGCAATAGGTAGTACAGTTAAAAGTACCAAGCAGGTAAAATAGTCCCCAAAACGAGAATGTTTTCAAAAATAATTAATAAAACAAAATTAGTTCTTAGCTATTTGGTCACACCAAATTTTGAATAAATATCTTGTTTATACATTTCTGTTTCTGGACATTTTCTTCTTTAGCAACATTTTTCACAACTGCCAAATCTTTTTAACATTACAATGTTCTTGTAAACTGGTTCTTGTAATAAACAAAAATAAATACATAAAATTAGTGATGCACCGATAACACATTTTGGGGCCGATACCGATATTAACATCACTGTTATGGCCGATAAACGATATTTGCAGATACCGATATACTGATGTAAATGCATCTAAAATCATCAGATTTTGTATAGAAGGAAAATTATTAAAGCTACATTTACATTAGTATGTACACACACCACACACATTTATGCTTCTCAGATGATTACATCAACCCATCGACCCAGTTTTATGTATTGGGCCGATATCGATATGTAAAAAAATGACTAACATCTGCCGATATTTATGCCAATATTTTGTGCATCCCTACATAAAATACAATCTTTTAATGCATTTTAAAGGAAGTGGTGGACATGATAGGTTCTTAAATCGAGCGCAACCTATATAAAGTAAATTCAGGTTTCCTGGTTCAACGTATCAACTCAGTTTTGAATAGTCTGATTAGTGTGAGGCAAAGTAATTGGGTCAGTATTTTCTTTGTGTGATGATTTTTATTTGTTCCAGTTTTACTCACAAGGTGTCACTGTGATCCAGAGGAACTGATATCCATTACATCTGAAGGAAAAACAGAAACAAGTGCACTTTTCTGCACTTTCTCCTTTTTGATTTTGACCTCAAATAGCCAAGATTGTTATTAACTGTTTTATTTTAGAACCGCAAAATAAAAGCAGAATCTAAGGTTTAAACAAAAACTATTTTAAATCACTTAATTGTTATATTTTGGATTTAGCCCAAAATACATCTGTCTATTTTGGAGCTACTGACGTAGTTACGCTCGTATATCGCATGATTGGTTGTGTGATCTTTCTCTTTTTAGCTCACGTGATCCAAGAATGTGTGGTCACAGATGTGATCTGAACAACTTTCAGCTATGTTTGTGCCTCCTTAAAGATTTCTCCTGTTTTGATTGTTTATTTATATGGGGGTGGGTGGGGATGTTTTCGATCAGCAAAGAGATTTTCAGTATTAGACAAAGATGACATGGGTAAATGTAGTTTTTAAAGGATGTCATCCTTTACAAAGGGGGGAAACGCTATCTTAACCCACCTTCTTTCTTCTGGCTCTTGGAGAGTACAGACGCTTTTTTCCTCCTCTCCTCCCTATCTTATCCCAAGGCTCTTTGTCTGTCTTTGGGTGTACGAAGTTTCTGCATTTTTTTCTGGAAACTGGAAATTATTAAAAATAGACCTGGTCAGTTGGTCTCTCAATGCGATTGACAAAATTTTTTCAAGTATGAGAACGGGAGAAGGGGCTCCTGGGTGCCCCTTCCTGGACAGAGCCAGCTGGGTATATCATGGACTCCTGGAAACAGTGGAACCTGATCTGCCTCTCTCAACTGCCTGTAGAGGATTCTGAAGACGTCTGGATATTCGTGGTATTGGTGTCAGGTTTCTTGCTGTTTGGCCTGAGCGGTTACCTGTCTTACCGGAAAATTAACGAGCTTTCGAGGAATATTGACTCAATCCCGGAGCTCAGGAATGGATTACACCGCACTGAGAACACACAGACTCATATAACTGTCGAGATGAGTCGTAAGCTTGGAACCTTGGCTGAGATTCAGGCTCTGGCACAGAAGGTGGATTCGATCAAAGAGAGAGTAGACAGGACAGCACGGATTGGGAATAGATTAATTCATGCCATTATTGGATCTAGAGGGGTTGAAGACCAACAGAACTTTAAGACAGAGAGGAAATTATCTCTGTCTGGCCCCAAAACAAGTTCTTATCTGAATCTGGTGCCCTTGATCCTGTGAGGCTGAAGTGATTACTCCCCCTCAGAATAAATGTGGAATGCTGCCGTCGCCATGGCAACTCTGTCTCCCTATCCCAGCCTGCGCGGGACTGAGACCGGTGAAGGTCGTGGAATCGTTTCCAGGAGTCACTGTGCTCTCTAATCCAATTACCTCCCTCCCCTGTCCAATCGGAGGTGACGAGCGCTGCTTATCGTGGCTGCATGCTAGGGCTGTCACGGTAACCGCAAAAATGAAACATCGCAATATGAAGAAACCCACCGCGCTGTATCATGGGCCACCGCGATTACTGAACTTGATTCAACTCAATGATGCATGTTGAGAAGGATGGCTGCACTGGTATCAAAACAAAACGTTACTTCGCTCCTGTGGGAGCACTTTGGTTTTCAGTATGTCAGCTGCTGCGCAGCCAGAGTCCTTGGCCAAGACAGAGCTGCCACCAGTGGCAAAAAATAAATAAATAAACGCTCGGAGACCTGCTGAAGTCCCGGACAAGCACTGCTTCTGCAACCGTCCTGAAGAGAGTTTGAGCCGAGCTGGAGCTCACTCGCTACCTGCAGGAGGAATGCATCGACCCTAAAGAAAACCCCCTGACATGGTGGAGCAACAACCGGGAGAGATTCCCTTTGCTCGCCAGAGTCGCACGTAGGTACGTGTGCGTTAGTGCAACGAGCGCACCATCCGAGAGGGTTTTCAGTGTTGCTGGAAATGTTGCCACCCCTCTCAGATCCTCTCTCAAACTGTATATGGTTAACATGCTGGTTTTCCTTGTGGGTAACAAGGACGTGACCGAGCTATAAAGGACCGTCATTCATGTGTGTGAAAGTGAAAGTGAAATGATAGTGCCCCGCGCCCGGTACATGTAATTTTTTATGCTTGATTTTAAACAACTAAACAAAATGGGGACTTGTTTCTTATTTGTTAGATGCTGCGGCCAAATTTGCATTTAAAAGTTGAACCTTCTCCTGAATTTTGTTGTTTTTAAGTTCAGTCGGACTCCGACTGTCGGAGAAACAAACGTTACTGCGATCTGTGTTGTTACTGCCCTTTGATCTGCATTCAGTTAAGTGTTATAAAAGAAGGCACGGCAATTTTTAACCTTTTTTAAATGTGTAAACATTATGTTTAGATAGTACTGCAATAAAAAAAGTGCTGCAATAATATCGCACACCGCAATATTAAGCCACCCTGAATCACCGCAGGGGGAATTCCTCAACCGCGACAGCCCTACTGCATGCACCGATGTGTGGAGAGTCCCCAATCCTACCGCCCCACCTAGTGGACACTTATGTTGTGTGATGTCTGAAGTCTGTTGCATTTCTGAGGTGTTTTTTGCATAACAAAGCTGCCCTCCCTGTGGAAAGTAACTCTGAAGTGCCTTTTTTTCCCCTCCCCCTGACTTTATCCTCATATAAACCCTCTGATCTCTATTAAGGTAGTGCGACTCGGGTTGGGAATGACCACAGTCACCAATTCTTGTCATGTGTCTATGTATGTATGTATGTCTGATCTCAGAATTGTGTGTACTGAAACTCTAATTTCCCTCTGGGATTAATAAAGTATCTTTGAATTGAATTGAATTGAATTGATAAAGGGGGAAACACTATCTTAACCCACCTTTTTTATTTATTCGGGTTATCTGTGTTTTATGTTAACGTTCGTATGTTGATCTCAAAACAGTGAAGCATGATAAATCAAAAAGAAGAAAGGGGGCTAATACTCTACACATCACTGTACGTTTGTCTTTAGCAGTTATGCTTCATTCTTTGTAAGAGCAGCAGTTGTTCTGTCCCTATCTAGCTGTCTGTCTAGTTTAGCAGGTGAAATGCTCCAGCCCTTACTCTGTACTGTATATCTGTAAAGCTGGATTCTTGGCCTGTCAGCAGTGAGAAACTTGTTGCCCTGCGTGACCTCAGCAGGTAGCGAGGTACAGCAGCCGCGTGTCAATAGGCCTTTAGAAAGCACTGGTTTGGTGCTGAGGCTGCTGACTCAGGAGGCTCGCATTGCACTGCCACTGTCCTCAGCAGTCACGGGCCCACTCAGGTCTCCATCCTGTACAGAGAGCATGTTACTGTCCTAGCACACATCCAGAAGAACATTAAGCCACCGTACTTGGAGATTTTGTGAAGAGAAAGGAAACAAGAGAAGACCCAGATATTTCAGATGCAGAGTGGCGTAGCGTTTAATGACGAACCGAGGTAAGAGACGCAGCAGCCAATCCCCATGTCATTGTTAGGTGTTGTACGTTGGTACACTTTGGCGGGGGGGGGGGGGGGGCTCAAACAGCGCTTCAGCTGTTCTGGATCACATGGTTAGTAGGAAAATGGCTGGACTGCCTGTTGGTGGACGTGCTGTATTGTTTCTGTGCTTGAGTAACCTGATGACTTGGCTCTTCTGGAACAAGCCTGGATCTTCTGCGCTGCCACTGGGTCACTGCTGGTTCAGTCATCTGGATGGGTCTTGTAAAAAATTAAAGTACAACTTGTCTGTGAGAACCACTGTTAGTGGAGGATTCTCTCTTCCTACGCCCACTTTGATGTTGTGAGGACTTTTATTTTGAATCTTCAGAAGAAATGGCCGACAGTTGATTAGTACTACCAAATTTGGCCTTGCCATTAATGCCTGATTTGAAAACGTATGTATGCTTTGTTTTCTAACTCACTGATTCAGATTGTTTCCAGATTGGTGTGTTAGCTGTCTTTGGAAGAAGCTATTATTTTGAAATGTACAATGAGTCAAGGATATTTTCTAGACAACTTTTTACTTGTATGTTTTTCATATTTTAGCTAAGAATGAACTTTATGGAAATCTTACATTCTTAGACCTAATTTAAACTTATTTCTTACTTGGAATCAGAAAATCTCAAATTATGTGTTTAAATTAGAACTGATATTTAAGGCTTGTTGATGTTTCTATCATGCTCACGGTGATTGTAGTTTTTATTTATTTCAGACCATTAATAGGGTTTATGTGTTTTATTTTTATCTTTTCTCATATCTTGTTAGTAAAGGGCAAAAGGATGGCCAGATGCAGGAGCAGGATAGATCTTCTGGAAGCCATTACAGAATCATTTCACCAACATTCAAGTATACGATGAGCCACCGGCGTGTGGGGAAGTGCATCATCATCAACAACAAAAACTTTGATGAAAATACAGGTAGAAAAAAATTTTTCTCACACATTTAGTTAGTTTACTTTAATATGGCTTAACATAAGTACATGAAGAAATTCTAAGGAGACTGTATCAACAGGGATGAACGTTCGTAACGGCACTGACCGAGATGCAGGCGAGCTGTTCAAGTGCTTCAAGAACCTGGGCTTTGAAGTTTCTATCTTTAATGATCAGACATGTGAGAAGATGGAGTGTCTTCTCAAAAAAGGTAAGCTCTTTTCTGTACTGCTTTTAATATTTTCCAACATTTTTTGTCTTTTTTTCTCAGTATGAGGCTGTTTTTAGAAAAGACAAGTGTAAATGAAGGATGAAGGGAAAAGAAGAAACAATTTTTATATAGTCCCTCTCAAGATTAAAATTAAGGCGTTTAAGAACAAAAAATAGATTTTTTTAAGATAATTCATATGATATCATATATAAAATTGAGACAATGGAAAATTTTATATTAAAAAATCTGAAGGAAGACAAAAATAAACAAGAAAAGGTAAAATGGGATCATGAGAAAGACATAATTGGTAGAAACAGCAGAATGAAAAGAAGGTAGTGATGAAGAATCAACAGAAGGTCATGCAAAAGCCAGCCTGAACAGATGAGCTTGCAGATGAGGAGACCGTGGCGGGTGTATTACGGTAGTTTGCCAGCATGGCGTGTCTTCTAAGAAGGGCTTATCACAGTTCAACCAGACCTGGTGTAGCTTAGAGAAAATATTCTTTTTAAACATTCACCAACCAAATATGAGTTCACCAACCAAATATGATCGTTTTGTTTTAACAGTCTTAAAAGTCCAATCATATAACAGTCATATATGATGATCCTTTAACTTTGTTTTTTTTATTGGAAAAGCTCCCTAAATATTTCACTAGAGCACAACAAATTAAAACTTTGAAATAAATATTGGCAGAAAAAATGTACTCTATTGACGTTTCTTAATATGTTATGCTTTTGATGAGCATATTATTGACTTGAATAACAAAACGTGATTATGTTTGATGATTGAGTAGAATGAGTTTAGTGATTGGGTCCTTTTAGAGAGGTTGGATGTGTCTGAGATAAGCTGAGAGTTAAGTTGTATGTGTCTTTCAGCTTCAGAGGAAGACCACAGCGACAGTTCGTGTTTTGCCTGCATACTGCTGAGCCATGGTGAGGAGGGCATGATCTATGGCACAGATGGCGCCATGCCCATCAAGGCCATGACCTCGCTGTTCAGAGGAGACATGTGCAAAAGCTTAGTTGGGAAGCCCAAACTCTTCTTCATCCAGGTATCAACCTTAAAAGTCTTGATTTAAAATAATTATGTGGCCAAAAAGTTAAAGGTTCAATATGTAAGAATTCTCCAGTGAAATAATCACCAAACAGTCTAATGTCTCATGTTGGAAGGAAGGCTACATAGAAACAGATTAACTTCTCAGCTGGCTGGGGGGTTGTTAGTTTTTCTCCTTTCAATTAAAATAAAGAGGGACGTAGTTACGGATGAAAATCAGCGAATTTGTGAGCTTGGTGAGTCTACACCGAGCTATTGCTGCAGCACCAGCTTTTGTAATTCTATTGTGTCACGCAAAAGGCTCCAGAGTTGTTTAAAGAACCGAAGCCAGTGAACAGGAGCGTAGCCCTGAGAAGCCACAGCATCTTTTTTAACTCTTAATATCAAGTGAAGAAGGCTAGAGGCTAACGTTGAGCTAACAATACTAACAGTGATTTAGAAGCAAATAGTCACCTCTAAAAGTATCTCATGCTACTTTTTCAATTACCAACAAATCAATATTACAGTGAAATGTGTGAATGAATGAATGTTTATTTATATAGCGTTTTACACAACCCAGAGGGTGACCAAAGGGCTTAACATTAAATATGGAAAGAAATTAAAAATAAGACAATAAAACAATTAAAAACCACTGTAAAAAGGTAAATAATCAGAGCCTGTTTAAAACAATGCAGGACAAATTTAAAAGTAATAAAAAATAAAAACAAGGAGGAGTACTCAAGCTCCTCGTTGAACCGTCACCTTATCGTGGTGGAGGAGTTTGAGTGCGCTAATGATCCTAGGATCTATGTTGTCTGGGGCACTTTGTGCCCCTGGTAGGGTCTCCCATGACAAATTGGTCTTAGGTGAAGGGTGAGACAAAGAACGGTTCAGAGGCTCTTTCATGGATGAACTATCAAGGAGTTGGAGTACCCGGCCTGGAGTGTTACCGGGGTCCCACCCTGGAGCCAGGCCTGGGGTTGAGGCCCGTGAGCGAGCACCTGGTGGCCGGGCTTTCGCCCATGGGGCCCGGCCGGGCCCAGCCCGAACTGGAAACATGGGCTCATCCAACTGTGGACCCACCACCTGCAGGAGGAACATGAAGGGTCCGGTGCAATGTGGATCGGGTGGCAGACCGAGGCGGGAGCCTTGGCGGTCCGATCCCCGGATAAGGAAACTGGTTTTTGGGACATGGAACGTCACCTCGCTGGCGGGGTAGGAGCAGGAGCTTGTGGCAGAGGTTGAGCTGTACCGGCTAGATATAGTCGGACTCACCTCGACACATAGCATTGGCTCTGGAACCCAAGTCCTTGAGAGGGGTTGGACACTCTACTTCGCTGGAGTTACTCCGGGTGAGAGGCGGAGGGCTGGGGTTGGCTTTTTGTTAGCCCTAAGACTCTCTGCCTGTGTGTTGGGGTTCATCCTGGGGATGAGAGGGTAGCTTCCCTGCGCCTTCGGGTCGGGGAACGGGTCCTGACTGTTGTTTGTGCTTGTGGGCTACATATCAGTTCAGAGTACCCACCCATTTTGGAGTCCCTGGGACAAGTGCCAGATAGTGCTCCATCAGGGGACTCCATTGTCCTGCTGGGGGACTTCAATGCTCACGTGGGCAATGACAGCATGACCTGGAGGGGTGTGATTGGGAGGAACGGCCTGCCTGATCTGAACTCGAGTGGTGTTTCATTATTGGACTTCTGTGCAAGCCGCAGTTTGGCCATAACGAACACCATGTTCGAACATAAGGATGCCCATCGGTACACTTGGTACCTGGGCAGCCTAGGTCGCAGGTCGATGATAGACTTTGTAGTTGTATCATCTGACCTGCGGCCGTATGTTTTGGACACCCGAGTGAAGAGAGGAGCGGAGCTGTCAACTGATCACCACCTGGTGGTGAGTTGGATCAGATGGCAGGGGAAGATGCCGCGTAGACCTGGCAGACCCAAACGCATAGTGAGGGTCTGCTGGGAACGCCTGGCAGAAGAAGCTGTCAAGACGGTCTTCAACTCCCACCTCCGGCAGAGCTTTGACCACGTCCCGAGAGCAGTGGGGGACATTGACACAGAGTGGGCCTTGTTCCACTCTGCGATTGTTGAGGCGGCTGTAGCTAGCTGTGGTCGCAAGGTGGCCGGTGCCAGTCGTGGTGGCAACCCCCATACCCGCTGGTGGACACCAGAGGTTCGGGGAGCCGTCAGGCTGAAGAAGGAGGCCTACAGGACATGGCTGGTCTGTGGGTCTCCGGAGGCAGCAGACAGGTATTGGATAGCCAAGCGGGGTGCAGCAGTGGCAGTTGCAGAGGCTAAATCTCTGGCGTGGGAGGAGTTTGGTGAGGCCATGGAGAAAGACTGTCGATCGGCTCCAAAGAGGTTCGGGCAAACTGTCTGGCGCCTCAGGAGAGGGAGGCAGCAACTTGCTCACACTGTTTACAGAGCTGCTGACGTCAACTGGGGCTATAGTCGGACGGTGGAAGAAATACTTTGAGGAGCTCCTCAATCCCACCTACGCGCATTCTGAGGAGGAACCAGAGCCTGGAGACCTGGGTATGGACTGTCCAATCTCAGGGGCAGAAGTTGAAGTTGCTGAGGTAGTCAAACAACTACACAGCGGTGGAGCACCGGGGGCGGATGAGATTCGTCCTGGGTATCTCAAGGCTATGGATGTTGTAGGGCTGTTGTGGTTGACACATCTCTGCAACATTGCGTGGTCATCGGGGGCAGTTCCTGTGGAGTGGCAGACCGGGGTGGCGGTCCCCATCTTTAAGAAGGGTGACCTGAGGGTGTGTTCCAACTATAGGGGGATCACACTCAGCCTCCCTGGAAAGGTCTACTCCAAGGTACTGGAGAGGAGGGCCTGATCAATAGTTGAATCTCAGATTGAGGAGGAGCAATGTGGTTTTCGTCCTGGCCGTGGAACTGTGGACCAGCTCTATACCCTTGCAAGGGTGATGGAGGGGGCATGGGAGTTTGCCCAACCAGTCCACATGTGTTTTGTGGATTTGGAGAAGGCTTATGACCATGTCCCCAGGGGCACCCTCTGGGGGACTCTCCAGGAGTATGGGGTGGGTGGCTTTCTATTAAGGGCCATTCAGTCCCTTTACCAGAGGAGCGTGAGTTTAGCCGCATAGCCGGTAGTAAGTCGTACCTGTTCCCGGTGAGGGTTGGACTCTGCCAGGGCTGCCCTTTTTTTCCGGTTCTGTTCATTACCTTTATGGACAGAATTTCTAGGCGCAGCCGTGGTGTGGAGTGTGTCGAGTTTGGTGGCAGGAGAATCTCGTGTCTGCTTTTTGCGGATGATGTGGTCCTCCTAGCTTCATCCAGCTCTGACCTTCAGCTCTTGCTGGGTAGGTTCGCGGCCGAGTGTGAAGCGCCTGGGATGAGGATCAGCACCTCCAAATCTGAGACCATGGTTCTCAACCGGAAAAGGGTGGCTTGCCAACTCCGGGGCGGGAGAGAGGTCCTACCTCAAGTGGAGGAGTTTAAGTATCTCGGGGTCTTGTTCACGAGTGAGGGTAGGAGGGATCGGGACATTGACAAGCGGATTGGTTCAGCCTCTGCAGTGATGCGTACGCTGAGCCGATCTGTCGTGGCGAAGAGGGAGCTGAGCCAGAAAGCCAGGCTCTCGATTTACTACCCAATTCTCACCTATGGTCATGAGCTTTGGGTAATGACCGAAAGAACAAGATCGCGGATACAAGCGGCCGAAATGAGTTTCCTCCGTAAGGTGGCCGGGCTCAGCCTTAGAGATAGGGTGAGGAGCTCGGACATTCAGGAGGGACTTGAAGTAGAACCGCTGCTCCTCCGGATCAAAAGGAGTCAGTTGAGGTGGTTTGGGCATCTGGTCAGGATGCTTCCTGGATGCCTCCCTGAGGAGGTGTTTCGGGCATATCCTGCCGGCAGGAGGCCCCTGGGTCGACCCAGGACATGTTGGAGAGGTTACATCTCCAATCTGGCCCGGGAACACCTTGGGGTCCTGCCGGAGGAGCTGGTGGAGGTGGCCGGGGAGAGGACAGTCTGGAGCTCCCCAGTTGGGATGCTGCCCTCGCGACCCGGACCCGGATAAGCGGAGGAAAACAACGATAAAAAATAAAACCAATATAAAATTATTTTTAAAAAACACTATAAAATAGTAAAAAGAATAAGCACAGTTTAATGAGTCAGTCATGGCGAAAACATGTTACCGTAATAAGTGTAGTAACTGCTCCCTACCATAAAACACCAAAAGAGTGATAACAGCAGATCATAGGAAAATGTATTTTTCTACTTATCAACTTACTGTATATCGCTAGTCTTGTCATCTAGAATCTTCTGGTGCTGATCCATAATAGGCAACATGAAACTCACGGAACAGCAGTGAGATTGTGACATTTTTCGTAGAAAAAGGGCCTGCAGTAAACAAAATTGACCACATGATGTCATTCTTATTTCATTCTTACATTTTGCACCTTGTAAGATGGCGTTCACTTTACAGGTTGAAAACCTATTCAAACCCCTTTTTAGTAATGCCCCCAGTGACAGCTAACAGTTACTGTCAAAGTTGCTGAATTCAGCTTTTGATTGCTTCATCAGGTCAGCGTTGAGACAGATACTCAGGATCTCAATGAAATGTCATTTCGTTTACTCCACCAGGCTTGTCGGGGTTCTGAATTCGATAATGGAATTCAGACCGATTCAGGTCCACCAAATGACACGCTGGAGACCGATGCTAATCCAAGTCATAAGATCCCTGTAGAGGCGGACTTCCTGTATGCGTATTCCACCGTGCCAGGTAAACCATGTTTTCTTTGCTAACCAAATTAATGTTGAGTGTTCTGTTGCAAATTAAAAAGTCCAGCTTTGCTGATAACACTGATGTTTTTCCAGGGTATTACTCCTGGAGGAACCCTGGGCGTGGTTCCTGGTTTGTCCAGGCGCTCTGCTCTGTCCTCAACGAGTTTGGCAAGAAGCTGGAGCTGATGCAGATCCTAACTCGGGTTAACTACATGGTGGCCACCAGCTTTGAGTCCTGGTCTGAAGACCCACGCTTCACTGAGAAGAAGCAGATTCCCTGTGTGGTCTCTATGCTGACAAAAGAGCTATATTTTAACTAGCATCCTACCTGTACTGTATGAAACTGTTGGACCAGACTGACTGTTTCAGGCACTTAACTCAAAGCATTCAGGGATGATCTAGGCCGAAGCACTCTTTATACATAAAGCACACGATGTTATAGCTGGGCCTGAAAAACAGATCTAGAGTACCACAGCTCGCTGCATTCACATGCGAATCGTTAAACCTCTTCTTAAGGGTAAAAAGGCTTCATCTCTGTCCTCAGGACTTGTGAAATATATACGTTAATCAGCCAGACCCATAACACTTGGAGAATCATACCTGTGTATCTGTTCTCTACTTTCCAGCACTTGCAAAATATCTCGTTATCTATTAAAAAGATTACCAATAGTTTTGTTCAGGCTTCACTGCTTCCAACTGTCTTCTCCTCAAATTAAACAAAAACATATCTTTAGTCGGTGAATCTAAGTATTTTACACCATATGTTTTAAACAAGATCAGCTCTCTCTCATTCTCTAAATCCAAATAATGCACATTTAGCTGAAGTTTTTAGCACAGTGAGTTTTGCGCATCAGACAGAACACCAGCAACAGATAGAGATTACATTCAGTGTCACTTTTATTTCAAACTGATGCTCTCGTTTAAGCAAACCCCGTCACCACTCACTTCACCAATAGGCACCGAAAACAACACAACATGAGAAGGAATTGCTTGAGAAGCAGTTTATCTCACTTGTTTGATTTGTTGTCCAAAATAAATTCAATTCACTGTTTCTCTTTTTGGACAAAAGATATCAGACGAGTGCAACGAAGAGCAGACCCAAAAATAAACTAACCTAAAATAAACACCAGTTCAAAGAGTAGGAGTGGGAACTGCTAGTCTCTACATATGATGAGATGAATTTCACCAGTGTATGACGATGACTATGGGGCTAACTTTTTGACTTTAACTTTGATTGGTTACCTAAGGTGGCGCTAATCAATGATCTCTGACTGATTTAAAGTCTCCGTTGCTGGATCAAACCCAAAACAATTACATTTGGTGAAATTATGCACGTATTTTTGAACCAGGGTCCGACAAAATGGCTTGAAATATGTAATTTAGTCTACTTGACATTCCTTTATTAGTACAGTGTCTAAATTTAGAACACTTGAAGAATATCCAAATGGTGGCGTGACTTGTGGAAACATCAGAGTATAAAGCTGAGCTGGAGCGTAAAGCACAAATGCTGCATCATTTGACTGTATATTATTGTTGTTCACCGTCTTCACTCACACTCTACTGTAGCTAAATGGAGACTAACAGTGTCTTGGTATTTATAACTTTACAAATGTAGTTTGCTTTACAAGACAAAACTGCTGGAGGAAAAAAGTCCCATTCTTTTTAGCACTTGGTGCACTTTTGCAAGTTTTTGAATGAATTATAGAATATTTGAATAATTTATTTTATAATGGAGTTTTATGAGACAATCTAAAGAAAAGATGTTTTATTCCACATACAAGACAATTTTTTTTTACTGCAAATGATAGAAAGTTTGTTTTAGCAGAAAACCTGTTATTGTCTCAGTCTGTCAACCACAGAGGCAGCTATTACTGACAGTAACAAGTCTGAACACACTCCACATGTCCACGGTGTGCACTCCCACTCTTCCTGCTGTTATTTTTTAGTCACATGACTTCATTCACTTGAAGAGAGGGGAGCCTGCCAATATTATAATGCTTTTCTGTTTTAATGCTTTCTGTTATTCATCAGCCATGTTTATTTTTTGAACATTTACCTGACAAGTGCCACGTGTGTGATCAGTTCTGGCAGTCCCTGTTCTTGACCGGAGTCTCCACATGTCTTGAACCTTCTGGACTCGTGAATCTCTGATCAGTGAACTGATGCCGGAGCTGCACTAAAAATGTTTGCTCCACTTGATTTGGAATGAAATTAAAGAAGGAAAAAAAGGAGATTTTTGTTTTTATGGAAGCAGAAACTTTCAGATGGGTTCTCGTGTTAAAAACTGTTGTCCTCAGGAATATATTTGAAAACCTAAAGAAAAGTGAATGAATGAACTTTGTAGAAAGTGTAATCTGACCTGATTTGTAAAATTTGGGGCAATTTGTTGTTAGACTTTAAAACAGACAAATGCTTTTGTAAACAACTTGTATTAAACATGATGCATTTAATGTGAATGGTAGTTTTTTTTTTGTTTTAGTTTGAACACGTAAATAAACAATATTAAAAATACATTTTCATACACTTATACCTGGGTGCAACGTCAAGGTCAACTTTATTTATTTAGCACCTTTACTGTTGCTCATGCAACCCAAAGTGCTGAACAGAACAATGCCATCAAGATATCCAAAATATTTAATTTTCTTAAGTTAAGAAATGCACTGAATCTGTTTCCTGTGGACAGATGCCAATGACTCATTCAAGTTTCAACAATTCCAATTACTCTAGATTATTAGAATCATTAGTCTGATCAACTCTAGTATAATCTTTCTAATTAAAACTCCCGAGATTTGTTTTTGCTTGCACAGATTAGCCCTTACTTTTCATTAACCTACTTTAATTGAATTGTTTATTTATTTTGGTGTACCAGTAAATAAAAAATAAGATTTTCAACAGGCATAAAGAATTAAAGTTGTATAGTGAATAAATAGTTTATGTGTAAACACGCTTAAGATTTAAATTAATTTAGCCCATTTAAAATTACCTTTTAAAACACTAGCAGCTTATTTACAGTGAGTGAGAACATGAATGGAAAACTGATATGAATGAGTGAGTGCAGGTAGAAAAACAGAACGACTTTAGTACGCAGTAAGGGTGGACCCAGGCTTTTCACACCTTTGGTCTTTGTTTTTTATTCATGGTGAAATCGCTTGTGGGTTTCAATAAACCAGAGATTAAATGAAATCATTTCAGGTCAAGATCAGAGTACTTTCTTTGTGTCCTGAAAGGAACCTTTCCCCTTTATCACAACATGAAACTCTCCTTGATACACTTTTGAGAAACGCTTGTCTTCAGGTCAGTCACGCCTGCTTACGATAGAGTAAGCCCAGTGTGACTCAGTAAACCACATAGTCTCTAGCTCTCAAATAGAGATGCTCTAAACACTCTTTTTGGCATAAAGAGACCTGCAGGTGTAAACTATCAGAATCTCAGACAGCGACACGAGCTAAGAGTATCTGATCTGATCAGCTTATGATCAGGATACAATGCTCGGTGAAGGGTCTCAGTGAGAGTGAAGAGGAGTTAGATCCTGTAAAATAAAAGCTAGCAATAACTAGGAGAGCTGCAGAATTGTAGGTGGAATATTCACCTCAGCTGATTCTCCTATTGGTCTATCAGCTCAACTTTTTACCCCTGACTGACACCCCACTTCTGGGTGATGCAATCAGTTCAGGGTGTGCAGTGTCGCTGCTGATACATGTGAGGAAAAAAAACCTAGAACAGATAATCTGTCACGTTTTTTCCCCACGTATTAAATTCCATGAGAAACTTGTTTTCCTTTAGCCTTTAGAGTTCAATAACAACCTGAAGTCTAATGTCTTCAGAACACCTTGTCTTTTAACACTGCATGCTTCGCAACACTGATTTTGTGCTTTTGTGTCTGCTCAGCCTGAACAAATCAGACACTTGGTGTGCAACAGGTTCAGCTGCTAAATGAGATGTGTGACACAACTTCTCAGTGTCAGGAACAGCATCAGGTTACTGGTAATCCCTGGGATAAGGGCCAATAAATAATGCTTACGGATTCATTTGTGGTCATCATTAGGTACTTCCTGTCTGCAGATGGAATCTGGGTGCAAGTGGGAATGAACCCTGACAGGAAAAGACGTTAAACGTTTCTTTACGGTCAATAGAAAACTATTCATGAGCTGGAAATGAAGATAGAACACATTCTTGCATTTCTAGTGAGGGAAAGGAAATAATCTGTTATGTTTAGCATCACCACACACACACACACACACACATGCATTCCCACTCATAAATATCTGCATGTACTTTAATCTGGAAACAAAGGTTTTTCAGTTTTACAATTTTTTTATTCTGAATTTTGTCAAAAACATGAAAAATGCCCTTATTATGTTGCTTATTTTGATCCAGCTCAGATGTTGACCAGCAGCCGTTTCATCTCCCAAATGAACCGAGCCAGTGTGATTTGAAAGGTTTGCATCAGGATGTCTGGTCTGTACTTGTTCCTGGCCTCCTTCATTGGATCAGTCAACAAAGGTAGAAAGGATGTTAGTGAGTTAATTATTTTGACATGTTTCACGTTGGATTTTCTAAAATATAAAATCTAATTATTGGTAAATAGTCTAATTAAAAAGTTGTTTTTGGAAAACTAATGTCAATTGTATTTATTTATTTAATTGTATATTTATTTACTTATTTATTTTCTCCACAGTTGTAGTTTAATTTCCAGAAAAGCCTGTTGAAGGGATCATTAATGCCAGATTTATTTACGTGGAGCAGAGAACATGCTGTTTTAGCATTTGTATTGCCCCAAATCTCGCAAGCTTGAATGATTATAAAAGCAGGAGAAAAATGAACAAATGCATTTCAGAGTTTCTAACTGATTTAACCTTCAGCTGGATCCTCCACAGAAGCACAAGGATGCATGTCTGAGTTAGACTGAAAAAAAGAGCGAAGAGTTTGGTCCTATTTTAGAACTAAATGTTACGAGGACAACAAAAACAACCTGATCCCTGCACATCTAGATGAAGACAGTTTTGAACACAGGTCAGGGTTTGCACGTACTACTGCAGGCATTTGTTGTTTTACAGATGTCACCTACAGCCTGCAGGCAACCAGTAGTCAGAGATTATGAACCAGTGTCACATGTCATCAAGCAGTTTTGTAATGTGCTGCTCTCCTCCTCACACCTGAAGTCACACCAGTGTCACCGTGTTCTGGTGGCATCTCTTTGTTTCTGCTGATGTTTTAACAGTAAAGCCTCTTAACCACATAAAGACCACATTTTTCACATGTTGAGACTATTTCTGAGGTTATAGGTGTTCTGCCTAACAGGATTAGTCCCTTAAAAAGCTGTGGTAAACCAATCACATATGTGATATAATTAGAGATGCACCGGTTCAGGCTTTTGATTCTTGTACAAGTGGGATCTGCCGAAGCCGATTTAGTACATTTCTGAGTTATCTCAAATGAAGAAAATTAAGATTCAGCAATAATTACATGAATACTGTTTTCAAAACTTTCTGGTAACTTGAAAATAAAAATTGTGGAAATAAAAACGTAATGGTATGTGGGAAAACTACTTAGTAAGTTTTATTTTTTATTTCTGCTTGCCAGTGCTAAAATACCCCCCCCCCCCCCCCCAAAAAAATAATAATAGTAACAAATTCTCCTTATTTCAGATTGACTGATAACTGATTCAACTGAATGAATGCCGTTTCCAATCACCAGATATTTTTTATAATCTGATGTAGGGTTATGTCGTCTGCCTTCTAGTGCTGGATCTAACTACTGCAGGTAGCAAGTTGTTTATTCTCTAAGATACTGTAGATGATTATATAAATATTGTGCAAAAATGAGGCAAAAGAGACTCCAGCTATTTAAACTATACCGTTTTCTGATCATCGTTCCAAGCATCAGTGTAGAATAATGAAAAAGCGCATACAAAAAGAAATTATGAGTTCAGTCCAAAGAAAGAATTCAAGAAGAACCTGAATGTCTAATGTTTGCATACAGACCACAGATCTCTGCCTGGAAGGTTTGGAGTGAATAGGCAACAACATAACCACCAGCGTTTTTAACATCCGGCCACAGAGGTGAAGCTTTTCTGTTCAAACACCACTTAAACGCTCTCAGCCATGTCTTCATGTTTTTGCCAGCATGTGCCTTTGAAGACAGACCACACATCTGAACTTTGAAGACAAGAAGAAGGGACAGAGAAACATATGGGCAACTTGTCAGAGTCAAAGAAAATTGATTCTGTGTCCCAACAGGAAGCCCATTCAAGCTCTATTAATATCTGTCCGAACCAACCTTTAAGTGTGTGATTGTGACCTACATGCACTCATGAGGACGTGTGTGAAGTTTTATGTGAGTCAGCCATGATGACTAAATAATAAATACAGCACGTACTCACTCTGAAAATAAAACTTTTATGTCCCACAAACTTTAGTGTTCACGGGCAAAAACATCAAAAAGCACCCTCTCCCCCCCAATAAAACTTCCTCTAGTCATGTCCCTTTCTAGTCCCGTCAGACCCGCCTCCTCTTCCTCCTCACATGTTGCATTTGTTACCAGAAGGCACGAACAGGGACAAGGAGCAGCAAGCTGCCATCTGACTACTTCCTGTTCACAACCGGTGCAAATATTTTCACTATAAAAGTCCCCACTGATTAATCGCAGAAATATGCCTATCTATTTTTCCTACTGAGGTGTTCAGAAGTGTGTGTGTGTTCACTAAAAATTGATGTATTTCAGTTTAATCATGTCTAAAGATCCTATTTTATGCTTTTTAAAATGTCTGTATTGCATAGTTATAATTTAATAAACCACATGTCCATTATTGGGATTTTGAGAGGTTGAGGACCAACAAACTGTAAGACAGAGAGGAAATTATCTCTGTCTGGCCCCAAAACAATTTCTAATCGGAACCTGGCGAACGAAAACTCCCCCCTCAGAAGATATGTGGAATGTGCCGTCGCTATGGCAACTCAACTCTGTCTCCTTTCCCAGCCTGGGTGGGACTGCGGGAAGGCCGCTGAAACGTTTCAGGGTCACTGCAACCCTCCAACCCTCAATGCTCCTCCCCTATCCACACTGAGATGACTTGCGCTGCTTATCGTGGCTGCAGGAACTGAAGTGGGGATAGTCCCAACCCACCACCCCACCTAGTGGACACTTATGTTGTGTTGTCTGAAGTCTGTTGCATATCTGTCTGAGGTGTTTTTTTGCAGAGCAAAGCTGCCCTCCTGGTGAATGGTAACTCTGAAGTGCCTTTTTTTCCCCCTCCACCTGAACCAATCCTCATGTAACCCTCTGATCTCTATTAAGGTAGCGCGACTCAGGGTTGCAAATGACCACAGTCACCCATTATTTTCATGTGTCTTGCCCATGTGTGTCTGATCTCTGAATTGTGCGTACTGAAACTCTAATTTCTCTCTGGGATCAATAAAGTATCTTTGATTGATTGATTGATTTCCTGTGTGATTCGTTTTTTATTTTTGAGTAAGGATTTCAAATTTCAGATCATTTTCCATATCAATATCACCATTTATCTTCCTAAAAGGATCCGCTTAAAGTGTTGCACCTGTCATAAATGTACCATACCCCATACCATACTATTTTATTTGTTAAGCACTTTTAATGCAAGCCAAGGTGAACAAGTGTGTTTTCAGACGAGATTTAAAGTAGTAAAAAAAAACATGTCAATTACAGGGAGGCCCATCACTAATTAAATGGGTGTTTTCTGTAGGAGACACGCTCGTTGATGGACGCACATTGGCAACAAAGCAGGTAGACTTTAACACAAGCCCTAAAACAGGAAACCAGAAAGTCCAGTTCTCGTACTCGTCATCATTTAGCAGGAAAACCCTCCAGCTTTCTCATGCAAGCGTGCTTTAGTCAACGAGAGCAGCGCGAGCAGGATCTCAGGGCAGAGGTAAAGGTCTTTTGTTTTTTTCTGTGCATGTCCTGCAATCATTTTGGTTTTATTTTTAGTTTTTGCTTTTATTTGCAAGCCTCTTATTGTTACTATAGAATAAAACACCTTGTTTCCATCAGCATTTTGCGATCTAAATATTTCATTCATGTTCTTTTCGTGTAGGTTTCACAATGTCCAAAAGCCAGAAGAACACAGGTTCTGTATGACATCTGATTATCTTCTGCACTGATTCATGTGTTTAACGTGTGTAACAATGAGTCAGCAAACACCATTTCACCAAAACAAGACAAAAGATTCATTAGTACATTGCATAATGGCTCATTGTTGTGCAGATTCTTATTTCCTTGTTTCTTTTTTAACTTGATCTGTAACAAAAAGGTTCTTTGTCCTGCAGCAAGTGCAGTGTTTTACAAGCCAACCATAAGTGCAAAAGAAGTCAGAGCTGGATACTTGTACAAGTCTCCTCCCCAGAAGCGTCTGAAGCCAGAGGTGACTTTTCACAAGAGCATCTAATTTATTTCGTTGTTGTTGCATTCAACGTTGTCCTGTTCTGTTTCTGTTGCAGAAATTGTGGAAGAAGCGCTTCTTTGTCCTTTTTAAAATCAGTGAGCATGAATATCACCTCAGATACTTCAGGAGCCACAAGGAAAGGGAAAGCTCCATTGGAGGCATTGACTTGACTCAGTACGTTCTCACGTGGCACATTTGTGTGTCTCTGTAAACGTAGAAGCCATGTCCCTCTGAATTTACCCTCCATGTTTGTAAGGTTTGAGATTTATGTTTACTCCTTCAGAATCTCCCTGCTGTACGCGAGCCCTCAACATCACCAGAGGTGGTCGTGGGTGCAGAAGAGCCTCAAATGCTCCCCCTCCTGTGTGCTTTACATCAGGGCTGCAGAACGGGACTACTTCCTGGTTGGGGAGAGCAGGTCAGGACATTTATACTTTTATGCATTTTGCATAATTAGGCTGCAAAAACTCATGTCAGTCACTATCCATGGAACAAGTCCAATTACAGCTTTTTTCATCTTATTCAAACACAGATTGATTGATTTTCTTGTTACTAATTTAAAAGTCAGTGATAATTCAGGCCACAGCTGATGAATCCATCTCATGGTCCCTCAGTGACTCAGTCCCAGTGCGTCATAAAACCTGTCCTTATCACCGTTCATTATTTTTAGTTTGATCAATCCTAAAACAAATGATGGTGCTGCTGTTGCTGATCCTGCTGATCATCTGAAAATGGATTTGCAAACACTAAATTGTTGCTGAATATTACGCTAGTCACTTTGTTATTGGATTTTAAATTAAAATGTTAGAAGGACCCGTCTGGAAACAGGTTTTTTAAGTGGTTTCGTTTTGCTGCAGCGAGGAGGTGGACGGATGGTTCTCTGACCTATATGAGGCCCTTTCTAACCGACCACATAAAGTCTTCGACTCAGCGGTACTTTATAAAACATCTCATTGACGTTTTTTTTAAATTTTGTACAGATTTATCGTACTTGATCATTTATATGGTTTTTTACAATATCCGTCTGTCTGTTTCTTTAGGAAATTAGAAATGGGCAGCAAGCAGTTGAGGTGAGTGAAGTCAGTTTAATGTATCTCATCCATTTACAGCAACACTTTTGAACTCAACAGTAAATCAGTGGTGAGAAGATCTATAACAACAATAATTTATAAGCATGGCTGCTATTTTTGGACACTCTGAATAAAAACAAATGTAATTGTTCTATGCTGGCATCATATTTTTGCCCTTTGTATTTTCTAAGAGGGTTGCACCAATTAAGAACCATTTAGGTCATTTCTGATTTATCTCAAAAATCATGGAACATGGAGGTAAAAACTGGTGTTCATTAGAGCTTAAAAATTGACCACCCTGCTGTTCTTCTTTCATCAGACGATTTCAAACCCTCTTAACAAGCAAAAGACTTCACCAGATGGGAGTGACAAGGTCAGTCAAAAAACTCTGTGTGGATCTGTTTGTCCTGACAACTTGTTTGTCTTTTGTTTAGTAGATTTCTACAGAATTAAAAGAGCAACTAGTAGTGATCCCTGAGGAACTCCAGTGCTCCTTTGAGCTAGTTTGCTGTTGTAAATCACATCTACCGTGTATTATTTTGATGTAAGTGCAGTCGAATATGTTGACAATTGTCGTATTTAATCTTAATGACTCAAAATAAAGTTAAAAGAATTTTATAAGCAGTATTATTGTTAAATATTTGAGTGTTATATTTCAACACTTTTCTTTATCTGTGTACTAAAGCAGTGAGCATCACTGCTTGCCCAAAATTGATTTTGTATTATTATTTTTCATAAGTGGTGCAGCTGTGCCATAAGCCTTCTGCTGGGGAAGTATAATTAAACCCCTCTGGTTGAGCCTTAGCTCCTCCACAGGGCAGGAGAACTCCACAACGGGCAGTGTGTGATTGTAAAAACATGTCTGTGATTAGAATGTTGAGTTAAAGGGTGAATGTGAAACTCAGTCTAGATGAGTGTTAAAATGTCCATTTACGTTTGGACCTTTTAGCCTATTTTCTTTTATGTTATTCACTTGGATTATTTTTTGCACTGATTTTCAGGCTCCCCTACCTATGAGGCGAGCGGACACTCCTGACAGTGGCAATGAAGGCCATCTGATAGTTGTGTGTATATTTTTATGTTTGCCCTCTAAATGAAGAGTGTTTCAAGATTTTAAGAACTTTGCAAAGTAAGTAATTCTGAAAAATGTGTGTATTTTGTGTGTGTGTTTTAGCCTGTTCTAAAGATCAGGTCCATGTCGGATCCATCGTCCAACGCTCTGGAGTCTGAGCCTGAAAAACCAAAGGTGCACCATCACTTATATGTGTGCACAATGCTTCTGAGAGAGTGGTTGAAACAGGTCTGTTGTATTGTGTTCGGCAGGAGGAAGATTATAACAAAAGGCGATTGTCTGAGCCTGTGAACCCGATCTACGACTACCCCAAATCTTACCTAAAGTCAAGGGTCGGTTACTCTATATTGTCTTTGAGTTGAGTGTTGGTGTATTCATTATAATGTATTGTAGCATCAATAGAACTCTTGTTTTTAAAGTTGGAGTGATGGATGAATTTATGCATTTTCAAATGATAGGAAAAGTTCAGAGAAAAGGGAGCTGTGCGCTCCTGCAGCATGGAGTCATTGTGAGTCACTTCAATCTTTTGCAAAACAGGACTCACAAACGTTGATGCTGCAGTATTTAATAGATGCATTCTCCTCTTCCAGATACGAATCCATGGCAGAATTTAGATTAAAACTCAGTGAACAAATGGAAGCGTAAGTTTTCATCTCATTCTAAATGACAGATGTAGATTGAATTCAGTGCAAAAAGCTAAACCTGATTCTCTCAGTGACATTGAAGTTGCTGAGGCTACCAGCGGCACCCTGATGAGGTCCATCGATCAGGTCTACGCCAGGCTGAAGACACAAGTTTACCCTCTACCTTCCTTTTCAGAAAAGAGGGCCTCTAAAGACAGGTGTGTGTGATTTTTTTTACCTTTCACGTAGCTCTTTGTGTGGATCATTTGTGACATGCACAACTCTGCAAAGGATGCAGAAAAATGCAGTTCAATAATCGGCACTGGACACAGCCTCACTGGCTCTAAATACCTCTGCTCAAAACAATAAGCTCTTCTTTTTAAAGCACAGAAGTGCTGACACACCAGGATGTTCAGGAGCATCACTCCAGAGCTCGCTGAACAACTTGTGTTGTCGTTTCATCTCATGTCCAAGGTTACGGTGAAGAACAGATTCTGGGAGTGTTTTACAAATAGACTGATAGGACAAAAGCACCATTGTGCCACTTTTTAAGGACTGATAACCTTTTTCTTTTATCAATTTTAAACAATGAATGATTTTAGGAGGCTTTAGGATGAACAAGCTCCGGCCTGGTTGGAGAAGCTGCACAAGCGTAAAGCTGTTTTCAAGATGCAAACACCATGCTTCATGCCCCTCCACGTTCTCCTTACAAATGTCCTGGAATTTCTTTGTCTGTAAAATTTTCATTAAGTGGTAATAAAAGCCTGTTTTTTACAGAATAGCTTGGTTTTAATTCCTACTTTTGTGGCCACATTGCAGATGAATAGTTTACTTTTTCCAGTTGGTCACAAAGCAAAATTAAAACAAATGTAATAAAACATTTTAGGTGGTTAAATTAGACTTTTTATCATCAACATATATATATTCATCAAAATCTTCAGAAGCAGATGAATACGTAAGTGATTATTTTTATGAAACAGTGAGTTTCCTAAAGTTTTCGGCTACAATATAACAGCGATGCAAACCCGTAACCTTTCAGTAAGGCATGATTGGTCGAGTTAATCTCTGATGGCTATAAAATGACTAAAAATCATAGTAAAAGAAGAAGAAAATATCATGAGGCGCTTCACAAAAACAAAAAATGTAATAATATAAAAAAGCATTTAGAAAATGTTTAAAAATGTATTTAAAATGAGCAAAAATAGACAATTGTGATTTAAAAAATGTTAAGACAGACAGAGAGTGAATAGGAAAGAGGGAAATCAGTGGATCCTGAGGAAGGTGGAATAGGTGGGGAGAGCAGAATAAAGAGAGAGTGGTGAAGAAGGTCATACAAAAGCCAGCGTGAACAAGTGAGTCTTCAGCTGCTTTTTAAAGGAGTCCACTGAGTCCACTGATCTCAGGCTCAGGGGGAGAGAGTTCCAGAGTCTGGGGGCCACAGCAGCAAATGATCTGTCACCTTTGGTCTTTAGCCTGGTGCTGCACAACCAGTAGGCTTTGGTCACTGGACCTCAGGGACCTGCTGGGGGTGTAGGGACTAAGAAGGTCACCAGTGTAAGATGGTGCTTGTCCATGTAAGGCCCTATAGACCAGAACCAGGATCTTGAAATGAACCCAGACATTGACTGGCAGCCAGTGAAGTTGGAGGAGAAGCTGTGGGTGATGTGGGTGTGTTTGGAGGACTTGGTCAGAAGCCGAGCACAGGCATTCTGAACCACCTGTAGACGGTTCAGGGAGGTTCTGCTCAGACACGTGAAAAGAGAGTTGCAGTAGTCTAAGCGTGAGGAGATGAAGGTGTGGATAACTGTCTCAAGTGCAGAGCGAGACAGAATGGGACTCAGCTTAGCAATGTTCCTGAGATGGAAGAAGGAAGAGCGAACAAGAGAACTGACATGAGAATCCAGGGTGAGAGCTGGGTCAAAGGTCACACCAAGATTCCTGACAGAAGGTTTGGTGTGAGAAGCAAGCTGACCAAGAGAGTCTCTGACTTTGGGAACCAGCTTGTCTGGGGCACAGATGAGGATCTCAGTCTTATCTTCGTTCAGCTGTAGAAAGCTCCCAGCCATCCAGGTTTTGATAGAGTCTAAGCAGGTGTGTAACAGCTGCAGCTTAGACATCTCATGGGGCTTAAAGAAGATGAACAGTTGGATGTCATCTGCATAAAGATGGTAGGAGATTCCTTTGAAGTAGCTCAGGATGTGCTGAAGAGGAAGCAGATAGAGGAGGAAGAGCAGAGGCCCCAGCACAGAACCTTGTGGGACACCATGGGTAAGGGAGGTGGTGGAGGACATAAACTTGGAGACGGCCACAGAAAAGGAGCACTCAGAAAGATAAGAGGAGGACCACTCCAGAGCAGATCTTGATAGGCCTACCCAGTGACCATTAAGTGACCAGTAAAAGTGACCATTTGGTTGTTGGTTATTTGTGCGATGAAGCCCCTTCGTCCCACATCTCTGTTTAGCTGTACAGTCAGATTTTAGTTTGAGGCTTCATCAAAACACAGGCCTCTCCTTTTGTGTCCCTAAAATGCTGCAGGAAGTTCATCTGGATATCCAAACCCTGCAGGTTGGGGGAAAAAACGGCATCTTTAAAGATGACTTGAGTTTGATTTTCTGCCTTCCTGCAGTTTGAGCCAAAGAGTGAGACCTTGGCTTAAAGCGAGACCCCGTGTTAATCACTGTACCACAGAGACCGAGCCCTTCCTGCCTGTGCTAATTATTTCACGGCTTCGTCTGCTGCCCGCCTGCTGTCTGTTTGCTTCAGTGAACTTGCTACGATGTCAAACTGTGTCATAATTGTTCATTTCTGATCTCTGATTTGCAGCCAACAGCTGTTTTGCCGTGCTAAAGCGTATTCTGTCTCCTACTTTAGTCGTTGACGTGGGATAACTCCTCTCTGACATGCTTCTTAATTAAAAGTTTTCCAGGGCCTCTGCAGCTGTTTGTAGATCATTTCTAGACTCCACGCAGCTCTTGTGAACATTTTTTCAATCCTACGATATCTGATCCTTGTTTCCATCGCTGAAATAAAACTAGTTTTGATTTTGTGGCATGTATTGTCCAGTTAAAATTAGCCATCAGTTCAGCTATAAAAAAAAAAGCACAAAGCTGTAAGTCGTTTCCTTTTGTTGTTGTGCTGTTTGTACAGAGATCGGATGCTCTAATCAGGCACACCTCTTGGTTTTTACAGGGAGGAGAAACGTCAGTCTTCAGATTTCAGCAGCAGCTCCAGTGGCGCCATGTCCCCTGTGGACACACTGGAGAGACAGGTGTACTCCCCAGACAAACACAGCTCAACTGAGAGGTGAGGGTCACCTGTGTTCAAACACAGCTACTTGTCGTTTTCATTTACTACAGCACAAACTGCTGCTAATGCTCATTTGAATATTCAGCAGCAAAAAGTTCATTCGAGTCACGATGAACTGTCTCAGAATCATCCTCTGTGACACCGTTCATGCAATTGCCAGCGATAAAGCTCAAAAATAGCCTCAGAGCTGTAACTCAGTGAGACAACAGAGCCCAGGAGGACTGGTTAGCCCAACCTGCTGGACCAGACGGAGCGGTTGCTCTGACAGTAATGCATCATTAAAGCAAAGCTCTGAACTACTGAAACCAGAACACTAAACTTTACATGAAGAGGAGCAGAAGTCATGTTGCATTCAGATACATGTTTTTGAGTCTATGTGCTCAGAAGGAAAATAAATCAACATTAGAAGTGGATTCAGCCGACGTTTAACCAGATTTTTACTGATACTGTGTGTGACATGCACGGATGCAGCAGTCGCTGTAGTAAATGTGATGCATAAATAAAGTTAACCTTGACTAAAAGAGAAAAGTCATGTTTCAATAACACATTTAAAATTATCCATTATTTTCCTGACGAAAGCTTTTAATTTGCCTTTAATTTAGTCTTGATGAAGTCATCCCAGGGGAGAGACAGTTCAGGGTGAAGCTGATAGACCTGAAAAACCACCTGACATTGACAGAAGTGGATGGGAAACCAAGGTACGTTCATCACAAACCAAGCTGTGTGGTCGTACAACTGAAAGCTCTGAATAACATAAACACGAAGGGAAGAATGAGAACAGAAAACTCCGTTTACTCCTAGCAGGTTCGCCTTGAGCCGCTAAATCACAGATTATGTCAGAAGCGTTCCAGACAAAGACGGCCACTGTCCTTGTTTGTTCTCTTTTCTGGCAGTAGAGAAAAGCCCTGCAGCTTAATCAGGCTGTATGTCTGGCCGAGACCGTCCGCTCACATGCATTGTGTGAAAGTTTGTGTATTCACGGTGGGATTAATAACTGCTCTGTGGATTAATTACTAGTTTAATATCCTGAGTCAGAGGAGACAAAGTCTTTCCCCTTGAATCACTAGAAACCTGCTAAAAATGATACCCTTCTGCAGAAGACAAAGCCAAAGCTCCTAAATACTAAAAGTAAGAGAAGTATGATTGTGCATGCATGGAAAGAGCTACACAGTTAAAACATGAGCATATATTCTCCTGTTGGGGCATTACGCTAACATTTAAAAAGTGACTAATCAGGCTGTCTAAAAGAAATTCAAACAAAAAAAGTAAAAAATGATAAACCAAACAGAAATTACTGCACTAATGCTAGTGCAGATAAACAGTGTTTGTGCAGGCTGCAGGGTGAAGGCAGCATTTACCTGAACGTCACCCTCCCTGTTGGTACGAAGGACGTATTTAATGCAGGTTGGGCGGCATTTAAAGGTTTTGCATAGAGAACAATAAATAATCAGGCATTATGTAACGTGTGCAAAAGGCTGCATTATTTGAAACGCTTGTCCGATCCATTAAATGTGTGGCATATAAACCTGTAAACACAAAAACTGGATAACAAGAATAAAGGGATTCAGTGACCAGTTTCCATTTTCTAGCTAAATGATGAGTTGTTTTGGGTTTATAGCTGCAGAAGTTTAAGATTTATATGTTGTTTCTAGAAAAAGAAATTATGTGATTGTCACCTATGCAGAGATCTCCAGACTACGTATGGAGCTCATGAGTAAAAAAGCTGTATGACTGGTTTTCTCAACAAATGTGTGCGTTGCAGCGTGTCTAACTGGACAGGACAACCGCAGTCAGTGTGCCTCTTTCACAAAGGTGATGAAATCGTGGCGATAAACGACCTGCACACCGGCAGCGTGGACGAGTTCAACACGTTCCTCAACAAGTCGATCAAGAAGGAGGTACTTTTTGTAACATGTCCATCAGATAAATGTTTTTTTTAAACATTACACACGTTAAAAGCAGCAGATTTGAAAATGTGAAACGTGATTCTAGGTGAAGATGACCATCGTGCGCCTGCGTGGATGCCAGCCTTTGCATCTGCCCAACTGCCCCTGCAGCGACTGAGACATTCCTCTGCACCTGCCCACCTCTGCAATGGGCTTTGTAAAATAATGTATGCAACTACTGCCAGTATTTCCCAAAAGCTGCAGACACTTTTCACCGATCTGTCCCCCTGCCTTGTTTACCTGCTAGTCTTTAAGAGGTTAAAGTGAAGAACAGCGCAAAACAGATCAATAAGCTCTCTTTGCCAAATGCTTGGTGTTTTATTTCTTTATTCAGTGTGATCTTACTACTGCATCATGTTGGCGTAGAAGGAAGTAAAAGAGAAATTCCCTCATAGCATTGGCATGGTACTTTGTGCAATGCCAGTTTCATGATGTAAGCACCTGCACTTGAGACAAAGCCTTTCAGGTTACACCACATAAGCCAAGGTGCTGGAAAAAGATGCAAATGTTTGCAGTGTTTCAGCTGAATGTGAACCAAGTTGGATTTACGACCATAGATCTTGATCCCTTTAAGAGGGCTATCTTTAGAAATCTGCCCATTCATAGATGGGAGGAAACTCCAGCAGTCAGTGTTTAGTGACAAACGTCATTCCTGAGAGAGGATGACTCATCCCCATACCTCTCAGTTTGTCTAGCCTGTGATGAAAAGCCTTTTTTCACACCTCGAACCCATGGAGGGCACAAAACACCATGTTGGTGGCGGTTGGTAGGCATTTAATTTGAATAGAAAGACTGACAAATGTAGTGTTTTATTTGCAAGTGAGAAGCAGTTATTTGTACGTGGTGGAGGAGTAAGTGAAGTGAACAGAGAGACCGGTATCTCATGTCGTCCTCCCCCCTGGGGGACTTTAAAGGGGAGACAGAATGGTGTCACGCCTGGGGATGCATTTCACATGCATCCAGCTCATGTAAAACAGGGAAAAGGACTCACTTTGCTGAAGATGTACTGAGATAAAGTAGGAGCATGACATAAAAAAATTAAAAGTCACGTCTGGCTGCAGGAGGAAAGCTAGAATCAAATGGAGACTATCTACAAAGTCTTTCCACTTGAATCAGATTTAAAATGAGTTTAAAAATACCCTTCCTGCTGTCTGCAGAGGTCAGGGACGAAGCTTAATTCCAACATCAGATATGATCAGACATGAGAGCCTCAGTAATGGTAGTGTTTTAAGTTTTAATGGAGTCTCTAAAACCGACAGATAAACTCAACTGTGATGTTCAAGCTTTTCTGTTTATCATTCTGTATTTAATGAATTCTGGTTGTGGAATCTGTGTTTTACATCAAGATGATTATGAATAAATTTTACTACTAATGTCAGTGTTTGCCTTTTAAATTACGGAACACTCAGAGCAGAGACAGAGAGTAAAAGTGTTATTTTAGTTAATCTGGGCGACAGAGCATCTATTTGTCTGTTATAAACACAGCAAATGTCTCGTTTAAACTTCATCTGGATCTTTCAGAAGTCACCTGCAAAAGCATTTTCTCTGATTCAGTCAAACTAAACTTAATTGGATTTTTGTTATAATTAAGCCTCAGTGTGCATTTAGCAAGAATGTATCAAGCTGTTTGAGTATTTACAGATGAGCTTGTTTTGTTATGCGGGAAGGGGTTCTGACCCTCTGTGGGTCAATGAACCCGAAAGCTGGAACCCTTCACATGTTTTTTATAACTCAAATAAAACTAATATCATTTTGATTTATAACAATTGATCTAAACGCTAAAGATAATTGTTATAACTTGTAAAATACTGAATTGAAGCTGTTAGTGTACCCATCCTTTACCATTACCACGGCCAATCAGAGGGTTCCTGGTTCAGTCCTGTCTTGTCTCAAGAAAACAACAAAATAAACCATCAACACAAAACAGGCTTGCTGCGTTAAAACTCATTATTGGCTAATATTAATATAACAATAAACTAATCAGTTTTACTATTATAATATTTAGAAAAATATGCTTTTTGACCCTAATGGGCATCCGTTGGTAAGGTTTTTAAATTTATTTATTTTTTATTATTATTATTTTTCCCATGTCCTGTCTGGCTGTGAAGCAAACAGAATTAATGTCTGAATGCTGGTGACAAGCCTTACAGATTTACCCTCAGGTGGAGCATCAAAGCTTCTGCTTTGATGTCTTTATTGTTATTGTTTTTTTAATGCTTTATAATTTCGACCAGACACGGAGCAGAGGTGTGCTAAGACCCCTAGTCTCCCTCCATCATTGGTAAGGTTTTACTCCAACACCAACATACTACTTGATTGCAACAATTTAGGTATCTACTGCCCCCTATCGCCAGGGGAAATGCACACTGTCACTTTAAGGCCAAGAGTGGTTTTATGAGAATTTATAACAGTAATCTCAATTGGTCCCAGCGTGCTCTCCATTATTAATGTTTCTCTTGTTTCTGGTCAGGTCCCTGCTTACTTTAAGAATGCTGTAATCCACCCGCTTCTTAAAAAAATATGAGTCATGACCCCTCTCTCCATAGCAGCTTCAGACCCATCTCTAAACTTCCGTTCATCTCCATGATCTTGGAAAATGTTGTGGCTAAACAGCTGCTCTTGATGAACATAACATCTATGATAGCTTACAGTCAGGTTTTCGTAGAGCTCATTCTACTGAAACAGCTCTTCTTAGGGTCTCTAATGACCTTCTGACTCACAGTGATGCAGGGAACTATTCTGTTCTGGTCCTGCTGGACCTGACTGCAGCCTTTGACACAGTTGACCATCACCTGCTACTGGAGAGGCTGAGAGACTGGGTAGGCCTATCAGGAACTGCTCTGGAGTGGTTCTCCTCTTATCTTTCTGAGCGTTCCTTTTCTGTGGCCGTCTCCAAGTTTAGGTCCTCCACCACCTCCCTTACCCATGGTGTCCCACAAGGTTCTGTGCTGGGGCCTCTGCTCTTCCTCCTCTATCTGCTCCCTCTTCAGCACATCCTGAGCTCCTTCAAAGGAATCTCCTACCATCTTTATGCAGATGACATCCAACTGTACATCTCCTTTAAGCCCCATGAGATGTCTAAGCTGCAGCTGTTACACACCTGCTTAGACTCTATTAAAACCTGGATGGCTGGGAGCTTTCTACAGCTGAATGAAGATAAGACTGTGTAGCATCATGAATGTCCTGTTTTTGACCTAAAGGTCATGATCTGCTGCGTCTGCTCAAGCAGAGACATAAAGTCTCTGACAGGCTAATCTACATGAGATAGTGGCCAAGGTCTTTCATGCACTCTGCTCATCTGAACTGCTTCACCTTTGTTTCAGCTCAATACGAAGATGAAGATGAAGAACACTATTTTGATAAACACATAATCAACAACTTTGTTATTACCAATAATAATGTGAGCCCAATGTTCAATCAAACTGTGAAATGACAATGTTATTACTTGATATTATAATCATGTGATCAGTAGTATTTTACAAGTAATTATAATCCTGGACATTTGCACTAGACACTAATGACACGTAATGCTGAAGCCACACGACACATTTCCTTTTGTCTGATCCAATCAGAACCTTCATTTCTGGCGCTAGGCGTGGTTTTCTGTGGTGTTTGTATAAACACTCTTTTGCATGTCAAATTCTGAGTCGCCAGTAAACCAAAATATGACAAGTATAAAAACTATTCCACGCCACCTTTTCTTTAGTTCAAGCGTTCTAGAGAAGTCTCGGACAGGCCATCCGGACTTCCTCTTCAGCCAAAAAGAACCTCAACAAGCTGGATAAAATCTGTTGCAAGTTACACCTGACCGCAACGGTTCCTTCAGAATAAAAGCTGAACCTCACGACCCCTTCAGGGTCTCGGAGACGCCAGTGATAACCTGCCGTGACCTGGAAGCATTCAAAGACTAGTTTGGTCGGCACCGCTGCTTTTCTACCAGCTTCGGTACCAAGGAGGGTCCAAGAGGACCTCGGCATTCTAGATCTAACGGAGCCTTCCCCTGGGGTACGTAGACCGACAGATGGCGTTTCATGTGTGTTATAAATCCCCTACTAAAGTTTAGAGTGAAACATTCACTCCCACTCAGAACTAACTGCTTTTCCGGATCCGCTTGTTCTGAAAAACATTCCACACATACACCATCATCTCACGTCTCATTCCACCTTAGTTCCATCAGTACACAGAGTGTTTAAGTTAGTCTTGTTTAAATTGTGTAGAAATAAATTTCTTAACTATTTTAAACCCGACTCTCTCTCTTTTTCCTTGGAGTTAATACGAAGTGTCACTTAATCCCTGCAATAAAAAGTTCCGATCTTCTGGTTAAAATATTCAAAGATCCATCAGATTGATATTTCATAATTCTATGGAATCTCACATTTTATAGTTCACAAGTAAGATATAAAAGGCCCATTCTTTACATATTGGTGAGTCTAAGCCATTAATTTGTATATTATGACATTTTGTGTTGATTCTGAGTCATTTTAATCGATAAAACACTCAAAATCCATCAAAAATCGATGTGTTTGGTGAGAAGCGGGACGATCTCGTCATCTGCCACTAGAGAGCAGTCGACCTCCATTTAAGTCTAAAAAGGGGGGTGACACCAGTCACCTCCGACAGGGGGGCTCTGATTCCTCTCTTTCACCCAAATGCTGAGTCATCATTTCTAGCTTTGCCACATTGGAGTTTTATAACTACAAAAGCTTCATCTGCACAGGTTTTTCCTGCTGTTATGTATAAGGTAAATTCATGTCATTTAATCTGTTGTGATTCTGTCAAGTCTTTTGAGTGAATCTGTGTTCACTGTGCTTAACTTGTGTAACTGGAGACAGACGCTTCTCCACGGTAGCTTGCTACCCGTTTCCGGTCTGATCCCCGTGATACCTATTCTAACCCAAATACCGGACGAGATCCGTATTTATACACGGTTAGTCAAGTGTAGACCTGAAGAAGTCAACTTCAGAACTTCAAGGTGGTACCCCCCCAGCTTGACTTAGCATTGAAGTGCTAACAGTCTTTATAAGCTTTTAAACGAAAGAGCGTACGAGTCTCAGACCACATTAAACGCTATTTGTCCAAAAAATTAACATAAGTGCCTCAACGCAGGTCCGTCGTTAATCTGGCAGGTCAATTCTATGAGAACTGGACCAAACCTGGTAGCACCAGGCCCCGCTAGCTTAGCACAGCCAAGCTGCTAAGTCTAGCTTTGGTTCGACAGCTGGGCCTCGCAAACCCGGCAGCTTTGTCAACCGCCTGACACAGCGTTGTATGTGTCCCAAATCCGCTATTTTCTACGGGACAAGCTCCGACAGCATTCGAGCACATTTTAGCAGTGTTTTCTGACAATTGTGTTGGGAAATGTTCTATTCGATCAACCATTTTGAGGAAGTCCTGATTGGTTGGTGACCCTGAGCATGGGGAAACTACATGCTCACTGCCGGGCTCAATGCCCCCATCAGATTCCATCTGATGTTTTCTCCCAAATTGAACAGGTCATGGACCAAGCCGATGCTCTTACCAATGAAGTCGAGCGAGACAAGTTACGACAACTTCTATTAAAATACAAAGACTTTCTTTCACTCGACTCCTTGGACTGTGGACTAACCACTATCCATGAGGTCAGGATTCCTACACTGTCACACGCTGCGCTGACCTTTGTGCGGCAGTACAAGATTCCCCTGGCGTCCCATGGACCAGTCCAGGAAATCATTGAAAGCCTCTTGGCGAAGGGCATTATTCGACCCTGCAACAGCACCTACTCGGCTCTGTTGTGGCCGGTAAAGAAACCTAATGGTAAGTGGCGACTGACCATTGACTACCGGCAACTCAACAAACAGGTTCCCTTGTCTAGGTGGCCGATGGAGCGCCTGGAACAAGAACTCCCGATGGTGAAAGACGCTAAATACTTCTCCACCCTTGACATTGCATCTGGATTCTGCACAATTCCTGTCCATAAGTCTGACCAATACAAGTTAGCCTTCCCTATTTCCCATTCACTCTCCTGCGCAGTCCTGCGTCTCCCTCATATGTCTCCTTGTGTTCTCCATCCCTCTCTAGGTTTCCCTTATGTGTCTCCTTGTGTTCCTTATGTGTCTCCTTGTCTGCATCCCTCCTCAGGTGCCTCCTTGTGGTCCCAGCCCCTTCCAGGTTTCCATCATGTTTCCCTAAGTCTTCTGTGCCCCTTTTTGTCACCAGCTCACTCTCTGTTTCCCTCAGGTCTGTCCTAGTCACCCCTCTGTAGTTTTTTATAGGATCAGCTTTTCATTGTATTAGTCTCCTTTTGTGTGTGTTTTCCTTTCACACTTGTTAATTTGTCTCCCTCACTCCTCAGGTCATTAGTTATTTATCTTTGGTTCTCCTCTGCCCTTAGTCTTTCAGGTTTATTTATTTGGAGATTATTTAGAGATTCATAGGTTAAGGTTTAGGCTTGGTTTTCCCTTCCCATTTAGTTAATTAATCTCACCAGTCTCTCCCCACGCACCTGCTCCTCGTTCTCCCAATCACCCAGCCTTTGTGTATAAAACCCTGTCTGCGTCTAAATGTGTTGTTGGTCCATTGTTTGTGTCAGTGTTGTCTTGCTCCCCTCTCTTGGTCTCTTGTGTTTTGGATATATCCAGGTCAGCTCTTTAAGTGAGCTCTTTGTTCTCCAGGTCTCTTGGTTTTTCATACTTGGATCTTTGGATTTTCGTTTTTGGCTTCCTACCACTTTGGATTTACTTTGGACTATCGCTCCTAATAAAGGATTTTACATTTTCACTACTCCTGCCTTGTGTCATCCTGGGTCTGCATCTTGGGTCCTAACCTCCCCCAACTCACAGCGTGACACTCTCTCTTTCTTAAATTTTTTTTAAAATCACAATTGTCTATTTTTAGCTAATTTTAAATATATTTTTAACCATTTTCAAAATTCTTATTTATATTTTTACATTTTTTTGTTTTAGTGAAGCGCCTCGTGATTTTTTTCTTGAGAGGCGCCATAGAAATGATTTCTTCTTCTTCCAATCTATAAGACGTTGGGCGTAAGTTCACTGAGAAAACCATTTTTGCTTTGTCTCATTAAAATGTGATCATCACTTGCATGCAGGCTAAATGTGAAAACAGTCTATTTCCTGCATTAGCCGCCCATAGAAAACAGACTAGATAAGAAAAGCCTGTGAATTGCGCATCATAATGGTACATGGCCTGTATTTATAGCACCTTCTAGAGTCCTTGAATCCCCCAAGACACTTCACAACAGTGACGTATTCACACACTTATGATGAGCTACAATGTAGCCACAGCTAACCTGGGGTGCACTGACAGAGGTGAGGCTGGTGCCACCGGTCCCTCTGACCACCACCAGTAGGCAGTGTCTTGTGTGTCTTGCCCAAGGACACAACAGCATTCTCTGGCAGGAGACAAGAAGGAACCTACAACCTTCCGATTACTGGACAACCTGCTCTACCTCCTGAGCTACAGCTGTCCAGATAATGTCAAATCACGACTCACCCATCTTGGCTCGGAATGAGGAAGGCCGTTGTTGATTTGGCGTCCAGGAAATAATAATAATAATAATACATTTTATTTAAAAGCGCCTCTCAGAACACCCAAGGTCACTTGACAGAAAACATGTAATAAAATACAATAAAACAATAATAAAACCCAAAGAAGAAAAAAACCCCAGAGAGAAACAGTTCAATAAAATCAGAGGTTGTAGGCAGATTTAAACATATGTGTTTTGAGTTTTGTTTTGAAAAGGGTAAAACTGTCGATGTTCCTGATGTCTGGGGGAAGTGAGTTCCAGAGACGAGGAGCAGAGCGGCTGAAAGCTCTGCTCCCCATGGTAGCGAGACGGGCAGAAGGAACCGCAAGATGGATGGAAGAAGAAGATCTGAGTGAACGGGATGGGGTGTGAATACTTATAAGGTCTGAGATATATGTAGGAGAGAGGTTGTGGATTGCTTTGAAGGTATGGAGGAGAATTTTGAAGATGGACCTGAATTTAACTGGGAGCCAGTGAAGCTGCTGGAGAACCGGGGTGATGTGGTGAAAGGAAGGGGTTCTGGTGATAATACGGGCTGCTGAATTCTGGACCAGTTGCAGTTTATGAAGGAGTTTGTTGGGGAGACCATAAAGAAGTGAATTGCAATAGTCGATACGGGAGGTGACGAGGCTGTGGACGAGAATGGCGGCAGTGTGAGGGGTCAGTGAGGGGCGGAGACGGTTTATGGAACGTAGATGGAAGTATGCTGACCGAATTATGTTATTAACGTGAGCTTGAAAAGAAAGTGAGCTGTCGAGAATGACACCCAGACTCTTGATGTGAGGGGAGGGGGAGACAATGGCGCTGTCAATAGTAATGGCAGAGAATGTCTCTTTGAGGCATTTTTCCACATCTGCCTTAAACCTTTGCATGGTACTGCATGCTCTGTGTTTCATGTACTGCCCTTTGTCCCTCATTCTTTATTTTTATTCTTCTTTGCTCCTCTTGTAAATGTGATTGCTGCTGTGACACCAACATTTTTTCACTGTGGGACAATAAAGGCCTTTTCTATTCTGTTGGTTCAAAAACAAACATTAGTTTGTGTGTTTGATGTCCTTATTCCAAACAGCAGGGTGAAATAAACAAAACTGTTGAAAAATGTAATTCATTTGTCAGTTTTCATTCACAGAGTAGTTAAAATGTCAGTTTACATAAAGGATGAGTGAGGAGATCTGTTTTACGATAGCCCCATGTTGCTGTTTAATGAAGGTGCGATTAATCCTTCATTTCTTTATTTCAGGAGCCGTTCTGGAAGATGAGATGTTTATTCTGACTTTATTATGGCAGGTAACAGCCAGTGTCTATTTGAGATTAGTTTGAAAGGTGGGGTTTCCCACCACTTTTCTTTTGTGAAGGCAGACATACAGCACTCAGCATAAATGAGTACACCCCCTTTAAAAAGTACAAATCTAATCAGTAGCTTAACGAACAAAAGAACTATTTCCAGAATTTTAACAAGGCTGGGTTTTATTGAGCGCTTGTTTAACTCCATAACATGACATTAAGGTTAATAATTTAACTTAGATCACAAAATCTTCAGTTTCACTAAAATAGGTTAAAGCAAAAATGAATACACCCCTCAACAAAAACTACTACATCTAGTATTTAGTATGACCACCATGGTTTTCAAGGACAGCACCAAGTCTTCCAGACATTGAATGGACAAGTATGCGACATATTGCCATGTCTATCTTTTCCCATTCTTTAGGATTAACCTCTTTTGGAGTCTGGATGCTGGATGGAGAGTGAGGCTCAACTTGCTTCAGAGTTCCCCACAGGTGTTGGATTGGGTTCAGATCAGGAGACATACTTGGTTATTCAGTCACCTTCACCCTGTTCTTCTTCAGAAATGCAACAGTAGCTTTAGATGTGTGTTTTGGATCATTGTCGTGTTGGAAACGTGCATGAAGACCAAGTGCACGGAGTAATGGCAGCAACTGCTCCTTCAGTATAGAGCAGTATATTGTTGAGTTCATGATACCTTCAATGAAATGCAGCTCCCCAACACCAGCAGCACTCATGCAGTCCCACATATGGACACCGCCGCCACCATGCTTCACTGTAGGCACCATGCATTTCTCTTATGAAATCCTCACCTTTACAATGCCATACAGTTTTGAAACCTTTAGTTCCAAAAACTGTGATCTTTGTCTCATCACTCCAGAGTCTAGAGTCCCAGTAGTCTTCCTCTCTTTCAGCATGGGCCCTAGCAAATGCTAGGCATGCTTTTTTGTGCATGGGCTTTAGGGGAGGCTTCCGTCGTGGACGATACCCTCTGCAGTGAGCGCCGTATGGTGTCAGAGGAAACAATCACTCCAGTTTGGTTTTCTGCTGCTTTAGCTAACTGCAGTGAACTTGAATGGTGATTTTCTTCAGCCTCTCATCAGAAGATGCTCCTATCGAAATGTTAACTTCTGTGGATGACCTGGACGTCTCTGTAAGATGGTTGTACTTCTATCTTTCTTACATTGTTGGATCACTTTTGCTACAGTATTTTGACCGATATGTAAAGCTTTGCTGATCTTCTTGTAGCCCTCACCTTTTTGTGTAAAGAAATGATTTCCTTTCTCAGATTTTGTGACATTTCTCTTTCATGTGGAGCCATTGTTGATAACAAAGAAAAGCCCTTCTCATTTCATGCTAAGTAATGTCCTTTTACCTTTTTCCTGTCTGCTGGACACCTCTTAAATGGATCATTAGACTCACATGTGGTTGAATGCCTGTTAATTAGAATTTTGTAGTCTAAAATTTGGCTTTTCTTCTAAGACTATAATTGGGGTGTATTAATTTTTGCAACATGGGCTTGAATAGATTTGTTAGAAAAATCACTTTTTTGTGTGTGAAAATTAACAAACCTTGTTTGCAATCAACGGCCCACATTTGTGCGAGTATTTAGTAGTATGGCATCTCGGAGAAAACGTTGATTCTGAATGGAAACTAAAGGTTTTCTGACACATGTAGTGGGTGTACTCATTTATAATGAGCACTGCACCTATTGTAATCTGTATATCTCCACCAACACACAGGTTAATTAATAAACTGTATCTGATCAGTTCTTATGTTGTTGGTAAGATCCTTTTTTCACACCACAACACACCAAACAAAAGCTGAGGTCTCTGAGTTCATGTTGAGTGGATCTCACCTCCGGCTACTTCCTGAAACTGGAACACAGCGAGTGTAAAAGGTGAAGAACATGTTGGTCCGGAAAGATCAATGGAGACTTCTGCTTTTAGAGCCAATCTGCTGCCTCCGAGAAACATCTGGAGCATCTGAACGCACACTTCTAAACAAGTTCACCCTTTGATGACGCAAATAGCTACCTTATGAAAACAACTAAAGCCAAAGCAGCAAATCTGAATGCTTTTGTTCCAGGGGAAGAAAAAAAAAATAGCGGAAAATAGTTCAAAGTAATTTAAAAAATTTTATTACTAGAATAAAAACTTTGATCATAAAAAGACAAAACACAAAGATAAATTGCACAGTTGAAAAGCGGCACTTGATGTTTTCTGAAGAAAGATGAAATAAAAACGGGGCACAGTCAGATCAGAAGTGCTGAATCTCGACGTGTCTGCTTCAGCTGGTTTAAGCACTTCTGTGCCTCATGGTGGCGTTTTAATTCCTCATTTAGCTCGATGCTGAAAGCTCTGCACTAAAACTCACTTCAAGTGTCGCGGTTGTGTTAGAAACCAGGTGCACACTTTACAGTCTGGCTTTACTCTCCGACAGCCAGTCACTGAAACACCTCTCCATGGCCTTCCTGCTCGACCAGCTGCCAGCGTTCACCGTGGGAATGATCTTCAGGGGCCTGAGCCACTGCACGAAGCGCTTCATTTCCAGGAAGCTGCTGTGTTCACTGTAGGGGATTCCTGAAGCAAAAACAGACATCTTTTACCCCCAAAGTTTAACGCAGATGAGCTGTAATTATCTACACGTGTCAAAGAGATACAAGCTGTGGGGGTTAAGATGTAAATCTGATGAGGCTGCTCAATTCATCAGCTCATCTCTGATCTTTATTTCTCCATTAAGGCACATCTGAAATCAAAGCTGCAACTTGGTTTGAGGTAAAAATCTGACAAAGAGACAGATGTGCTGAAAGTACGACGGAATCTATTAGACCAGGAAGAAGTCTAGAAAAGGGCGTCACACGCTAAAGCAGACTAGCGACTGTTTTAAAATAAAATAAGAAGGTTTGGAACAGTCAGCCATCCGTTTGTCCTCACCCCTTCACCAGCTGATCTGAGGTCTGCTCTTAACAGATTTAGTTAAATTAAGTCCACTTTGGTGTTCAGTGTGTTCCTCCTACAGGCAGAGACAGCCACCAGTGACAGTTGTAGCAGATGGAGAAGATTTAAATCAGTTCTCTCCTTGCTCTGCTTTAGCGATCATTAAAAGGAGCAGCAATTATATGCTGTTGTGTGGCTGCAAGTCACAGACCAGATGACTGGATCTATTAGCTGCATCAAACACACAACAGGAAGAAGAAGTGACCTTGTTTGTTATTTATTAACCAAATCCCAACTTTTTCAGCTCTGAGGGACAACAGCAGACTGCAATCACAGAAATGACATCTTGGCTCCCGTCTTTGACTCTGCTCCCATTCCGCCTCACCGTAAATAGAGATGTTGCCACAGATCTGAGGCTGAACGTCTCCTAGTGACTCCACGTGCTCGCTGAAGGTCCAGCCTGTGGGTTTGAAGGCCACCAGCTGATCGTATTGTGTTGAAAAGCGTGCCAGGTGATCCTGCAGCTTCTGAAGGGAGAATTCAGACAAAACAACTGAATATGAAGCTCCTTCCTCTCTTTTAAAGTCAAGTTAAAGTCCCATTGGTCATCACAGACTGGTGGGATTACATCTGACCCATCGCTGTGGGGAGCAGTGAGCTGCAGCAGTGGCTGCGCTCAGGAACCATTTGGTGGTTTAACTCCCCAATCCAACCACTTGACTGCGTGTCAAGCGGGGAGGCATCGGGTCTTATTTTCTAAAAGTCTTTGGTATGACCTGACTGATTTGAACCCCGATCTCCCAGTCTCAGGGTGGACAATCTACCACTAGGCCACTGAGAAAGGGTTTTTCTGCCATCAGTGTTGCTGTAAACATCATTTGTGCATTACAGCATCTCTTTCTGATGACACTGCTCCGGGACTTTAATGAAATCACACAATAAAAAAGCCAAACTGCAGCTTTTATTTCCCATAAGTTAGCCTTTCTGTGCCCAGTGATGTGTGAGTTATACCAGCTCCAGGGCTTATCGGGGGTTACACAGATGGCGCATTTAATTATTCTGGAACTGCTGCAAACACATTTTGCATTTTTAAACACTAAAACCAACGCTCTGTTCTTTAAAATAAATGTTTTTCCCCACTTTTTACAGTGTTAACCAATAAACATGCAGAACACAAGAAAATCCTCATAAATGAGTAAAAACACCTACTTTGACGGAGAGCTGCATCATGGGCAGCACGTGAACCTGGGCGGCCTTCCAGTCGGTTGTGATCCGTTTCTTGATTTGTTCAGACTCCAGGCAGCACATGGTGTTGTATTTGTCTCTGGAGAGACAAACTTTGGACCCCAGGACCTCGGCCAGTGCTAAAAATAAAGCAGAACACCGGCTGAGTCAGCAGCAGAGCTGCAGAGAAACTGGATTTCACACGAGTTCTCTGTTCATTCTAACTGGTTATTGCTTCTTCTGCAGCAAAGGCAGAGACTCCACACATCTGCGTTTGACACATTTAAAATAACAGCAAATTTTAAAACTTTGCCCTTTTCCCGTTTCTGCACAGCTTGCAGCATCTTTTAAGTGCTTCTCCACAAAAACCATTATTCTAAGTGTCACCGGAGGACAGGCTGCCTCCACATGGGAACACACGCTCAACAACCATCCCTGCTGCTCCGGCTCCCATTTCAATGGAAGCGTTAACACCAGATGACCTTTAACTGGATGAAAAAGATACAAGGCCCCAGAAAATAATCCCCTCTCTATGCGTCAGGTTTAGAAATAATTACATTTTGCATGAAATACTTCCTGTTGATGATCGTACTTTTCCTAGTAGCACGCAGGTATTAACGTCAGAAGAAAACAAGTCAGCCGCTGACAAGTTCATCCATCTTTAGATTCATTTTATTTCATGACATTTCAAATCTAAGTCATCACGTACCCAAAAAGACCTTTTCTTTCCCCACCGAGTAGGATCCACACACCACGAGCGTACGCGGGTTAAGAGTCACCAACTCAAAGGCTGCATTGGCTGCAAAACTGATGACATCCTGCTGTGTGGGGAAGGTGTACTCTGGGCTGCAGTAGCTACAGAGACCAGAGGAGAATCATCTGGATTGCCACATTTCACTCAGACTGCAGCAATATCTGTTCAGAACAAAAACCCACGTGGTGTCCAAGTAGAGCGTCTGCACCCTGCAGCTGAGCAGCTCAGGGTACGACTCCATCGACGGGTCCGCTCTGAAGTCTCCAGTGTGGAGGACAGTCTGTCCATCTGGCAGGAAGAACAGCAGCATGGCCGCTCCTGGACAGCTGAGAGAGCAAGCACAAGAAGGTGAGGCTGGAGAAGGAGCACAGAGGAACTAGTGAGTGTCAGCTGAAGATACAAGATTGTCTTCAGTAAGGAAATAAATGAGAATTTCATCAGTGTTTGGATTAAATGGGTCAGTGAATCCAGAACAGCTGATGTCATGGTTGACTTACTGGTTGGCGTCCAGAAGGATGACCCTGACTCCTTCCACGTTGACCTCTGAGTTCATGGGTAGGATGTGGACATACTGCTCCGCCACCTTCAGCTTGCTCTTCACCAAGTTTCCTGTGATCTGATCGATGGAACAAAAACGATTATACACACAAACAATTAAATGATGCACCGATCCTGGTTCTGAGGACCACTACACACTTCCAAATATTACTGACCTCCTAATCTCAGTGAACTATAAATAACAGAACAGTCCTTCATTTATTTCTCATCGATGCGTAATTTCACCCAAACCCTAAAGTCACTGTTAAGTAATGTAACTATAGATGCACCTGAAATAAAGACTGGTGATCAGAATCTGTTCATATTCAACATCTGAAACTCAAAAATATGATTTTTTGGGAGGGTCTCTGAACACACCGCTGCTAAGCCACAATTCAAAAAACAGAAGGAAAAAAAAACATTTTTCCAGGTTCACTCATTTTCTCTAAATGCCAACTCATGCTAGCAAAAATAAATTGTTCATATGGGGGGGGGGGGGGGGGGGGGGGTGTCAGTACAGGCTGTCAAACCCAGAATCAGTGCATTTCTAGATGCACACAGACAAAACAAAAATAAGTTAAATATAGCAAATAAGTTACGATTCAAACAAATAAAGAATATCCAATGAATAAAAGACACACACACACACACACACACAAAACAAAGACCAACCAGCTCAGTGGCCTAGTGGTAGAGTGTCCGCCCTGAGACTGGGAGATCAGGGTTCAATTTCTGGTCGGGTCATACCAAAGACTCTGAAAAGAAAATGGGACCCAATGCCTCCCTGCTTGACACTCAGCAATAACGGGTTGGATTGGGGGGTTAAACCACCAAATGGTTCCCGAGCGTCGCTGTGTCTGCAGCTCACCGCTACTCCAGGGGGTGGGTCAAATGCGGAGAACACATTTTGCACACACACATCAGTGTGTGTGAACACTGATGGGACTTTAACTTTAAGGACCCAGACACTTTATATTTCCTGCACATCGTGTGATTTCTTTGCACTTTTCAGAACTTAATTGACTCGAGTTACGGTTATTGGCAAATTGAAATTCATTGCTGGCAACTGCAAGCCAATGTTCCATTACTGAGCCAACGCTGTGCTGAGAGATAACAAGTGGATCAGCTACGCCGCGTATGACTTCTGTGGAAGAGAACAGTCAGGAGGTTTTAATGAATTGCAAATAAACTCATTTAAATTTGGGGCTGTTTTGTGAACTCTCCAACAAATCCAAGTCTGTGGAGGGAAGTGAGTGTTCGCTATAGGAACCAGCAGACGTGTGTAAACTGGGTCAGCATCCCAGCTTCCTCAGCAAACCAGCAGACCTTGAAATGGAATCAAATTCATGACTAAAAAGACCAAATTCACAATTTGCTTTCTGAACTTCAGAGAGCAAACGTTAGTATTATAGCAAGTGTGTGGCTTACTCTGTTGCAGTAGACTGGAAAAGTGGAATTCTTGGTCAACCCTCCGTAATGGTCCGAATGGAAATGTGTCAGGAAGTAGGCGGTGATGCCCTGAATCTCTCCATAACTAAAAGCGTCAACAACAAACTTTGTACCTGCGAACATTTACGAGACGTTTTGCATCAAAACATAAGAAACAGCATCAAACTGAAGTTGTGCAGTCACTCGCTGACCTGGAATCTTCTTATAGAACGGACAACGAGGCAGCTGAGCTTCTCCATCAGGATTCCCCCTGTTCCACCTTCTCCTCCATCCTCGCTTCCCTCCTCTCCCAGCTGTTTGTTCACCACCAACTGAACTCACATCAGCTCTAGTTTCTGCAGCTTGGGACACATCTGCTGTTGCGTTTTTCCCCTGCCAGTCTCTCCTCTGTCTTTTCTGCCCTGAGCTCCTACCAGTTGCTGGAATGGAGGATGCATCAAAGTCGTTTGGTCCACTTTTAGTCTCGTTCTTACCCTCGAGCGGTTTGAGGCCAAAAAACACCCCAATGTCTGTCTGTTTGTAACCAGAAGCCTGCCCGGCCTTGCTGTGGCCCTTTAGAGGCGGCATGTTTCGTGACATTTTCACAGAGAGGCTTTGTGATGAAGAAACCGGAGTAGTTCTGCTGTGGTTCAGGTCTGGACTCCCCTGGCCCTCTGAGTGGAGCAGAGTCTCTCTTTGACGCTCTAAGGCAGCCCTCTGAGGCGACTGAAAGCTGATGTGGTTGATATTACTGGTAGATGCGCAGCAGGCCTCTGCTTCAGCAGCCGTGTGATTAGCAGGTGCTAATGAGGAAACTGAACCCAGCTGAGAGCTGGAGGGAGACGGATCCTTTAGCACAGCCTCACAATCTTCTAAATTATTGTCTATAAATTCAGCGAGAACCTCATCTTCACTTGAGAAGCTGTCATTAAACAGTATCACAGAGTCTTCATTATCAGACACTTTGTTATTAAAAAGAGCTTTTCTGCACTCATTACTGACTGCAGTCTCTGCAGGGAGTTCAGACAGAGGAGAGTAGGATATCTCATCATCAACCTCAACTGAAGCTTCATCTGTGGAAGATACTTTATCAGCTAGACATCCAGAATGATCCTTGACGGGAGGGGATGGATTCTCTATTTTGTCTTGCGAAGCAGCACTTGACTTTTGGGTCTTATTAGACAACCACCCCTTCTTTTTCTTAAAATCCTCTGGCGCTGGAGAGCGCAGCAGCATAAGGCCGTTGGTCCGCTTTGATGGAGGTGTTTTAGCATCCGTGTTGGGATGGGAGACGCTGTGGGTGGACAACAGAAGAAGACTCTGAGAACTTCCCTGGGTGGCTTCTACATTACAGCTGTCCACATTGTTGTCCATGAGTCTGTCCCAGCTTGTTTCTGCTTGCTGGGACAAACTGAGGACATCCGTGTTGCTGTTGGCCCGAGTGTGAGCGAGGAGCGTGTGGTTGAACTTCTTGTAATGGTTTGGAATGGTGGAGGAGCACTGAAGACCATCGGGGCATTCTGCAGGAACAGGTGAATGAAATTAATGCAATCTTATTAAAAAAGATAAGTGAAAAAGCTGCATAAAAATAAGAACTGACGACGGAAACAGGAAGTAAATGCTCCTGCTTTCTCTGTAATGTTGATCATGATGAATAATTGTTTCAGTTTCTTCTGAAAATCAACACCTTTGAGTCTTAAAACCTAAAAATGAAAACAAGTTAGTAAATGTAATGTCCAGCAATGGTCAGTTTTAGGTACAGTTTGACCATTCAACATCTGGTCAAAATGGAGACACGAGACTGCATGTGTTCCCTTTAAATCGGCCTGCCTTCATCCCATCAGCTTTAGCTCAGAGCCTCTCTGCAGCTCTGAACGCATGAAAACGTATTGTCAACAATGATGTTCTCTCCTCAAGGTCCAAGCTTCCCTTATCGTCCTACAGGATTCTTCATGCCTCCGAATAAGGAACATTTTCAGCTCGGATTAGTTGCTAAATCAAAGAATGATTTCTTAAATTAAATATGAACTTTTAAAACGTATAAGTTAGATAATCATTAAATAAATGTTTGTTTATTGCTACTTATTACAAATATAATATAATGAAATGCTTTCATTAATCTGTGATTGAAGTTTGAAATGAATGTTATGTTATGATTACATTGATTGATATATGTTTCAGCATGTTGATAGGACAAGGTCATCGACATATAAATACTGGACAATTCATTTCCATAGGCTCCAATAACACTTTTTTGAGGCCAAATGGGTGGTGGTGGCCACCACCGCCATTTTGACCGTGTCACAGGTTCCGTCAAGCCCAGACAATTCCACAAAAGGGAAGAGAGGTGGAGCTGAGGGTGGGTCTGTAAGGCTGGGATCAACTGTCGACACTCGGTCGAACTAGCTACAAGCTAACCTGAAGCTAACCCAAAGCTAACGCGGAGGTGGGAGCTAAGCTAACGGAGGTAGCAACCTAGCTACAACCAGAGTTAACTGTGCACAACACCAGAGCTTCTGAGTCAGAGGTACGCCGGGCTGACCGCTGGGTAAAACCGGGTGGAACACAGAGGTCTCTCTATTAGTGCAATTAATGCCATAGCAAGTCCTTTTGTCCAACAATTGCACAAAAAAAGATCCAAAAAAAGAATGCACACACACAGAGACTCAAAATCCCGGAGCAGTTTCCAAGCCAGACCGAGGCTCTACTGAGGCCTTTCCACGGAGCTAGCTCTGTGGTCACGTGGGTCGGATGCTCATTAATTATACAGAATTTTAGGCTTTTAATACACTTAAACAGAAGAGCGAGAAAAGAATTCACCCCCCTCAGAGTTGTCATGAGTGTAAACTAGATAATTTAAACCAAAAACATGTTTTGGTACCATGCTGTAAACATGTTTATTTCTGCTGTGAAATTGGTATTTTTAACATGGGAGTCAATGACGATTTGCTCGCTTCTGACACCAGCCCCCAGGGGATGAGGGTGGAACTGCAATTTTTGGTACTTCCGGGTTGGCCTCAGTTTTAGAGCAGCATTGTGGGGGCTTGGACAAGGTCATCACCATTTGCACTCACACAAGGACAAAGTAAAGTTAAGTCAGACGCGTGACACATAGATAGTCCTTTACCCCAGATCAGAGCTTCGGTATCAAGGAAGGCATGTTTCTGAGGTTGCATTGGTAATGTTCCTCAACTTGTCAACCTCTGGTTGGCTACACAGATCATCACATGAGAACATTAACATGAAGAGGGTCTCCTAAACGGGTGAAGTAGACACACATATAGTGTCTGATGCCTTTTGATAATAATCAACTTCATAGCTTAACGCAAACCAAATTCTTTACACCCAGAACTCAGCTTTCCTAGATACGGAAGTTCTGATAACATCGCATTCACACATAGGCACCATACACTACGCCTGCTCCATCTAGATTCATCCATCACAGTAAATGTTGGTTAACTTGTCATGTTTTAATTATTTGTGAATTAAATAATTACTTTTAGAAACCTGACTCTTTCCTGAATCAAAACGAAGTGTTTACAATCCCTGAATAAAACAAAGAATCCTAGAATCTTCTGATCAAACACAGTAAAGACCAAGCAGGCTGATATTCTATATTTATATAGAGTATCACAGCTTATACGTCATAAGTAGAGGTAATATATATTGAGCTCTTAAAGCACTCAATTTACCAAACCCTACATTCATTTTAATTATATAGCACTCATCACAGACAGAGACTCACAAAGTGCTTCACATTGATCAAAAACAAAACAAAACAAATCATAAATTCATAATGATTTTAAAACAGAAATAAATTAAAAGACCAGGGGTGTCATTTATCAAACATTGTGTAGAATCCTTACTAAAACCGTACTTAAGTTCAGCAAAAAAATGTACTTACGCCAAGTCTGTTTGTGATCTATCAAACATGGAGTACGCACAGCTGCACGCAAGCTCCGCTTCATAAATCAGAAGCTATCTAGAGAGGTTCTCAGCTGCTTTTTAGTCACATCCCGCCCTCACCACGCCCACTTACTTCCATAAATAGTCAATGCAAAGTGCCTTGTGGATCTCATGCATATACATAAGCCGGCTGCTGCAGCGCTCCGCCAATGACGATGGCGACCGTAGATCAAGGCAGATCAAGGAAGCACAATTTCACAGAAGCAGAAATTCTGGTACTTGTGGGTGAGGTGGAGAAATGAAAGGAAGTGCTTTTGCAAAACAAATAAGAGAAAATCCACGGAGTGGCACAGCGTTGCTGAAGCCGTCAATGCTGAGTTCTTCAGAGAGATCTGTGGCGGATATAAAAAATGGTCCAATCAGGATTTGATCCCCAGACTCCCAGGTGAAAGACACGCGCACTAACCAGTCAGCCAAACGGAGATCTCCCCGTCCAAGTAGCCAGGGCGCATGATCAATCGGGTCACAATGACAGGACACACACTGTCACAGACGCATGACATTCTGTCTCTATCTGTCCCCCTGCTGATTTTCTGCATTCCATATTCTGCGATTCAGGCTGTGTGTGTGTGTGTGTGTGTGTGCACGCGCATGTGTGTGAGTGTGTGCGTGTGTGTGTGTGTGTGTGTGTGTGTGTGTGTGTGTGTGTGTGTGTGTGTGTGTGTGCGTGTGGGGGGTCTTGTTCTGTGTGAAAACGAAGCAGTACAAGTGATAATGCTGCAGGATTTCATAATTTTATCTTCTCAGCAGCAGCACTGCAGGTGCTCTCCATGTCCAAAATGTGCGTAAGCAAGGTCCTTAGTCAACTTAAAGTGGCGCACAGTTTTCCACTAAGTTTTTTTTTCATAAATCCCAAAGTTTGCGTGGAAAGTTGCTTACGCAGTTTTCCAACCCATTTTGTGTGTAAGCAAGCTTGATAAATGAGGCCCCTGGAAAAACTACTTTCCATTTGATTGACTTCATATTTATCTTTACAGAAGTAAATTCTACCTTTCACAAGCCTTTAAATATCTGAGCAATCTGTTTAAAAGGTTTTACACTTAATGAAAATCTCTGAAAGTAAATGAATGACTTCCCTTTTAGATTTTTAGGTAGCAAAATCTCAGATCCCTGCTGAAGTCTAGTCAACAAACAACTGAAAGCTGCAGATCGAAACGTATTTTATGGATGATTTGATGATCAGTTAGCTGAACCTGGCTGCTAACATATGTGGTTTTTCTCACCCACTTTCTGAATTTAAAATTGAATAGAAAAATGTCATGAGCTATTTTTTCAAGCTGAGAATGTAGTTTTGTATCTTTGTATCAAAAAACTAACTATTTTTATGTCCAAATGCAAAATCAGTGCCAGAACCATCTGTTTTGTAACTCTTTGTCATCGTCCATGGTGGGATGATTCACACAGACTGATTTGAATCGTGTGTTGTAGGGCTGCAACAAACGATTATTTGGATAATCGATTAATCGGATGGGGTCTCGACACGATTAATCGATTAATCGGATTACATGGGGAAATTTTTAAAAACTGCTAGGGAAACGTTATTTCTCTCCTTCCTTCACTTTATTTAACACAACATTATTAGAAAACAGTTCAATAGCAGAAAAACAACATGCCATCACCTAAATTGTCTTATAAGGTGTATAGACAGAGACCCTAAGCTACATCTATCTGTGACCTAAAATGCTTGGTCCAAGTTAAACAGCTTAAGGGCAATTCTCATCTGTTTTGTTTGATCTCATCTGTTGACATATATTTTAAATGTAATTAAACATAGGCTGTGAATTAATCAAAATTGATCACTATTTCCAAAAAATGACTGAAAAAATACCAAATAAAACAAAAGTAAATGAATGCCATCCTCCTTGCGATGATGCCCTGGGCAACTGCCATAAAGTCACATCAAGAAATGCTGCTGATCATTCCAATGATCCCAAATAGACTCACATTAGGCCACATGAAAGCAACTGAACCCAAAAATATATTAACCAGTATATAACTGCACTCTCACACAACACGCCTGCAGCAACAGTTAGAACTCCTCCCTCCCTTTTAAAAGCGTTTTTGCTTCGGAGGACATTGTGGTTGTAAAACCACATGCTAGTAGTCTGGCCCCGGTGTGATCAACCAGTTTCTGCGGGAATGTGACGGCGGAACCAGGGCCAGATTAACACTTTGTTGTACCCTGGGCAACAATATTCAAGGGCTCCATCATCACGACCCGAGGATCACCATAATGTGGTCACATACAGAATATTTTACTGTAATATGCAGTAAATATACTCAATACTTGAATGCCTGACAACACGTAACCCGCCCAGAGTAACCTTTGACCCACCTCGTGTGGACTGACCAATGAGGAGAGGGTCTTAACTTGAGGCCCTCTCTTCATTGGTCATTCTGCATGAGACTGACTCTCAACTGACGTTCAGTCGTAGGCAGCGAAGATTCTCTGTGCAGTGCAAAAGCCCGGGTGGACAGTTTGTTTAATGTAGTGTGACCATATTTCCATTTCCAAACAAGAGGACAGGGGATCTGTGCCTATGACGTCACACTATGGCAACGCCACACAAACCATGTTGGGACCCATTTTTTGTAAGAACTAAATTAATATCAGATTCTGCCAATTAAAGGGCTCTAAAACAATTCATATATAAATATTTAGCATATTTAATGCAAAATCAAAATTTTCTGCTTTAGTTCTGCAACAAGGTTTTATTAATAATAAATTATTATACCTTTTGTTTTACTACAGCATCGGTACGCTTCCTGTGCATGGATTATTAAGGATGCTTGTTTCAGCTGTGAGATTAGACGATAGGATCAATGAAAAAATAACTAGTCACACACTCCATGGAAACTTTCAGAGAATCCACAAATAGTGGCTTTCAAATGGTTTTGTTACTTTTTGCAAGTTTATAAAAGAAGCAGATGAGACAGCATGTCTGATAATTTAGTTTTTCATCTGATAATATTAGAACATGTCAGTAATGTCTGAGGGGCTTTTATAAACACCGTATAACTAACACTACTGGAGAGGGCATGAATTACACAGAGGCTTCTGGGGAGCCCAGTTGTTGGGGGGGGGGGGGGCATTTTGCCTTGGCCCCCAAAATGTCTTGAAACGGCCCTGGGTGTGTGACTGAGTTTTGAAGGTGATCTGAATTGTATCAGATGTATAAATATGACATGTGTATAACTTATTGTTTTTTATAGGTAAAAACGTGTAGTGGTGATAAATCTACCTACATTTTACTTTTCAACACTTTGTTTTCAGCGCTTTGTTTCACTTTCAGCGCTTTGGGCTTCCTGACAGGGTTGCGGAAGGCGCTTTATAAATAAAGCTTTGATTGATTGATTGATTGATTGTTTTTTTGTTTTTATTGAACTATTTTCCTGTCCTGTCTGTCTCTCATCTTCCTGCATCTCCTCTTAATTCTCCAGAAAATCTGTTGCCTGGATTCTTACCTTTTCACCTCATCAGTTACTTTTGAGCAGATCAAAGGGATCTCCTGACCGAAAAGCGCAGAGCGCGTTTTCGATGCTGCGTGAGGTGACATCACCACAGCACAGGTGATGAGCTCCGCAGTAGCGAGCTTCAGGCACAAATAAGACAGAAAATAGAGAAGATGTGCAGACAAGAACGATCGTGTGCTAATTATAGTTTTTTGGTTGCGCCACTTTGAGAATGGACCGTGCGCTGGAAGCAGCTGCCTGGATCGCTGTGCAACAATGCGGAACCGGTTCGCAGCAGCGCAAGTCTTCCGGGCCGGCTCTCCCTCGCGCTGATCTGCCACTACCGGCTCTCCCTCACGCTGATCTGCCACTACCGGCTCTCCCTCGCGCTGATCTGCCGCTACCGGCTCTCCCTCACGCTGATCTGCGGCTCTCCCTTGCGCTGATCTGCGGCTCTCCCTCGCGCTGATCTGCCGGCTCTCCCTCGCGCTGATCTGCGGCTCTCCCTCGCGCTGATCTGCGGCTCTCCCTCGCGCTGATCTGCGGCTCTCCCTCGCGCTGATCTGCGGCTCTCCCTTGCGCTGATCTGCGGCTCTCCCTCGCGCTGATCTGCCGGCTCTCCCTCGCGCTGATCTGCGGCTCTCCCTCGCGCTGATCTGCGGCTCTCCCTCGCGCTGATCTGCGGCTCTCCCTCGCGCTGATCTGCGGCTCTCCCTCGCGCTGATCTGCCGGCTCTCACTCGCGCTGATCTGCGGCTCTCCCTCCCGCTGATCTGCGGCTCTCCCTTGTGCTGATCTGACTTGCTCTGGTCTGCGCGCAACGGCGGGCGGGATTCGGGAAGGGGGGGGGGGGGGGGCGCTTTTGGAAGAGTTGTGCGACACAACGAATCGATGACGCAATTCGTTGCCAACGCTTTTAGTAATCGATTTTCATCGAATTTATCGATTCGTTGTTGCAGCCCTAGTGTGTTGCTTCAACAATTTCTTCAGGCACTAGTGAACATCTGTTATAACAAGTAACCATGCCAACAGGAGAGTTGATATACACCGGGATGGATGATTAATGAACAGAATAATGCCCGTAATCAGATTCCAAATGTCCCAAAAGTTGGAAAACACTGCAGATGTAGACTAGAAGTAAACATGAGTGAAGGAAGGAAGAAGAGTATTCTTCTCCTGGTTGTCATGGGGATATAAGCTCTGAGCATCGGAGCAGGAATACATTAATAAGCATCATGTCAAGAGAGGCTAAAACAGATGAGTGTAAATGCAAATACAGCCCATCACGTGTGTGTGTGTGTGTGTGTTAGATGTGTCAGTTTTACCTTCACATTTGTCTCTGCAGGTGTCCAGACACTCAGCAACGTGCCACCTCTGGGACTGAACAACCAGAATGAAGAAAGGCATCTGGCAGATGGGACAGTAGTCTTCAGAGGGTGTCCCTGCCTCATGACTGTCTCTTTCGACTGTCTCTTTAGCAGGAGACAACAGGGTAGCCTCTAACCTGCTGTCTTCCTCCTCATCCCCAGCAGCAGCTCCACTTTCGCCTGATTCTTCTGTTTTACTCTCCTTGTGAGACTTGACTGGAACAGAAGTGTCTTTCCTGGACATTTTCCTAGAAGGGCATCTTCTGGTCACAAACTGTGATTTATTGCTTCTTTTTTTCTTCATGAGGGGTTTATAATCCCAAATGTCGCTTTCAGAGTCGTCCTTTTGTGACATTTGAACCGTTTCCCCACAACACTCTTTATTACACTAGTACTGCTGAAGGATAACATTCCAGGGACGACTGCTGTGCTAATACAGATGGTCCTTATTGCTTTGCATGAATTCTACGCTAAGTAATCATCGAAAAATAAGTAATTAATTACGACAGAGTCATGTTTTCTTAAAATATAACGTTTCCTCCTGAATGTTTTAGTGCAAGCAACACTTACCGCCACACAGTAAACCGGTTACTAACGTTAATACTCCAAGATCAACCCAGCCGCACTTTCTACACAATCACTGAACTAGAACTCCTTACTTAGCTGACTTTATCAGTTGAAAATATAAATTTTCATAAAACTTTGATTAACTCCGTTTAAAATAGGTGTAATATTAAAGGTTTTCTTTACAGGAACAATATTTTTGTTTCACGTTGGTATCGAAACCAGGGTTGGGAATCTACATCATTACTTTATAGCTCGGCGGTGATTGGCTGTTGAGATTCCCGGTTCTGATTGGGCAATTTGCTGTTGGGCAATCGGCGATACTTCCGGGTAAATTTGTTGTTGATGTCAACATGGCGTCCCAGTGCAGTCTCTCTACACTTTTTCCTTTACAGAGTCAGCTTGAATGTGATTTAGATGAGGCTACGACTGAAGATAAGGAACAACTTGTCCATCAGTATCTGAAAAAATTAGACGATGGGGAGGACATGAAGACGCCCGATTTCCACCCAGGTTGAATCAAGTTTCAGCTTTAGCCTAGCAAAGCAGCTCTGCTAAAGAGTTTTACGTGTGTTTTCTAACTTACCGTTTAAACACAGTTCTGAACTTGTTTACAAAATGAAGTAACTGATTACCTGCGTTTATTTATTTTTTGTGGTAACCCAAGAGTTAACTCCAAATGGTGTTGGACATAACTTTCTTACATTGCATTTTTTTGCTCCTAGTAATTTGAGCAGAGCTGCAACTAAATTTAAACTTTGACCAAAAAGTAAAGCAACTACTTTGTTTAGGTCTGACATTCCAGTCCTCATGAGGAACCACAGCAAAAAAAATAATTAAAAACTTTAAAAGAAACCTTTATTTCCAGCGGTTGAGACTCAATAATAGACAGCATGTCATTACGAAATTTAATGTTTTTCACTTTTATTCATGTAAATAAGTTTTTCTTAGACTGAGGCTCTTTCTTTTTCATTCATAATACTGATTATATTTATAATGTCTGTTACTAAACCAGGAAGGAGATCATATAGCTTGTTGGCAATAATTAATCACACCAGTAGATGGTGACCTTTAGCCCCACTACCCTGCCATTCAGCTGGAGTTTCTCCCCATAGATTACTTTATTGCTTCAATATTAATGCATAACTTGTTTTGTAACCAGCATAAATTAGCATAGTCCTCAGTTTCATCGTACAGTCTTGTGGAGTGATAAATAATTCTAATTCTCATTATGACATTGATCATGATTAATACAATCTCCAAAAATTCAGAAACATTGTGCATCGGCCCTGCATTATTCTTAGCTGTACTTTTCTAATAGAAATATAGGTATGAATCAACGTCTACACCTAAAGTAGCATTATTTTTATTTTTTCATTTTTTATTTTGCTTCTTTATTTCATTCAAAGAAAAAAATATGTAAAAAAAAAAACAAGATCAGAATAAAATCAATAAACATAAAATTCTATCCAAAGGAGCAGACAGAAGAATACATCTTATGAAGCTCTGCCCCACATCAAATATGGTGTAATCATCGCGTTATAGAGAGTTAACATTCCAGAATTATTCAATAAACTTTAAATTCTGTGTAATACTGCAATGGCCTTAGCTATTGTACCCTTAATGTGTATAATATGGGGTTTCCATGAAAGATTTTCATCAAACATAACACACAAAAATTTGATTTCCTTTACCCTCTTAAGTCCCATACCATTCATTTTCAACGATACGTTAATTTTCTTGAGATGAAGTGACAACCTGTTTGTGTCAAACCAGTTTGTGATTTTCATTAACTCATCATTTATCTCTTTGATACCTTCAGCAATGTTAGACCCTGAATGAAACAAAGTTGTATCGTCAGCAAATAATAAGCTTCCAAGTTGCGGAGATACATTCATTAAATCATTTATGTACAATAAAAACAGTTTTGGGCCTAGAACTGACCCCTGAGGAGCACCATGACCAATTTCCCTCAATTGTGATTTAATATTATCTATCTGAACAAATTGTTTTCTATTTTCTAAGTAACTTCTCGCCCATTGATGTGCCACACCTCTGATTCCATAGCCATGTAATTTTTGTTATAACCTAGCATAATCTATAACATCAAAAGTGTTTTTAAATCAATAAAAATACTTAGAAAATATTGTTTATTGTCTGTTGCTGTTGATATTCTATTATCCAATTCCATTATAGCCATAGCAGTTGAGTGATTGGCCCTGAAGCCATACTGTCCATTATTTAGAACACTATTTTCCTCAATAAACGTATCCATCCGTGTAACAAAGATTTATTCCATAATTTTAGAAAACTGTGGAAGCAGTGATTTTGGTCGATAATTAGTAACATTTTGTTTATCACCATTCTTAAATAATGGGACCACTTTAGCCATTTTCATTGCATCAGGAAATACTCCCAATGAAAGTGACGAATTACAAATATATGTAAATGGTTCAACAACAGTTTCAATTATACTTTTTACCATGATCATATCCAAATCCTCATTATCATTAGATCTTTTGTTTCCACAGTTTTTTACAATGTCAATCACTTCATTCTTTTCAACCTTAGTAAGGTGAATGCTATTAGGATTTTCTGTAATAGTATTCAGTTTGTCTTCTACGTTTGGTTTTGTACGTATCAAACTAGTCCCTACACTTACAAAGAAGTCATTAAACTCGTTAGTGACTTCTTTGAAGTCATAAATATCAGTTTGTCCCTTGACAAAGTAACTAGGCAAATTAGAATCAGCTTTATTTACCCTGGTGGTCACACTGTTTATTATTCCCCGCGTAGCTTGTGAATTGTTTTCATTTCTGTTTAACAATTCACTATAATAATTATTTTTGTGTTTCCTTATGATTGTGGTTAATTTAGTTGTATGTTTTTTATATTTTTCCTCAGCCTCCGTCTGTAATTTAAGAACACGTCTGTACAAAGTGTTTGTCTTTACACAAGCATTCTTTATGCCATTAGTCAACCAAGGATGAAGTTCACTACCAAACTTAATTTGTTGTAATTTACAATGTTTATTATTTAGTTCCATTAGGATTTTCATGAATTTATCATATGCAACATTAACATCCTTAACATAAACTTCATTCCAGTTTTGTATCCTGAGGTCATGAATAAGTGCATCTATAGCTTTAACAAAAGTCTTGTGACAAGAAGACACTGGAATCTTTAATCTAGTTATGAGAGTTCAAAATAACTCGTTAGAAGTCATATTTTGTGCAGGATTTAGTGAGTCTGTCGTTAATTGTTTGTAAAATTTGACCCAGCTAGCAGTGCATGCGAGGTAAGCATTAAAATGACTGTTTTGGTGTCATCAGGTTTAGAGTGGCTGAACACAGAGGGGCCTCTGTCTTTGAACAAGGAGCTGGCCGGTAAAGTGGTGCTGCTGGACTTCTTCACTTACTGCTGCATCAACTGCATGCATATCCTGCCTGATCTGCACCAGCTAGAGAAGAGACACTCTGTTAAAGGTTGGTTCAGGCATATAAAAAAGCCAAAATGGTGGGAAAGTGTTTTTATGTAAATGAGGAAATATTTGATTTTACACATCGGTGAACAAAAAAATCCACTTAACAGAAAACCCTTTAGCTGGTCGTATTTAAATAAAACAGCAGCTTTAATTAAATCTCTTAATCGGTTAATTACTAAAATGATTTAAAAAAATGAATAGATTCTTTTGTCATTTGTCTTAAAAACAAGGCAAACCAGAAAATGTTCTTTACTCCTCTGCATGTCTTCCTTATCAAGAACATCCTGCCTGTCAGTGGAATTTCCTTCATATGCGTTTGGCGAAGACAGATTGAAATGAACCGATAAGCTTCATAAGAAGAACAAAAATCACGTGATACAATTTAATTTCCCTGAAGTGCTGCACTGAATAACCAGCTATTCGCACACTCGCACTAATTATGCAAGTCTTTTAAACCTGTTCCACAACAGCTTTTCTCTGCTTTTTAAAATAAATTTTGTTAATGGGTGATTTGTTGGTGCTGGGTGAGACTGATGCTGTCTGTAAAACTTTGTTGGTTTGGATCTTTTCTTTTGAAAAATGCAGAACGGCACAAATAGCTTATTTTTTAAACAGACTTCACAACTTCTAGTTAAACAGGTGTGTGTGTGTGTGTGTGTGTGTGTGTGTGTGTGTGTGTGTGTGTGTGTGTGTGTGTGTGTGTGTGTGTGTGTGTGTGTGTGTGTGTGTGAGACAAATAAGTGACTGTACAGTGCTCGTTAAACCTCAGATCTAATTAGCTGAATAGTTAATTGATGAAAGATTAAAAATGACATAAGGTAGCTCAGACTAAAACACCGTGGCAGAAGGTTGCTGCTGATCTCATTGTAGATGCACATATTGGCTTGTAGTGCGGTGTTATTTACCACATTCCTTGAACCTTGACTACAATTGCCTTTGAGAGAAGGCAGACAAAGTGCTGCTGCTGCTGCGTTGTGTCGTCCAGCATCAGGGAAACGTGCAAGTTCACTTGAGAAGGGGAAGCTGCAGTACAACCTCTTATCTAAGCTGTGAAGAGATGGGAACTAAAAATAATCCCAAGCTGCAGAGTAACTGGCTGGGCTGCTCAGAACTGTATTCTGCTGTATTTTATGGTATTGGAGTAAAATAGCTGCTGCTTATGAAGCATAAACAGGATACCTGCCTTCAAAAGAGCTGAATTTATATTTTAAACCTCTGAACCTTAAAGATGAGGCTGTAGAAGGCTATTAGGAGATCTTGATTGAATGAGGGAACTAATAATCATGATATGGGACACCAAAAGGCAAATATTCATAAATTACTGCAAATCAATAATTTTCTGACTCTGGCCTACATGCATTTCCTATCGTGCTTTGAGTGATGAGCACAAATAAAGTAATATTAAAACTCACTGAATCCTGATTATTTATATATAAAACTGTCTGCCAGGGACCTTAAACTGTCAATTAAGACTGAAAAAGATAAAATGATGTACATATTTTAAGTAGTTCCAAGACTTTTCCCCCAAACATGTCAGTATGATTACATTTTATGTTTTTGTGAAAAGAAATCCTCATATCTTTACCAAATTGTAACCTTGTTTTTTCTTTCTAATCTAGTTATATAAGTAAGAATTACTACAATTACCAGAGGGAACCCATTAGCAAATTGTGTCAAAACATATGTACAAATATTCGTGAAGCCAACAGAAAAATAATTCTTACAAAAACAGTTGTAGCTCGTGCTGCACGGAGAATTCTGAATTTAAATGTTGTAAATCCTACAGAAACCAGGAAACTCTGATAGAGTCGTGAGTCTGGCAGAGCTCAGTGTCATACTGGCCTTATCTCTGGTTGGCACCGCTGTGAGTACATTTTGTTTGCTGCTCTGGTCAGTGAGGTGTGGGAGCCACCCAGTCCATTCACTCCCACAGTCTCCCCCCAATCCCCATCCCCCACCCAATCTGTGCTGCTACTGTACCCACTGGCAGAGGAAAGTGACAAAAATGGAGATGAGGAACTGAACAGAATAAAGAATAGAGGACAAGTTAGGACAGCAGAATGTCCCATAATATAATAATAATAGCTAATATGCATTTAGTTCTGAAACAAATGATCTGAAAACATATGGTCTGTTCCGGCTGCAGATCTCTTCCAGGGTCTCCTGCCTTATATCAAATTAAGTGAAATTGTGTTGAAGCTGAGTCGTTTTAATCAAATTTAGTTTATTTACATCTTTCTGTTTCAGAAAAGCAGCATCTTGAATGTAAAGTGTGTGCAATTCTGTAGAATGTAACTGTGAATCAGATACAGGAATAAAAGCATATAGCTAGTGCATGTTGCACAGCTTTTGTTGAGATTTAGAATCGTAGAAATGATTTAGTGACTTTCTGCAGCAAAACAGGAAGAGTCTATCAGGCTTTCTGCTTTCTGAGATCTTTTTAGGGAATTTTTTAGACTAAACCTGCTATCGTTGTCCTGATGGTCCTTTAGGTCCAGATTTCCCATCATGCTTTGTTTTAGTGAGACGCCGCACTCATGTAGGCGAAACAACCATCTAGTTGTGATCTTGCAGTTTATTATTTATGATTATCATTAATTAAAAGAAACATTTTTCAGTAAAGTGATAGCAGCTGTTACGTGTGATGGAGTATTGTTGTGTTTTATTGTCTGTTCATATTTGGATCCAGTTTTCTGACTGTGCTTAATTCCTCTCCTCCACAGATGGATTAGTGATTGTTGGCGTGCACTCGGCCAAGTTCCCCAATGAAAAAGTAAGTGTTGTTTGTTTGTCCGGTCTGTAGATTTTCTGCATTTTAAAACTACAACTGATCAACAAACGCCAAGGTTTTGTTTGTTTAGTTGGGGTGTTTAACGTGTGATAAACATTTGTTTAGGTGGACATCTCAGCCACGATGCTGATCTGCGTTGCCATGGCTACACTAAATTCAGATTCGTCATAATTCTCTCATCAACAGCTTTTTGAAGTCTTCAAGTTCACCATAATTGTTTAAAAAGAAACTCTAAAATCTGTTTTTTAGATTAGTGAGGAAACAGATTTCGAGCTGAAACTGTTAACTTTATATTTATTGTGTTACCAATGAACATTAACTACAAACCTCGTTTCTCCAGTTTGTTTGTTTTAGAGAATTTAATATCAGCTAGCATGACTCAGAATAACATTTTTCTAATATCTCTGTGGCTGAAGATGCTTATTATACTCTAATATTTGCATTATTTAGTCAAAAACACAACTTTTTGCTCAATTATTTGCACCAGAAATGATCAACACAGTTATTCAAATGAGGGTATTTAGTACAGCTTATGAATTAATTTTCCTATTCCTGAACCTCTGAAGGTCCTGGACAACATCCGCAGAGCCGTGCTCCGCTACAACATCTGCCACCCTGTGGTGAACGACAGCGAGGCATCGCTTTGGCACGAACTGGAGGTCTCCTGTTGGCCCACGCTGGTCCTGCTGGGACCTCGTGGAAACTTGCTCTTCTCCCTGGTGGGTGAAGGCCACCGCGACAGGCTGATGCTCTTCACCGACAGCACGCTCCGGTTTTATAAGGAGAAGAGTCTGCTGAAGACTCACTCTGTGGGGATCAAGCTGTACAAAGACTCTTTACCTCCCAGCATCCTTTCCTTTCCGGGGAAGGTGGCTGTTGACAGGAGCAGCCAAAGGCTGGTGATCGCAGACTCAGGGCATCACAGAATTCTGGTGGTGTCTTCTACAGGTCAGCTGCTGCATACCATCGGAGGTAAGGGGTGGTTGGAAGGTCTAATTCACATGTAGTAACGGGAAAACGAGGGCGAATCAGTGGTGATAGTTGGACTCTCATGGCTCAGCGACTCTCAGCGGAGTCACATGGTCAGCATGTGCTGGCCCCAGATCAGCAGAGAGGCTGGCAGCAGCAGTGATGGAGACATGCTGGTAATTGGCATTGATGTGTGAACAAACAATGGAAGAAAATGAAGGATGGCTTTTATTTCTGTGGGGCTGACCCAATCTTTTTATTTAATTTTTTCCCGTGTCCTGTCTGGCTCTGAAGCAAACAGAATTGATATCTGAATGCTGGTGACAAGCCTTACAGATTTACTCTCAGGTGTGACATCAAAGCTTCTGCTTTAATGTCACACCTGATACTTAAAACTTTATTGTTATTGTTTTCTGAATGCTTTATAATTCCAACCAGACACGGAGACAGAGGTGAAGGAGAAAGGAAGAGACGAAAGGATGGGGGGTGTTCCACAAAAATAAACAGTCAATCATGAACAAGAGTCTGCTTCTAGACCTGCAGAAAGAGAAAAACGAACCAAAAAATAAAAAAGGGGGACGCACAACAATACAACTAGAGCAAGCTATCACTGCGTCAACCTGATGAGGAAATATAAAATCAACATTGTTTAGCTGAACAATCACACGATAATAAATCACAGTGCATTTAGTGCCAACCACAGCCTTAAGACATGTGTTGAAAATGCCCAAGCCCTCTGTTGTCGTTTGGCTTCCCGGGGCTGGAGGCTAGGAGGGGGAGCTGACCGTCATGTTGGGATCTGGGGTGGTAGGATGCTTTGCTCAGTGTTGGGCCTGCTCATCATCACCCCCAGCAGAAAGGGGCGAACTCTGGAAACCGGTGATGGTTGTACCCATTGTGCAGCAGTACCGGGACCAGAGTGAATAGGGTGTGTATGGGGAGCATGAGTGGGTGTCTAGCGTTCATTTTGTAAGTCTTGGATTGTATGTGTATGTGTGAGCATGAGGGAGGGAGTGTGTGTCTGTGTATGGCTGTATATGTCAGACGGGGTCTTGGACTCCTCCCCTCTCTTGGGACATCTTGTGCTGCTACACACCTTCGCCTCCCCTCCCCCTGCCACATTTGGTGCAGAGTGTGGTGCCTTGGTCTGTCTGTGTTCACGGGTTTAAGATATTTGGAGTCTGCCTGATCGATCCTGGTGGCTGCCTGGTGGGATCTGAGTCCATGGGCTATGTTGGTTCCCCGGCAGGGCTGGTCGCCCCTGAGTCCCGGGGGGAATAAAAAAAAAGAAAATGCCCAAAGCCATACTTATGAGAGCACCATGTGAGCACCTGTGTGTGTACACGCGCATGTATATGTAAGGCTTCTCTATAGGAGCGTCCAATAGAGAGTGTGAGGGGCCACAGATCTGCCCCCAGAGATGTCTAGGAGATGGAGGAAGCTCCAAGTCCCAGAGATCCAGGAGCTGCCCCAGAGCACAGGAACCCCAAGGAGACTGTAACCAGAAAAGTCCTGGCCCCTCTCGAGAGGCGCAGAGGATCGCCCCGGGGGGGGGTCACAACCAGCAGCCAGCAGAGTCCCGGGAGATATCAGCGGCAAGCCCACAGGCCCGCCCGCAGCCTCCCACCCCCAAGCTGCCGATCCCGGAACCCAGCGACCCGGGACCCTGGAGCGACCTCATCTTTATGAACACACATGGATAGAAATGCTAAAGGTTTTGTTTCTAGATTCAGAAGAAGTCAGACGTTTGTAACTTTTCTGTGTCGAAAGCTAAATGTAGCCTTGAACAGTCTGACGTTGGCTAATGAGAACACTTTTCAGTCCCTTCTGTCTGTTGTTCACTCACAGAATGTTTATATGGCTGCATTACAAAGCTGTTAAACATTACTGAAGTACACTAAAAACTCTACATGAGACAAAACCTTCATGACATTTTTTTATTGTTGTTAGTTTTACAACATAATTACAAATAAATATTTATTGTTTTTTGATTAAATTGCGTATTTTAGATGATTATCTATTTTAAAGAGTCATGATGATTTGCTAGAATGAAACAGAACTGTGATAAATACTCATCAGACTTTATTAGGTGCATGGCTGTTTTGTGGTCAGTTTATTGATGTGTTTGATTTACTTTGGTTAAATGTTTGATTTTAATACTGAGCAGCCACAAAGTTAAGATTCAACAGCAGGTTTAGTTCAGAGGTCCAAACCCGATCAGGTTCAGAAACATTGTGCATCTGCTATTATTGGTGATAATTTAGCATTCAGATAAGGTGGAAAACGTTTAGATATCGGCTAACAAAAGTTGTCCACTAGATGGGGCTTTCACATGTATAATATTGAGTCATTGTCATGTGACTGAAGGTGGTACAGCTTCTTACCCCTCTGGAGGCAGGTGTTGCAGATTTGCAACGTTAAAACCTACCTACCTGGTTACTCCACATACGTATTTCATGAGCATTTTTAAACTCAGATGTACCCCTGAAGGACTTAGTTGTCCGTCCTTTTATCAAAACTTATTTTGAACCTGAGAGGGTTAACGTGACATTAACGTCGCCAACCTACACACATCTTTTCATTTATTTTATTATCGAATTCTTTGACATGGGCTAAATGATTTCGGGTAGAGTCAGAAATGTCAATAACGATACATTTTTGATATGTTGTCCATCCCTACTATGAATCCTCTCCCTTCCCTAACATTCATCACCATGTGTCCCTAATCATCCGTAAAAGCACCCGTCCAAATCATTTCTGTCTCCTTGTGCTGCGTGGGTGTTTTCTCTGGGAACTCCAGTTCACCCCCAACCCAAAATCCTGACACATTACCCTGATGGATCTGTTCAACTTGTCCGCAATCAGCATTCAAACAGCATTTCTACAAGAAAAGCAGTTGATATAGTTTTTATAATTTTATTGTTCTGCTGTATGTGAACCCACTCCAAGCAGGTTAGGTTAACAACATGTCTTAAGATTTGGGAAAAAACGTGTTGGTTTATGAAAGCTTGATTCAGTTTTTGTTGAGGTTTTTGTGTGTAAACACCTCATTTGTGTCCGATAACTTTCCGGAAATATTTTTTTAGAAACAGAGTAAGCTCTGTGACTTCATGCTGTTTTGGAAATGTTTATTTAGTTTATAGCTCTTACGGGGAAATGGAAATGGTCAGAATCAGAGTCTAAGCTTCATAAAGATTGAAACAAGAATCTGTTTTGAAAACTAGAATTGGTACTCCTCAAAGGATGCTTACACCGTTGAGCTTTACAGTTATTGGCGTCAGTATCGGTAATAGAAAAACCTAATTCTCACAGGATCAGCAGATCTGGACTAGAAGACACTGGAAGCATGTCTTGGTCTGATGAGTCTGGATTTCAGCTGCAACGTTCAGATGGTCAGGTCAGAGTTTGGAGTCACTGTTCAATGGTTCAGCATGTTGGTGATGGTGTAATGGCGGAGGGGTAATCTTGTCCAACTTTGGATTCCTCCGTACCACCTCAGCCTCAGGGTTTATGATGTTCCATGGATTTAGGCCCCTATGCTGTCACTTCAGAACCTGAGCTTGGATTCAGGAAAGTTTTGGAGCAGCTCATTTGTGGATCTCAGAGCTCTGGTCTTCACACCTATGCCAAAGGAAACATTGTCCAATGATTATTGACACTAAAACTAACACGCACTGCCATAGATACTAAAGAGTTTAGATTAGAAGATCATTTGGGTTCTGTCAGATTAAGGATGTGCTTCGTATATCTTTGACTGTTGGCTGGAATATTCAGATAGATCAGAGGAGCTCCTGTGAAACTGTGACAGGTGACGTCCTTTCCTTGTCATCATTTCTGTCACAGGATCTACAAGAGGAAGACAAGATGGTAGCTTCTCTGAAGCCTCCTTCAGCTCCCCTCAGGGCGTTGCCATCAAAGAGGATGTTGTGTACGTGGCCGACACAGAAAACCACCTGATACGAAAGGTAGCTTTCCTCCCGTGCTCCATCATGTCTGCATCGCTACACCTGCCTGAATGTGTTTGTGTTTCTGTGTCAGATTGACCTCTCACAGGGACGAGTCAGCACTCTAGCTGGAGTTGGTGCTCAGGGGACAGACAAAGAGGGTGGAGCCATGGGACCTCAGCAGCCAATCAGCTCTCCCTGGGATCTGACTCTTGGCACAGCTGGTAGGCTATTTTGTGGCATGCCGACTGGAATTTTATGGGCTATGTGTCCTTTCTCTCTGCTCACCTCACACTCTCCCTCTCTTCTCCACTTTGTATTCTCTCTGTGCCCCTCTCTGCCATCAGTAATTCCTAAATCTGTCCGATCTTTCATATCGTGGAGACTCCGACGAGCCTCTTTGTTCTGCATATCAGATTTTAAGCAGATTGAGGTGAAGGTGAAGAGGTCTGTTAACAGGAAGTGATTTAAAATCTGCCTGCAGATAGATTCATAAAGAGGTTGTGCCTCTCACATCTTGTTTGACTATTAAACCATCATCAGATGGTGCTCCTTCTGTCTTCCTGTCCATTTGGGGCACTTTTGATCTAAAAATTTGGCTTTACCTCAATTTCTGCTGCTTTACGGTGTTTTTTGGCTGTTTACTCTTAAAAACCAAAGTGAAAACAGCATTTTTAAGGTAAATATCAGAGAGAAAAGACTAAGTTAGGCAGCTGTAGTAACATATTGAAGATGTTTATGATTTATATATATATATATATATATATATATATATATATATATATATATATATAATAGTTTCTACAATCTGTTTAGCTCTATTAGATCTAACTAATCATTAGATGGTTATAATATGTTAGCTGTCATAGTGACATCTTAAGCACACCTGTTCCCACTACAAGCGGCAAAATAACTTCCATCAGTGTCTGTCTCCAGAGATCACCAGTACAGACACAGAGCTCCACCTGGACAGGTCTCTAACATTGACCTTTTGTGTCTTGCCCTCCTTGTGCAAGGTGTCAACAGTCAAGTCAGCAGTCTTCCCCATGATTGTGTAACCTAAAGAACTAGACTGAGAGACCATTTAAAGGCCTTTGCAGGTGTTTTGAGTTAATTAGCTGATTCGAGTGTAGCACCAGGGGTCTTCAATATTGAACCTTTTCACAATATCCTAATAGAGCTCCGGACCCCACGTGACTCTCAGTTAGTGGACGCCATTTTGGCATGCAAAAAAGGTAAACAAACACGGATGTAACCATGAACATGAACGGGATCCGCTTGGATTTTACTTCGTCGGAGTTTACTTCACACTTTAAAACAGAAGAAATCATTTTATATAGTCAGAAATTAAATAGACTGAACATCTCCGACCCTTACCGTGCCCCTGGGATACTTTTTAAAAACGCCAGAAGCTGTCGGAGCGGACTTCTTACCGGCACAACACCGGACCTGGCCGGGGAACCCCTTGGGATTTACCCGGAGGAGCTGGCTCCGGCGGCTGGGGAGAGGGAAGTCACGCTACTGCCCCCGCAACCCGACTCCGGATACGCGGATGAAAATGGATGGATGGACGGACAAATAACAGATTTACCCGTAAGTAGTCTCGGTGTGTGACCTGACAATTGATCAACCATTGCTTAAAAATTAAATACAGCTTAGCCGGTTAATTGCTGTGATCATAAAACACGGAAACGGCAGCACGCAGAACTCACGAGGCAACGTTTTACGTGATGTTTACTTGCTGCTGTGAGTAATAAGACAGAAAAAGCCACGCCAAAATAAGTTTAGGAAGCCCACTAAGAATCATAATAAAAGCATTTAAAATAAATACCATACACAGTTGAGGAAACGTTGGTTTAAGTACCTGATATGAAGTGGTCGCTGCATAAGTGAAAACCTTTACTCTCGGGATCCCACAGCTTCATTTTCGCCCGGTCATTAGCGCGTTTTATTACAGTGATCCAACGTTTGCGGCGCTCCGGATCTTGGAGAATCCTGTAGATGGCTCATTCCTTATGTCGTCCACGTCTGTTCTGCATCCTGGGGAACAACAGGAATCTACCATATTTCCCGTTTGATTGAGTTTTCTGACAATAACAAATAGTCCAGCTGCCGGCTTCTGCATGCCAATATGGCGCCGTTTCGATTTGAACTTTTGCATGCCGGGAGAAGTGACGTCAACTCCCGGAGCTCTATACTCTGAGATACTGAATTTGGGATTTTCATTATTTATCAATTATAATCATCAAAAATAAAACAAAAATATAAATCTGGCTCATTTGTGCTTGTTTCAGGGACTGACATTTGGACATCTCATCTCTGATTGACTAAGCAATGTGACTCAACCACTGACTCAGTTTGCTCTGCAACGTTGATGTTTTATCTCCAAAAATATTTATTTATTTGATTTATTTGTTTGTGAAGCCCTTTACTGCTGCCAATTAAGGCCGCCCAAAGTGCCGAACACAGACAATGCACAAAATCATAACTGGTCATAAAATATGTGTTGAGCGAATCAACTTATGCAATGACTAATATCAAATAAAAGACAACATGTGCATAATGCACATGTATAAAACATAAACAAACATGACATATTGTAACAAAAAAGACAAACAGGGCAGATGACCCTGCTGCATCTAAATAAAAGACCAAAACCCTTTGCGGCCACAGGGTTGTCGGTGCCTGTTGTGGTGGCAACCCCTGAGCGCGCTGGTGGACACCAGCGGTTAGGTATGCTGTCAAGGTGAAGCAAGAGTCCTATCGGGTCTTTTTGGCCTGTGGGACTCCAGAGGCCGCGGATGGATACCGGCAGTCCAAGCGGAATGCGGCTCAGGTAGTCGCGGAGGCAAAAACCCATAAATGGGAGAAGTGCAGTGAGACCATGGAGCAAGACTTCTCTGAGGCCGAGGTCACTGAAGTGGTAAAAAAAAAATCCTCAGTGGCAAGGCCCCGGGGGTGGATGAGATCCACCCAGAGTTCCTTAAAGCTCTGGATGTTGTTGGGCTGTGTTGGTTAACGCAGCTTTGCAGTATCGCGTGGACATTGGGGGCAGTTCCACTGGACTGGCAGACTGGGGTGGTGGTCCCCCTATTTAAAAAGGGGAACCGCAGAGTGTGTTCCAACTACAGGGGGATCACACTTCTGAGCCTCCCTGGTAAAGTGTATTCTGGGGTTCTGGAGAGGAGGGTCCGCCGGATTGCCGAACCTCAGATTCAGGGGGAACAATGTGGTTTTCATCCTGGCTGTTGAGCACTGAACCAGTTCTATACTCTTAGGGGGATCTTGGAGGGTGCGTGGGAGTTCGCCCAACCAATCTACATCATTTGTAGATTTGAAGAAGGCATTCAACCGCGTCTGCCGGGGGCTGTTAGGTCCCTGTATGACCGGTGTCTGAGCTTGGTCCGCATTGCTGGCAGTAAGTCGAGCTCGTTTCCGGTGAGAGTTGGACTCTGCCAAGGCTGCCTTTTATCACTGATTCTGTTCATGACTTTTATGGACAGGATTTCTAGGTGCAGCCAAGGTGTGGAGGGATCTGCTTTGGTGGCCTAAAGATCAGGGGTCTCATTTATAAAGCTTGTTTACAAACAAAATGGGGTCAGAAAACTGTGGAAGCAACTTTCCACGCAAACTTTGGAATTTATAAAAAATAAAAACGTAGCAGAAAAATGTGCGCAACTATAAGTTGACTAAGGACCTGGCTTAGGCACATTTTGGAAATGGAGAGCACCTGCAGTGCTGCTGCTGAGAAGGATACAATTATGAAAGCCTGCAGCATTATCACTTGTACCACTTTGTACTCTCACAGAACAAGCAAGCAACCCCCCCCCCCCCCCTCACACACACACACACAGCCACATCTTCGGTCGCCGCCCGGGATGCCTCGTTGGACGTTTCGTCCAGAGTCACTGGGGGGAAAAAACGAGATTTGGTTTTTTATATTTTAATGACGGACACATTTGATCTGCATTAATAAATGGCTTAAACTTTACCAGTCTCCTCTGCATGGCCAGTGTCTCCCTCCTTCTCCGGCACAATGCCATTCATGCTTGTCGGTCTTAGTACTGCTGAAATCCTAATGGCGAGCGGTGGGGGATCAGAGGTGCCAGTGGCAGACACACTCTGACGGTGGTAAAACATCTTTTATTTATTTATTTATTTTTTGCCTTCATCTTCAGATTGGACCATTTTTTGTAATATCTGACACAGATCTCTCTGAAGAAATCACAGCATTGACGGCTGTGCCACTCCGTGAATTTTCTCTTATCTGTCTTACAAAAGCACTTCCTTTCGCTTTTCCTTTTAATTAATTAAATTTTTTTTTTCCCATGTCCCGTCTGGCTCTGAAGCAAACAGAATTGATGTCTGAATGCTGGTGACAAGCCTTACAGATTTACACAACAGAGGTGCGCTAAGATAAGATTTTATAAATGAGACCCCAGGTCTCTGTTTTTTGCAGGTGATGTGGTCCTGTTGGCGTTATCGGCCAGTGAGTTCCAGCTTTTGCTGGACCGGTTCGCAGCCGAGTGTGAAGCGGCTGGGATGAGAATCAGCTCCTCGAAATCCAAGACCATGGTCTTAAATCGGAAAAGGGTAGAATGCCTTCTCCAGGTCAGGGATGAGGTCCTGCCCCAAGTGGAGGAGCTTAAGTATCTCGAGGTCTTATTCACGAGTGAGGGAAAAACGGAGCGTGAGATCGATAGGCGAATTGGTGCTGCAACTGCAGTGATGCAGGCGTTGTACCGGTCTGTCGTGGTGAGAGAGCTGAGCCGGAAGGTAAAGCTCTCGATTTACCGGTCGATCTACGTTCCCACCCTCATCTATGGTCATGAGCTTTGGGTAGTGACCGAAAGAACGAGATCACGGAGAGAAGCCATTTGAGGTGGCTCATGCATCTGGTCAGGAAGCCTCCTGGACTTCTCCCTGGTGAGGTTTTTCAGGCACGTCCAACTGGGAGGAGACCCAAGGGAAGACCCAGTACACGCTGGAGGGACTATGTCTCTCACCTGGCCAGGGAACGCCTTGGGATTCCCCCGGAGGAGCTGGCCCAAGTGACTGGGGAGAGGGAAGTCTGGGTTTCTCAGCTTAGGCTGCAGCCCCTGTGACCCGACTCCAGATAAGTGGCTGAAAATGGACGGACGGATACTTATAAAAATTATTAAAGAGCATTTAATTTTCAAAACTTATTATGAAAAAATACAAAACCTTTCAAGTAGTTTTTATTTTGCATTATGATTCATTTTCTTAACAATGCAACAAAAATATAAACAAAGATGAAGATATTTAAATAAAATACAAGCTAAATATGATGAAAACACAAATTTATAAATAGTTTGAACTGAATTTCTTCTACATTCTTCCTGATTGATTTAATTACGTTTCATGTTTTTCATTTCATCACAGAAGTTTTGTTTTGTTTCACTAGTGGATAAAAGCAGATGAAATGATGATTTGCTGTGTTTTTTGCTGACAATATTAAATAAGGTTAAAGGTTTATTGCTTTTCTCTGCCCCCGGTTGAACGATGCTCTGATCAGTGGGTCTGGGGTTATTGGAGGTCAGACCGGCGGTGTGCACCGGCCGTGCAGGGAGAGAGACAGAAAAAGAGAAGCTTCACAAAACTCGAGCATTTTTAACGGGAGACACAACTGCAGGTGGAAATTTGTTCAAACTAAATAACGGGAGATGTCAAAATTTGGAAGCCTGTGTGTTTATCATGTGTTAGAAAACTAACAGCATTTAAGGAAATGGTGTTAATGAGCTATTAACGCAGATGAGACTTGACTCTCACCAGAATTATTTACTGAGGATGTTTTGCTGTTCAATATCAGAGTCCTGAAACTGAAACTAGGTCCGTATAACCAACGTTACCCCATGAAGTACTCCTGAATCCACATGCTCTGCTGCAGCTCCAGTCCAAAGCTGACGCAGCTTGACAAAATTCATGCACAGCAGTGGTTGGCCCAATCTGATAACTGATAAAATGACATCAACCCTAAATTACCATGCAAATTATTTGAGTATTCATTAAGTATAACACATCCCAACCCAATGTTTTTGTTTCACCAGGACAAATGGTGTCGTCATCTGGGTAATGAAATATTTATTTTTTCACGTATCCTCTGTAATGCACTCACGGACCACTAGGGATACGCGTACCCCTGGGTGGGAATCACTGATGTAGGAGACTATTTTCATGTTCAGCCTGTACAAAAAAACTCAGTGACCGATTCTAATCAGAAATAATAATTAAACAATATTTTTCAGTGAACCACACCTTTAACAGATTTGATTATTGAAGAAGTTGTTCTGCTGCGTGCCTTTAGGGTTATGTATGACGACCTTCACCCTGCTAAGTGTGTCAGTGGGCGCTCATGATGACCAGACAGGTTGTTGTCATTTCTGATTGATTTCTGACTCGTTGACTAAATAATCCCAGCTGCTTGGTCGTTTCCATCCTTTGCTCTGAGTTAACCTCCCTTAAGCAAGTCTCCATCTTGCAAACACATCAGCAACGTTTGTGAATGGCTGTTGAAAGGTTAGGAGGGTATTTTTATGTTCTACCTGCATGCGTAGGCAGAGCAGAGGACAACGTGCTGTGGATCGCCATGGCAGGGACCCACCAGATCTGGGCTTTGTTCCTGGCGGATGGAAAACTGCCCAAAGGAAGGTGAGAGACTTCCCATAACCACAAGGTCATCTGGCAACAGCAACCTTAAAACACATTCAACTTTTTATGACTGGAAAAGAATGTGCATCTCCTAATTTAGATATATGTGTAGAGATCTCTGTTAGGTTCTTTTTCTCTAATGATTATTTGCTCTACAGCGAGTCCAAGGCAGGGATGTGTGTGCGATGGGCCGGCAGCGGCAACGAGGAAAACCGAAACAATGCCTACCCTCACAAGGCGGGCTTCGCTCAGCCCTCAGGGCTGGCTTCTGCCCCAGAAGAACCCTGGAGCTGCCTGTTCGTGGCCGACAGTGAAAGCAGCACCATCCGCACACTGGCTCTGAAGGACGGAGCCGTCAAGCATCTGGTCGGAGGAGAGCGGGACCCGCTGGTGGGTGCAGCCTCATGACAAACTCATAAACAGTAGAAAAAGAAGTCATACAAGATCCAAAGTGACCTTGAATTACCAGTCTCTAATGGATTTAGGGCTTACTTTTATTTTATTTTTGCTTTAACGTGTCCAAAAAAGACAAATTTAATGCTCAATCATTTAAAGATAATGAAGTGAACAGCAGCCTTGTGTGTCCTCTAACTCAAACCCTGTTCTAACAAACCTTTAGGCAATCACAAGGGGTCAGGGCTGCTGTTCCACAAATAGAAAGTATTGATTTATTTTTATTTTTTAATAAAAGTCACAAACAGCTTTTCTTGTTTTCTAACATAACACATTTTTGTTGTGCCGTAGTTCCCCTGCAGCTGTTTTGTGGTTGTTCAGGGATTAGTTTTGTTGTCCTGGTGTTTTATTTGAGAATGAATATCAAAGAGATGTGAATTAACTCCAGGGTCACATACAGTTTATTTATGTGACCTGAAAGAATTTATTTTAGTTTGAAGAATTAATTTAGGATATATTTATCAGAGGTAGTAAACATGTTTGGACCTGGCGTTCTGTTGCTTGTTGTTCAGCTGAGCTTTAAGAGTCATGAGTTGTTCTTGACGTGTTCGTATCTTTGTTTGATCTCATTGTGTCGACTTTGAACAGAACCTTTTTGCTTTTGGGGATGTTGACGGAAAAGGAGTGGACGCCAAGCTGCAGCATCCTCTCGGCGTTGCCTGGGCTGCTGAACAAAAGCTGCTCTATGTGGCCGACTCCTACAACCACAAGGTAAATGATGAATGTCACGAGGGGAGCATCTCTCCCTTCAGTCTCATTAGGCTCACTTTGGTTTAATTGGAAGGCAGTTAAACCTCATGTGTATGTATTAACATACAACATCAATGGACTTTTTGTAAACTGACCTTTAGTTTGTGCTCAGATCAAAGTGGTGGATCCAAAGACAAAGCTGTGTAGCACGTTAGCAGGAACAGGGGAGGCGGGAGACGCTCTGGGCCCAGAATTCAACAAATCTGGCTTCAACGAGCCTGGAGGACTCTGCATCAGTGACAACGGGAAGCTTCTTTATGTAGCTGATACCAACAACCACCTTGTCAAAGTGCTGGACCTGGACACCAGGACTGTCTCTGTGGTCAGATTTGTGTGTTTGTGTATTTTACATGTTATGCACATTCGGGCGATTAATTTTCCCTGAAAATATTTGCTGTGTCTGACTCTGAATAAAACTGTGATGTAGAAAGTACCTTTCTCCTTGCTTTGCTTTCAAACACACATCTAAATCTTCTTCCCAACAGTTCCCTGTCTTCGGTGAGTGCCTGGACTCGGCTCCTTCAAAGACTTCGGCTGCTACCAAAGTCCCAAAGCTGCCTAAATCAGCTGTCAGGAAGGAGCTGTCACTGGTGACGGCATCTGCAGGACAGACTGTCATCATGTCACTTATGATCTCACTTCCAGAAGGAGCCAAACTCAACAGAGAAGCACCGAGCTGCTGGGCGCTCTCGTCCGAGGGTGAGACAACGCTCTTACAAATGCCCTTCACATAAATGATTTCTTCTCATCAAGCCATGACATATATTTGACTTCTGACTAATGAAGTCTGGTTCTCGTTAGTCATCCGGCGTTACGTGCCTTTTAGTATGGATTCATTCATCAGGCAGGATTTTTTTCACACCTGTAGGGGTTAGATGGAAGGATGGGTGAAGTTCTTTTCCCCATATTTATTAAAGGTGTGGTTCACTCATTTAATTAATACATTTTTTGTTGTTTTTAGTAGGAATGAATGTAAGTCATACTCTGGGGAAATGACAGCTCCAGTGCACCAGTTTCAGGAACTAGAAGTGAGTCCCATCATAACTGAGTCTCAGATGACAGGATTTGGACTCTTATTTCCTGAAATTTGGGCATCTCACCTCTGATTGGCTAACCGTAATGTGACTCTACCAATTACTTGGTTTGTTCTGCAACATTTATGTTTTATCTCCACAAATACCACAAGCCTGAAGGAGTTCTTCTCTGTTGTGGAGTTGCTAATGCTAATTTGCTAACAGTTAGCTTCTACTAGTCGAGAAGTTCTCTGATGATTCCTGGACGCTAAACCAACAACCGCTTTCCCGTCATGAGTAAAGATGGGTGGGTCCATGAATGTTAAGTGACAGTGTGATGTAGCTAACTAAACATTTTTTATCACCTCACCTGGTTTGTTTTCATACTAGCCCTCCAACTTTATTTATATGTGCTTAAAAATCAAATGGTTATTTCTTTTTTATTTAATTAAAGGGAAACTGTCATAGTTAAGCAACAATGGTAATATCGTTCCAAAAAGTTGTATTTAGTCTGAAAAGAATATAAATTGTCAAAGCAAAGTTGTATAACACAAGCATCAAAATAGACTTATAAAAATACTGAACTTAAGCCGAAGAATCACAAATCGTTGCATGAAGTAACAATGACATCCTGTGGTCAAATCTGGGTACTGCAGTCCATGTATCCAAACATACAAGTCTGCTGTGACCAGATAGGGATCAGCACCAGAATATGGTAGATGACAAACAGACAGTACATTGATTAGTAGATAAATACAATTTATAAAAGTAGCTTTGGATCATTTTAAATCTGACTATTTACTTCTAATTCACCATTAAAATTCCAAAAGGGTTCAAATGAAGGCAACTGGATTTCTTTGGTTTCTTGAAGACATTTCACTTCTTATCTGAGAAGCTTTGTGAATTCTGACTGGAATATGGGAGTCAAGCTTATAAGCTGTAGCTGTCTATTGTTTGTCTAAGCTCGACTCTCCCATATTCCAGTCAGAATTGGCAAAGCTCCTTGGATGAGAAGTGAAACGTCTTCAAGTAACCAAAGAAGTCCAGTTGGCTTCATTTTAATCCAGTGTTTCCCTTACATAGGCGTAGCCATGGCGGCCCGCCACGGCGGAAATCCCAGCGCCACACCTACAAGATCCCAAGTTTTATTGTTTTTTTTTTTTTTTTCGCGCTGTTTCCCAAAGAAGCAGCAGGAACTACTCTGTTGTTGCTTGTGATCACAGCCAGCAGACAGCAAGGAGGAGGAGGCAGGGCAGGGTGGTTACAGCTAGGGATGAGCCGGATACTCGTTTCAGACTAGTATCCGGTACGGATAAAGCATTTTTGACGAATACGAGCATGAAACGAGTAAAACGAGTAAATATCTGTAATCGTGCTGAAGGAAAATCCTCACTGGGTAACTGACTGTCTTCACGCTCTGTGATTGGCCAGTCACATAGAGCGCCCGCCCCTCCCTACACAAAAAACTCTGCAGCCGGGAGCTCAGTCCAGCCCATGCATCCACACACACACACAGACACACACACAGACAGTAACGGATCTCTCTGTGCTTGCTTCACTGTTGCTGACATTTCTTCAGAACTCCCTAGGTTTTCTTCAGCTCGCCTTTTTCGGTTGAATATTTAAAGTCACATTTTTCGTAGCGTACGTGGTGCGTTTGACAAGGCAGAGCTGAAAACGGCTCGTGCATGCGTCGGTCACTGCCTCCGCTCTGGTCGGGTTTTTAAATTATTTTAACTCTCTCTCTCTCTCTCTCTCTCTCTCTCTATCTCTCCTTCTCTATCTCTCTCTCTCTCACACACACACCTTAATCAACAATGTTTTGTTTAACTGTGTGTGGGGAAATGCCAACAACGTTAGGAAAAAAATCAGTTTAAATGAAAAGAAATCAAAAGGTTGTGTCTGGTTCTAGCATTTCATATTTCCTAGTTCCTACTGCATGAGTTCAGATGTATTAATTCATGCACTTAAATATTAATGTTCTGATTTTATTGAAAAACTTGTTCTGTAATAGTTCAAATACTATTGTGATCAAAAATATTTAATCTCAATTCTGAGGCTGCTCTGTAAATAGTTTTCAAATAAACAATACACATATCAACTTCTGATCGATCCATATCAATTTCAGATTTAAAATAATGTATTGATGTAAACCACACCCACTAATTTCCAAATAATAAATAAGAGGTGCATTCATCTGTGTATCTCCTTTGATCCGCATTAGTGATATTTTCGGCACCAGAACAATGAAGAAGAGAAACAGATTCCTGAGTTTGTTAGTAATTTTATTTATTAGGTGTATCTGATCTGTTCTATTTTTCTCTGAAATGAGATCAAATCAGTGCTTCTATGGGTTGTCTCTCCTCTCTGCACTAGAACAATGTACTTTATTATAATGTTCACTGTAATGCATCTTGATGTTCTTAACACATAAATTAAATCAAAGATATTGGTCAATAGTGCCAAAATTGACAGTTTTAATTTGTGTTTCAGTCATTTTTATACTAGCTTAAAAATACTTCATTAAGTCTACTAAGCAGGGGTGTAGAAGGTTTTTAATAGGGCCAGCCCAGTAATGATCTTGGACCAAAATAAAGGGGGCAGAAAGTCAAATAAAGGGGGGCAGAAGGAGATGTTTTTCCAGACGCCAAGAAAAATTAAATGCCAAATCCCCCTGCAAAGTGTGTCACTGAGAGTTTAAAACAAAAATTATTCTTGTGCAAATATTGGTGTATTCACCTTTAATACTAGTTATTAAAATGCAGCAGTTGCTGGATTGGTGCAGTTCAGAGTGGAGTGCATCAAATAAAACAATATTAACATAAAGGTGAGATGTGTCATAATTTCACCCCCCAACCCCCACCCACCCATCACCCACCAACCAACCACCACAGCTGGAAAAATTCCTAGGGGAAACACTGTAATCCATTTGAATTACCATGACCTGGATGACTGAGAACCTTCACCAGCATATCACCGTTAGCATTGTTAGCTCAACGATAACCTTTAGCTCTTTACTCGATATTAGAGCCAATCACACAAAAAGGATGTGTGGCTTCAAGTAGAATATGTACAACTGAATAAATTATTTTTAAGTAGCGATTTGAAAGTTTGGAGAGTTACAACCTGAGAAAGAAAACAGTTGAACTTCCTTCAGACATTATTGAAAAATTTGACTGTTTTGTGATTATTTCACTGTAAAATTCTTACTTGGTGCAAGTTACGAGATGCTTACACATCTGGCAGGAAGCTAGGGTAAGCATAGAGCGTAGTGTGGGAAAAAACAAATGTCTGACTGGAAATATAACTATGTAAAACATCCGTGGATGCTGTGTCATAGAACTGGTAGGGTCACAATAGAATATAATGGTGTGTTTTTTGATGCAGCCAGTGTGTTTGGCCCTCGTTCTGCCACCAGTTGTACTTCTTTGTCAGAGCCTCTTCAATTCCAGCTGACATCTTGGCCTCACGCCTAAGACATTGTAACGGAATCAAAGTGATGTAACTAACCAAAGTTGTATTTTAATACACTGTTAGTAGTTCACTTTTATAAACAGAAGAATAGGCTGTTTTTATCATCAGGGAGTTTAATTAAACACTCTGTATTGACTTTGAGACAAGAAAAGAGAGAGAGATGGGATCGTTTGAGAATCTTTAATTTCTGAATTATAAATTCTAAACAATCTACCAGGACTACTCTGTGATGGATGAGAATGGATTCGGATGTTGTGTTGGTGCGTGTGTGTGTGAGTGTGTGTATCTGGTTCAGATTCTCTAGGATGACGTAATCGAATCTGGTCGTCTTTGTTATGACTAGGTATCACGAGGCTTATAAAGTGATGACATGAGCCGCTATTTTGCCGTGTACGTACCCAGTGGGGTCTCCCAAGTAGATCAGGAATTGCCAGGTCTGGAAACCTCGGATGTACGGTGGAGCTGTCGGTGCAGCGGTCACAACGTTTCAAAACCCGTCTGGAGGGTCGGCCCGGTACGATTCAGCAGCGTCAGCAGTTGCTCTTATTTTGAAAGGACGTCGTCTGGTTGTTAAACGACGAAAATCTCCCGTTTCACAGTTCTTAGTTTAAAGAAAACGCATCCGGCCAGGCTGCGCTTGTCTTTAGGATGATGGTGAATAGAACTGAAGTCAAAATGGAACTGACTTAAAATGGCGTTGCCTTGTTTTATATCTCTGAATTGTTGATAAGTTTCAGTAAAGTAGATTGGACACTTGAAGTCAACACCAGATTCTCCTGCGGCAGCCGAAAGCTCTGATTGGTTGGAACAATGTGTCATGCATTTCTATGGAGATGAGGATCAGTATGTCTGCACCGTAGTCCTGGTTTCATTAAACATAATTCATGACATATTTATTTCACAGATCATTCACTTGATTATTGTTGATCAACATCTGTTTTGCTTAATAATTTTAATCACAAATAAAGTACTTTGATTAGGTAAAGCTTCTTCTTCTCCTTCGGACTCTTCTCCTGGAATGTAAACAGTCTGAGGAACAACCCGACCTTGGTTTTTCTACACGGGTGTTATTGTGCACAGGGGCAGCTGTATGGAGTTGAAAACCATGAACTTCATAACCTTACAACATGAATGAAATCTTAATCGAAAACTTTCTTTGAAGCACTAGCAACATGTTATTAATTGTTGGACTTTTAAATCCTTAATGTTTCTAAAATGATAATCAACCATGGTCCAGCCCGAGGATTGGGTGTGAAGTGTTTTTTTGTTGATGCTGTGTGAGTGACAGCTGATGTTCTGCTCATTAAGTGTTTCCATCTCTCTGAGCCACGTAACAAGCAGCCAGCCATATCAGTGTGCTATTTATGGAACGTTTCGATAAGACGACATGCCTTGGTTCACATAATTAGCCACCAGGCTATGTTATGTGATCCTACGCTGTCCTATTATACAGAGTCTAGACTCACGCTGATCAGATCAGCACTGAGGCAGGAATTTTAATGGATCCAGTAAGGGGTACATGCCAGATCAAAATTGTATTTTTTTATTTTTTTTGGGTGGATTTTTACAAATGGCTTCCATGGGACCCCGTGTTCGACATCAGCTTCATTAATCACTGCGGGCACGGATTCTGTCAGAATATTTTCTCACAGTAAATCCAGCCTTTTCCTCAGGACTTTATATATATCTAGAAATATATATGCACATATACATACATATATATATATATATATATACACATGTGTGTGTGTGTGTGTGTATGTGTGTGTGTGTGTATATATATATATATATATATATATATATATATATATATATATATATATATATAATTTCTCTTTTTTGTTGGGAGCATAAAAAAACAATGTTCTCACACACTTCATCTGATTCAGAGTGTGGGTTCAGGTTGGTGTTGTGCTTCAGTCAATAGATTGCACAGACCACATTCAACAATAAATTTAAATGCCAGGCTGACAGACTCGTACAAACAGATCTGATCTGTCAGGGCTCAGACTAAAATGGGTCTAAACTATGAGCTGAGCTCAGTTTTCATCACGCTGGCTGTGAATTCTCCAAGGAGGGCTCAGTCAGTCAGCAGGAAGGTACCGCATATCCATGTTCCCTCATCCAGATTGCTGCAGACCTTTCCTCTGCCTCTATGAGTACTTGGGCTTTTGTGAATGTCTGGGACACAAATGGTTTAGACTAGGAATGTCCAATATTATCGTCCGATATTGACATGAAAATGAAATATTGGGAAATATCTGCACTCCTTTAGTGACCCAGCTTTTACTTACCATGCACATGTTACACATCAAATTCTTCGGCTTCATCTCCACTCTCTCAAAATGTCAAAATTTGACAGATCTGAGTTTATTTATTTTTTTAGATATATTAGTTTTATTTGGCACAGCTTGTGAATAATGAGGAATTAGCCCCGTGTAGGGGCTCTGCTGTCTCTTACAGCGTGTAAGCACTAAAACAAGCTCATGAATCTACACCCAAGACTTGCCTTTCTTAAAACATTTATGAAGATCTTCATTTGTCATTGTAACTACAATATAAGCAGAAAATACATTACTGACTATTACAAACATCTTAGCGTCAGGCTTAGCAATTAGCCTCCCTTAGCATATGTACGCTAATGCTGCTTACATTTTATCGACTAAATAACTTTAACACAAGCCCAAACGTTTCCTAAAGAAATTGGTACTTTCAAAGACAAATGTTCTCCAAGAAACAAACGTATAAAGCTAAATCAGCGTATTCATGATCCGTTTTTTCTCGTCTTTCTGCCTAAATGTAAGATTTAAACACTGGGAGCGTTGGAAACAGAATCTACGTCAGTGATAGGTTGAGAGCGCTCACTCTGTTGCGTTTCACACCGACGGTATAACAAACATTGTATCTGTATTATCTCAATCTGATCAGTTTTCAAAACCTAAAACATTTTAAACTTATCATTAATTCACTTGTACTATTTATTAATTTATTAATCAATCTTTTCCCCATCATGAACTTAATAATTATCGGTGGCCTAAAGGCGTCACAGAGTGCTTGTCACTCTTACCTCAATGAGAAAGTCATTCAGCTGCTCTCAGAACAGGAGCATCGTAGCTTTTTCTTTTTAAATGACTCGTAAGGCATTGCTGTTGGAGACAAATTAAAAATGGCTTTTTTTCTATTACTAACTTACATGGAAGTAGTTGCAATTTTGCAAAAAAAATTAATCATTTAGGTGGCTGACATCACATATCATGTTCTGCCGGTTTACCCGTCTCCAAAATGTGCTTACGCCAGAGTCGTAGTTTCCTTAAAGGTGTGGTTGACGGAAAAAATATTTTTTTTATATAATTTCTGATTATAATCAGCCACTATGGAATTTTCATGCAGACAGAACCTGAAAAAATCTTCTACACATATCTCCTGCGTTAGCTAGGATTTGAAAATCTTCACATATCTATGTCACACTGTGAATTTGCATTCATGACCCCGTCAGTTTTTTTAAAGCCCACACAGGAAGGCTTTTTTTTTAAATTGGCAGCGAGAAGAGAGAGCGGCAAGTGGCTTTGTGGTAGTGACTACAACATGGCTGAATGTGTTCTGTTAGCCAATCAGAAGCAAGGTGTGTGCATATGAGTAGTCCGGCTGTTCTCAGCCCACTTCTGCATCTCAGAACAGGAGCATCATAGCTTTTTTTAATGACTCATAAGGCATTGATTTACACTGCAAATGTATTGAATAAATGAGTAAACCACACCTTTAAAGTAGCCGTTAAGTGGTTTTTTTTTTATAAATCACAAAGATTGCATAGAAAGTGACTTTTGCAACTTCATGACCCTTTTTTGCACGTTGGGCCTCCGGACATTGTGCCTTAGTGAGAGTTACAGCAGCAGAGATGTCTGAAAGTTACTGTACGTGTTTTCAGACATTATTAGTGAACACAAAGGTGTCTGTCTAGTCAGAATTGGAACCGTTGGTCTTTCTTTAGGCCTCTTCCTCAGATATGTACTCTCCCTTTGAGCTTTTGTTTAAAATCTGTTCTGTAGGTAACGACTGTCTGCTGGATGGTCAAGCGACGACTGGAGAAATCTTGGATCTCTCGCAGCCTCTCTCTGTCTCAGCCAGACTTCCAGCTGTCCTACAGAATCCAAACGCCAGCTTCACGCTAAGCGTGTGGGTCTACTACTGTATGGAGGGGGGAGAGGCCTGTATGATGAAGGCAGCATCCTTTCACCAGCCTCTTCTTCTAAACAGCAGTCCTGGAGGGGGAGAAGTCACCGTGGCGCTGCCTCTCATCATCTAAAACCTTCCAACCACTCAGCATTGAGATTTACACCCATGTTTGCTCTGTTTACAACATTGAAAGAAGACGAATTGGTTTTGAGAGTTTCTTGAATGAAATGAAAATTGAATTTCAGGCTCCTCAGATGCTCGTGCTATAGCATACAATACTACAGTACTGTGATTTATTAGCCTGTAAAAGTATTTGCATTATTTTTTAGGCTGATACTTGAAGTTTATAATAATAATAATAATAATGCATAAAATGCAGCAGCCTGTTAACTATGAATTCTATAACAGCGGCAGGCTTATGGATCAATACTAGGAGAACTTTCCCTCATGTTATGGAGACTGGATGAACACGGATCATAAAAGATGTTTTCTGGATTCAGTAGAAAGCCTGATTAGTTTTAACAGCAGGTGGTAGAGATGGACTTCCTGTTGGTTTATTGTTGAAGATTTACTCATTTCTACAACAAGAAAATTAACTTTCAGATCTGGTGAATAGAATATTTTTCTACAACTTCAAAGAAGTCATTTCTGAACAGTTTCTGAATCAATTTCCCTCAAAAGCATAATTTCTTTTTCATAAATTCCTTTCTGTTCCAACTTCACCAAAAGAACTCAGTCAAAAAGAAAATGTTTATTCCAGCTGGTGTTTAATTCGGTTTTAGTCTGTATTTGAATATGAAAGCTCTGAAACTATGATTTATACTTCATACAAGAAGACCATTACAATAAGAAAGCAAAAGTATTCGGTGTTTTATTCATGTGAAGGGAGAAAGAATAGAGGCTGATATGAGTGTCATCCGTCTGTTCTGTGGGGTTAAGGATGCTTATCTATGCAGAGACTCATGTTTATGAAATCACACTGGAGAATATGTGTTTGTTGCATATTTTAAGAGTTTGGGATGGTGCCTTCAGGAGCTCCGTCTCCCAGGTGTGTGTTTCCTGTGTGCAGCTGATCATACTCTTAATTCTTGCAGACCTGTTTGAATCAGACTGTTGTAAAAGTTCGAAGTGATGACTAAGCTGCCTGTTCTCGATAAGGTTGGACTGATGACGCCGAGCTGGAGTTAAAATCTCACCGCCGTGCTTGAACAAAGGGAACACGACATCAAATACACGCTCCACCAGCGATGATGTGGATCCTCCTCAGAGCTACGAGTTGTTTAGTTCATCTTTCTGTTTGATGATGTTTGTCACCCTCATATTTATTTCAGATGACTTGGTCCAAGTGCCTCGGGGAGGGGGTGGAGTCTGTGTGGATGGCGCTTATGAAGCAACAACATTACTGTTCTGTAATGAAAGGAGCTGTATTGAAATGAAATGCACACGTTCAGTCAGCGCGCCGCCCAGCCCCCCCAAACTATAATGGCTTTGTTTTGCTTTTTAAGACGCCTGTCCCCGGTAGGACCTTGTACATGCATTGTCTTCTTAATGCATCACAGCAAGAAAACAAATCTAACTAATAAACATATTTATCTACTCCAGTTTGACTAAGTGGACTCTTCTCAGACGCTGACGTTTGGAGGTCGTTTATCTCTGTTTTATTGACTTACAACTTTACAGGCTGCTGTGTCAACAAGTTTTCTGCATTTTGTTTGCATTCATCCACAATAACAGGAGCAGATTCTGAAAGGGCTTTTTTATGTCCTAAAGGAAGGACAAGAAAACGCACAACTTTGTTTTTGAGATTTACAGGCAAGAAAAACAAGTTTTGAATTTTGTTTTAACTTAAGTTTTCTTACTCACTGGGAAACTCAATGGTTAATTTATTTTTACTGAACAGAAACAAGAATGGATAACATAAAAGTTACAGAGTCCCTTATTAAAATCATGGACGTAATTTTCACTTTGGAAGTGGGGGGTACACGGGGGGGGGGGGGGGGGGGATCTTTACAGTATGTTCTAATGGAAAACAGGCTTCAACACAAATGGTTGTTTTCCGCTTGGTCCTAGAGCTCAACCAGTGTCAGTTTAATATAAAGTAATATTGTTTTTGGATGATAAAAAGTGCAGGAGTCAAAACTTGAATTTGGAAAAAGTGGGGGGGACATGTCCCCCCTGTCCCCCCCAAAATTACGTCCATGATTAAAATGACTGTTTCGTTCATGGTCAGTTTATACCTGCTGTAGACGGATGTTTGAATGGCTTCAGCTTAGAGAAACGGGGATTAGTTCTGATCAAAACTAAGAGCTAAAAGCTGGAGTTGCAAAGTATTTTAATTTCAGGCTCCTCAGATGCTAGAATCTCAAAGGTAAAAAAAAAATGTGTGCATATAGAGCACAGGGCGGGGAGAAGCTGGCGAGGTGGCTGGAGGAGCGGCAGGTGTGCAATGATGGCAGGCTGGGGTGTGTTAGCAAATCAGCGCTCTCCTTATAAACAGGAGCCAAAGAGAGGAAGTTGTCATAAGCTGCAGCGGGTGGTGGGCGGTTGCAGGCCGGCCCTCCCTTGTGGGAGGAGGAACTCTGGTCTTGATTTCCCTCTTTCCTGTTCACTCTCTCTTTCTTAACCTTTTTTTGATCACAATTGCCTATTTTTGCTCATTTTAAATACATTTTTAACCATTGTCTAAATTCTTTTTTATATTTTTACATTTTTTGTTTTTGTGAGGCGCCTCGTGATTTTTATCTTGAGAGGCACTTTATAAATGATATTTTCTTCTTCTTCTTGACCCGGTTGAGGTTGCAGTTTTTGCAGAAAGTTGTTTTTAATGGGGAAGCACCCAGATGGACATTGTGATTGTGGGTAATTGGAGACTGTGAAGCATGTTCTGCTGCAGGTGACATGTGGGAGCGAGGGGGTCTCTCTTCAGGTCTCTGGCGTGGTGGGTTGTTTTTAGTTTGGGGACTTTGTTGGAGGCGGGACTGGCGTAGTGCGAAGGTGCTGCTGGGCTTTCTGCCTGCTATCGGGACTTGCAGCAGACTGTGAGGGGGGATAGCAACAAAAGAGTAGTGCTGCTGTCTGAAAGCAGCTCTGATCTTAAAATGACAAAGATGTTAATACATCATTTTTCAATCCTTCACACTAATGTCAGTCTCCTGTCCCACAACAGTTTAAATCTCCCCATCTTCAGGTCCAGTCCAACTGGAGTTTCTATATATACTTACTTTAAAACTACTGGCGGTGTGTGAGGTGACTAGATAACATTTACATGAGCCGCTGTGAATATTTGCAGATCAGAGAGTTACTTGAAAGATAGCAGCAGTAAACTTTGGCCTTGGTTGCATCTATACTTACCAGTAGCTCATGAATCCTGAGGGATAGATATGTTATTTTTCAGGGAGTTATTTACAATGGGCGTGAGAGTAAATGTACCTTCTATGTAGAAACACACTTAAAAACAGCTGGTTAAGTACATCCAAGACTGCAACAAGATCTGCACATTTGTAGCTAAGACAAGGAAGTTGTTGCACAACTCATTCTTAGACGTTGGTTTGCTGGTTTGAGCAAACTGTTCTGACTCTATTAATCTGTCTGTTAAAAGGCAAAGGTGCACCACTACACACACACACACACACACATTTGCTATTTGAAACATCATCATGAAGCATGCTCATGCATTGACGGGACAAAAAATGCTATGATTCCACATGTTGGAGGGATGACCTCTTCTGCTGACTCTGATTAAACTAAAGGAGTGGAGAACCCTGAACAGAAAACCAGCTTCTCTGCCTCTGCAGAGACATTCAGGCTTGATCTGTACACAGGCCTGAGCTGCTTCAAACTTGGACCTTTCGCTCTCTGCCTGTTTTCACACGAGGTCAAGCTGCGGGGTCGAGCTAAACCTGCTGCACTTTTCTTCCTCCGGCATCCAGAACCTACCTGAACACGTGTGGGAGGTAGCTGCTGTTTGGTGGTGGAGAGCACTTTAGAGAAAGTAGGAGAGTTGTTCAAAAGTATTAAAAGTTCAATTACATCAAAGAGATTCAAAAGCGTGGCTTTACTTACATCAGAAACATTGGATTTAGACCCTGTCCTATTCAGAGAAGAATGGCTAAGTGTTGTTTTAGGTTAGAGCAGAATACTCCTCCTGTTGCATAGTTAACTTTACTGAATAGACTGTGATGCTGGGCAAGTTTTACTGAGAAAATAGTTTCTAAAAATATGTGTTGATCCAACAAGGCAAAAACAGTCTTATTTACAACTGTGGCCTGGAAGAAGGCAGGGCCTTTTGAGGAAGAAGGAGAAGGGGCTGTAGCTTAAAACAAAATGTAAAATAACAGAAATTTGACTAAATAAACATGAAAATCTATAAATAGATTACAACATTCACAATAAAATGGTGATTTTTAAGGTGTGGAATACTGAAAAGAACATTTCATAATTATTATTCCTAATCATAATCAGTCACTCTGAGTTTTTCATGCAGACTGAATATGAAAATAGTCTCCTACACCTATCTGCTGCATTAGCTTCTGATAGAAAATAGGATTTGAAAAGCCTGACAGATCTACGTCACACTGTCACACAACAACCATGAACTCACCCATCTTGACTCACAACGGTGAAGGTTGTTGTTGGTTTAGCGTCCAGGACACAACAGAGAACGTCTCAGCTAGTAGAAGCTAACCATTAGCATTAGCAACATCACCACACAGCAGAACTCCTCCAGGCTTGTGTTATTTGTGGAGATAAAACATCAACACCGCAGAGCAAACTGAGTCAGTGGTAGAGTTGCATTGCTGTTAGCCAGTCATAGGAGAAATCAGAATCAAAAATCAGAAATATGACTCAAAACCTTCAAAGTCTATTTAAAGTGGTTGAGCAGGTTCCTTTTGCATGAGATAGCATAGCAGCCCAGTTTCTAACCAAAAACGTTAACACTGAGCAAGAATGTCTGCAAAACACTTTAAAACTAAACCAGAATAGTTTTCCGTTCAAAAATGATGAAGATATTTATTTTGTGTCAAATCTTGAGAAAACTTAGTACAATAGCTCCAACTGTCAATGACAAAGTTAAAGCTGTGTATGTGGTGGGAACCACTCTTTAGCCCATTATCTATAAAACTGGCATGTTGTTGTTGTTGTTTACTATTGTTGATTAGCTGTGGGGCCATCTTTAATCAGGCAGGGCTCCCGCCAACAGTTGGATGCATAGTGTTCAGAGTGCATCATGCCAATTACTTTTAGCTGTTATTATAATGAATGCTGGCTCAATAAATGAAAAGAATGACTGAGTTGTAGCCATTTTTGTGTTTTCCCAGCTTCGGCCAGCAGGGATCAGGTAGACTCCCAAAGAACAGTTCACTGTTTAGGCGTGGCTTTATTCTTAATTCAGAGATATTTGGGGTCACATGGCTTGAAAATTGCTATTTTGTGGGTCTGAAGCTGAAGCGATTACTGCTCCAGGATCCTGACTCAGTGAGACAACTCACATCTGGAACCACCCAGATGTGAGGCTCCACAGTTTTAGAACAAACAGTTGTGTGAGTGTGTGCCATCCTGTGTAAGTGGCTGTTGCTGCAGAGACCTGAGTGGTGGAAAATGGCTGTTTTCTGCAGATAGTAGAAAATGCAGAGACACCAAGAGGGAGTCTCATACAATGGAAGATGTTTCATGGCTATTCTCACACTCCGATACTCAAAAGGAACGATTGGGATTCTGCAGGATTTTGGAAACATGGGAACTTTGCTGCGATTTGGAAGTTACAGCTGGGTAATAAAACAATTCTGGTTATCCACTCATTTTAGGAAGTCTATTAGTGTTTGCATGCTTTAGTGTTACATCCGTTGATTCTGCTTTTTGTAAAAAAAAAAAAAAATAAATAAATACTTAAATTTAACAAATCAAAATAATAAGAGTCTTACATGTTTATAAGAAGATAAAATCACCTGTATAGTCATAGCGGCCTTTCTGCGTGGAGTTGTGTGTTCTCCCCATGCATGCGTGGGTTTCCTCCGGGTCCGGTTTCCCCCACAGATCACAACATGCCCTATAGGTTATAAACTGTACGTCGCTTTGGATAAAAGTGTCTGCTAAATAGATAAACATAATAAACGTAAAATGTGGCTCTTTGCATTTATTCAAGGAAAAATTAACAATATGTTGAAGGAACTTTCAGCCCTTTTCTCTGACTCCGTCACAAACACCAGAATCATTTGAGAAAACAAAACATAAGATTGAAATATTTTTAGGGTGTTTCACTTAAAAATCTTTCAGCTGACTACATAATATTTCAAACAATCAAGAATAGAGCTGTTATTACTTCATTCTAAGCTTAATTTATTCTGTGCTCAGCTCACATGTATGTAAAAACTGTGTGTTTAAATGTTTTTCCAGAATCAGAAGTTGGTGTTACCCATGCATAACAACTTCATCACAAAGAGAAATATTTAATATTCCTCTCGGTGATGCATGAGCACCGTTCTTGGGTTATTTTCTCTGCTTCATCAGAAGTTTCTGCCTCTAATGGTGCAAATGAAGGGAAAACACTGAGAACAGGAAATGACTTAACCCTTTACTGGTTCCAAATGTGTGACGCTTAATTGTTCCACCAAAAAGCCAGCAGGGAAAAACATCATAATCAAAAGGCTTTGCTTCAGCCTCCACACTTCAAGGTCAAAAAAGAAAAAAGTAAAAGCATCCTGCTGCTCATAAAGGTCAAGGGGGAATGTTGACTTCTCTTCGTTGTGTTGGGTCGGGTTGTGTTGCAGCCTCAGCTGTGGGGTCGCTGGGTTCATGGGCGGGAGCGTAAATCGTCCACATAAAAACAAACAAAGTTTTGTTGTTTTCCATTTTTGTGCAGACTGTTTGTCATGAGGCCGGTGGAAATTTACACATCTGATGTGGACTAAGGTGTACAATCACTCAGAGCTCAAAGGTTATGGTCCATATTGACATGACAGCATCACACAGCTGCATGATGGGAGTCTCCTGTTCCACCACATCCCACATGTTCTGGACTGAGATCTGACTGTGGACATGGTTGGAGTCCAGTGAACTCATGGTCATGAAACCAGATGATCTTCGTGACATGGTGCTTTATCCTGCTGAAAGTGTAGCATGGGTTAGGGTCCACGTGGTCATGGATGGACATGGTAGTCTGTGGTGTTTAAACCAGGCTCAGGCGGCACTGGGGGTCCAGAGTGGGACAAGAACATCTCCCCCACACCATTGTACCACGCTGCAGCAATGATACAAGACAGGACGGATCCAGGTAGTTCACATATTCTCTCATTAACATTAATTAAACAGCTGAGCAGGTGCAGAGTGACCAGTTTATTTAAAACAAACTCAAGTGGGACAGTGGTGAGTCTTTACATTGATGCATTTAATAAAATCTGGTTGTGAGCCAAACGCTTCTTTATGCAGCTGTGAGGCCAGTCTGCAGGTCTGTGTTGGGTCAAGTCTCATGTTTAAGGAATGTATTCTCAGAGATAAAAATATAAGGAGAAAAACAAGTTCTGGACGTGATAGCAAGTGGTGACAGGAGGGAATTCCCTCTGGACCATTGTGATGTTTCCCATATTTGGTGCACCGTTTTCCCACAGTGTGGGGTTTTGCAGGATAAGAAATTCATGGGTCAATTTCTCATCAGAATATCGCGAATGTTCAGTAACTGTCCAGTGCATGCAAAATAAGACTGGAAGTCTGCTTTTCTCAGGTGCAGCTTGTTTCCTGATCCTCACCGCTGGGACCGCGGGTCCCCTGGACTTTCTGATTGGCCGTGATGAGCGGTGATGTCACCGCCTACCTCGCTGTCCAGGCCGGCGCGGCTTCGAGCGCAGATCCAGAGAGAGAAGCTAAAACACTCCGTGGAGTCGGCGCGCGATGGGATGAGAGCTGCGTGAACGCCGCACAGCGCTGCCTGGATGAGACCGAGCTGGTCCAGCTCACAGAGCAGCAGCCCGTCATGGGGAACGGTGGTGCGTTCTCACCGGTGAACCTCCACAATGGCACGGGGAGCGAGGCGCCGGGCTCCGCTTCACCTGCGTCGGAGCAGTGGATGGCGGGGATGAGCCTGGTGATGGGTCTGATCGTCGTGTCCATCGTGTTCGGGAATATCCTCGTGATCGTGGCCATAGCCAAGACGCAGAGGCTGCAGACGCTCACTAACGTGTTCATCGTGTCGCTGGCGAGCGCGGACCTCATCATGGGGCTGCTGGTGGTGCCGTTTGGCGCCGCGCTTGAGGTGCGCGGCTCCTGGCTCTACGGCTCCTTTTTCTGTGAGTTCTGGATCTCCGTGGACGTGCTGTGCGTCACCGCCAGCATCGAGACCCTGTGCGTCATCGCCATAGACAGGTATGTGGCCATCACCTCACCTTTCCGCTACCAGAGCTTGTTAACCAAGGCTCGCGCAAAGGCGGTGGTGTGCGTGGTGTGGGCCATCTCTGCGCTGGTCTCCTTCCTGCCCATCCTGATGCACTGGTCCCGCGACAACGTGGACACAGCCTGCTACGAGAACCCGGAGTGCTGCGACTTTGTCACCAACCGGGCGTACGCCATCTCCTCATCCATCATATCTTTTTACATTCCTCTCCTGGTCATGATCTTCGTTTACGCACGGGTGTACAGAGAGGCCAAGCAGCAGCTGAGGAAGATCGACAAGTGCGAGGGCAGGTTTCACAACACCCTGACTGGACTCACCTCCAAGTGCAAGAAGAGGCCGTCCAAGATCCTGGCGCTGAGGGAGCAGAAGGCGCTCAAGACGCTGGGCATCATCATGGGGACTTTCACTCTGTGCTGGCTGCCCTTCTTCATAGTCAACGTGGTGCGGGTGTTCAGCGCAGAGGTGGTGGACAAGAACCTCTTCGTGTTCCTGAACTGGTTGGGGTACGTGAACTCGGCCTTTAACCCAATCATCTACTGCCGGAGTCCGGACTTCAGGAAGGCTTTCAAGAGGCTGCTGTGCTGCCCGAGACAAGCCGACCGCAGGCTGCACATCAGCTCCTGCGACCTGTCCCGCTGTTCCGGCGGGTTCGTGTCCGCGCTGGAGCCCGGGACCTTGGAGATGTGGTCGGACTGCGCCGTCCTGGACAACAGCGACAGCAGCCTGTTGGGGACAGCGAAACTGTCCCACTCAGAATCACAACTGTGAAGAAAATAAATAAAACCATCCAGATGGAGAGTTAAAAATATATACAAACAGGAAAGGATGCGCGTAAAATCCAAACCATTCGCTGTAAGTGGAGTTTTCTGTACAATCAGTTAAAGATCTTGGTCTTAATTCATGATGCGATAAATCCAAAATCGAAGGTTTGCGCTCACAGAACACAAAGCGCTTTTTCCACAAAAGCGCACGAGCCTTAAGGTGATTTATTACTGCAGATGCGACTTTTTACTCCAGATCTGTCGACTAGGCGGCTATAATATTAAAAGAATCACGTTTTGCTGATACCTTTGTTCATAATGGGAAACAATGTGTTCCTAAAATGATCACTGAGGCGCTCCAAAACGCGCATAACGTGGATGCCAATAAGCTCTTAATTACCTCACAGGCCGGTGCAATTTATACGGCAGGTACTTGTTTATATTAAACATAATGTAAAATAAGTGTTTTTATTTATTCGGTGCGTTCTTTTACAACATAACCAAGTGAGGGGTCAATAATTGCGCATTTTGTGGTGTGGAATGAGGAATCTCGAGCCTCTGTCTGTCTCCGGCTTTACCAGCTGTTTTAAGGTGGTGCTTTGACGTCTGTGAAAATAAAAAGAACCTTTGATTGCTTAGTTCTGTTCGAGCTGTATTTCCTGTGAGTGGTTTTATATTAGAACCTGATCCACAGGCTTTTGCTCCATGGTAATTTCTTATTTTTTACATAATACTTTTTTGAACTAGATGCAAAGTTTAAAAATAACCCAGGATTTGTTAATAGCCTGCCTGTTAAATGCTTCCCTGCTGGCTGAGAACAGCTGGAATCTGATTGGCCTCCAAGGAAAGATATGGATAACATGAATTTTAAACAGGGATATGAGATGTATATGTTTATTGACTCACTTTGTTCCCATACCACAACATCACAAATCAAAGTTTTAATGGAAGCACACTGGTATGGGGCGCCGATTGTGAAAATAACACGTAACATAACAGCTAAATTTTACACTTGGCTGCAACTATTAAAGTTAAATCTAAATATTTTGAATCAGGTCTAAGAGTGTAAAATAAAATCTAAATGCTTAGAATCAAACATAAATATACAAAGTGAAATTTAAACGTTAAAATGTAAAAATGTGGTGATCTGAATCTAAGAATTTAGAGTCTAATGCAAGCTCAGACAAGTGCTGGACAAAGTACAAAGTTTATTTAAGAGATCCCTTAAGGGATCCAATTTCCTTTGAATGTGTGACTAAATTTAACCAGAGATCATTTATCAATGTTCTTAATTTGCACAGAATTAATTCCTGTTCTCAAACAATTCAAATAATTTTATGTTTAAAAGATTATCAAAGAGATTAGGAGTATAAAATAAAGCATCATTTTATGTTATTTACTTATATTCTTTGAAAAGTAAACTTCAATTTTACAGCAGTTTAAAACCACCAAATTTTACTTTTTTTGTTTAAAAATGAATTTCAATTTTAATATTTTAATATCATGTAGACTGATGTTCACTAAGACATAATATTGTAATTCTCAAAATATGAGAATAACATTAGCCCCCCATGCACTTGAGGCCTGCATTGCTAACTTTCATTTAAAATACTTTTACTCCAGTAATATTTGTCCCTCCCTGTTCACTGTACAAGTCTAAAATGTGGAGATTATTCTTCATACATGGCAAACCTGAACCTGTGGATCAGAACATCCATCCATCCATTGTCTGAACCCGCTTGTCCATGTAGGGTCGGGGGGGGGGGGGGGGGGGGGGCTGGTGCCTATCTCCAGTGGTCAATGGGCAATCAGGCGGGGTACACCCTGGACAGAGAGCCAGTCCATCGCAGGGATCAGAACATATCAACTTGTAAAGCAACTAAACAATGTCTGTCTGTATTTTTTTAATAGGTTCACACCTCTGGTTTGTGACGTGGTGAATTGGTTATTTCAAAGAACACAAAGAGCAAAAAACTGGGGATCAAGCTTTTGTCATTTTCTTTTAGAAAATTGACATAAGAAACATGAGTAAAGAACATGAGTAACCACCAAACGGCTGTGTTTCTCTTATGATCCAAGACCAATCAGCTGCTGACAAAATACACAAATGAGTTTAAAAATGTTTGGTTCATTTTCATTGGTATTTTATAAAATTAAAGGCTCAATGTGGGAAAAAATTAGACTCTTTAGCACCACTTAGTTCAGATGAGGTATTGCAACTACGGTATCCCACATGCATCAAAAAGGCAGTGTTTCATTGTGGTGATGCTTGCACAGCTGCAACGGAGAGGGAGATACTATCACTGACAACTATAGGGCCAACCACAGAAAACAATACCGTATTTTCCGGACTATACGTCGCTACTTTTTTCCACGCTTTCAACCATGCGGCTTATAATGAGGTGTGGCTTTAGTCAACCAGAAAGGATGGATGCTGGAAAGTCTAATGAAGGAATGGTTAAAGGAGTGCTACGGAAAGCGCCCAGGAGGATTATTTTCACAGTAAAACGGCGCTGCTTGTTTTCCCAGCTTCACCCCAGGATGATGATAGCAACACGGACAGCAACACTGACATAGCCACAGAAAAGGTATGTGACGAAGCTCTTCTGAGGCTGTTCAACTCCGACACTGAAGATGACTTCAGTGGTTTCAGTGCGCAGGAGGATGATGAATAAACTAATCAATAACTTTTCTGTTTTGTTTGATACTGATCAGTTCGGTTACGTTCAGTTAAACTACGTTTTCAATTCAGTAGATATCTGCGGTTTTTAGCCCGGTGCGGGGCGTGCGGCTTATATTGAGGTGCGCTCTATAGTCTGGAAATTACGGTATACACCAGCTTTCAATCGTTTGCATATTTTATTTCCTGTTTCTGCTGCTCTGCTACTTCCTGCAATCAGCGTCTCACTTCTAACCGGCAGCATTTCAGACTCGAAACAACAGCAAAAGCATTCCCCACAGCTGGTCCTGCCAAGTCACAAAATCACAGAAGAATTGCAACAACATGCATGATTTCGGAAGATCACACAACAACAGGTAAAGAGAAAGATGACAGCACGTATCCCAAAAGGTCTGTGATTCGTTTTCTGTTCTGTTCACCTTGACTACGGACGATTACCTGAACATGACTTTTAATCTGAAAGTTTCTGGATTTTTTACATTGCTTTTGTGTTTGACGTTTGGTGGATACTTTGCAAAAAACATCTAAATAAATGTAATTGAAAAGTATGTTTAAAGATGTGGTTCACTCAATTATCAATACAATTGCAGTGGTCTCTAGTAGGAAATGATACCTTGTAAGTTGTACTCAAGGACAAAAAAGATCAGATGCACCTGTTTCAGGAAGTACGAGTCAGCAGAAGGAGAAAGTAGCTTCAGACGGCAGGATATATTGCTTTATTTCCTGATAATTGGACATCTTGCCTCAGATTAGATAACAGCAACACAACTCTACCACTGACTCGGTTTACTTTACAGCATAGATGTTTTATCTCCACAAGTCTGGAGGAGTTCTGCTGTATGGTCAAGTTGCTAATGCTAGTAGTTATCTTCCACTAGTCCAGGCATATTCTGCTGTTTCCTGGACGCTAAAACAACGACCTCCTTTGTCAAAGACATGTGAGTCCAAGAATGTTAATTCATTAACTGCCAGCCATTTTCTGACCAGAAAGCGTTTTTGAGCATTTTTACTGTTTTTTGAAGAGTCACAGAACATTGTGCTTTATGACCATGTAAACACCAAAACTACCTAAAGAAAGAGTAGAGTCACTTCTTACAACAGGAAGAATCAGTGTGTTTGCAGCTTTTTAACATTCTTTCACAATTTGTTGCCGAAGTGTGAGCAGCAGCAGTGGCGTGTCCAGATCTTTTAAAATGGGGTGGCCCAGGTGGGGCACAACTTAGTGCATGGGTGGCACCAATGGTAATGCTTTTTTTGTTTTACCCCCAAGCCTTTTGTGGACAATGAAAAGCCTATTTAAAGGTAAATTAGTGTGGTGGCACCTGGGGTGGCCAATCAGATTCCAAGGGTGGCATGTGCTATCCCAGGCCACTCCCTGGACACGCCCCTGAGCAGCAGAAGCTTTTCCGGTTAGCACCTCGCTTTTTCAAAGTCAAAGTCAAAGTCGTTTTTATTGTCATTTCTACCACATATGCAGGACATACAGAGAAACAAATTTTCCACAGCAACGTTCCAAAACGATCTCATAATTCATGGATTTTCTGCTTCCTGATCACCCGATGTGTGACACACGCAGGTGAATAACTCTTTAAAGCTTGATGTTTACTTGGGGGCTCATTCCCAGGTCCGCCCCGTTAAAAAATGCCATTCATCGTCATCAATGGCATTAAATGAGTTAAATAACTGTGGGACATAGATCTGCCAGGTTTTTCAAATCCTCAAGTTTCACCGTCTATTTTCTATCAGAGGCTGATGCAGGAGATAGGTGTAGGAGACTATTTTCATCTTCAGCCTGCATGAAAAATTCAGAGTGCTCAATTTTAATCAGAAGTAATCAAAACTTTTTTTCAGTGTTCAACATCTTTAAAGGGTAAATGTAACTTTTCCATATTTCTAAATCATTTTCTTGAGCCAGTGTGCGCTAAAACAACCCATTACAGGGTTAATGAAATGTCACTCAGACCCCCATTGCCCTCTGTCGCCAGAATACCACACTTGCAACTTCAGAGCACTGGTCGGTCTGTTGAACTTAGACAATATGGAGCTGACATACCTGGTGCTGCAGTCTGCTTCCAGCCTGTTTCTTGCATGTTTTAGATCATGAACACATCTGATTTATTTCATTTAGTTATGCATCACTCCTGTAGACACTAATGAAGGCTGAAGAGGATTTTGATTTATCTTCAGAGGAGATGAATTTTGCTATCTACTAAACGGACACTAGAGGATGCCAAAAGCAAGCCAAAACTGCCTAATCTCCCTTTAAATAAATAGCTTCTTTCAAAACTTAGGCTACAAGCATATCAAAAATAGGCTAACAGCATCAGATACAAAATGTATATTAGCAAAACAGTAGCACATTCTTGAGAAGTTTTGAATGAATTACAAATGAAAATTTTGCTTAAAGAGGATTAAAGAGTGTTATAGGGATAGGGTTAGAGTAAGGAACATGTATTATAAAATGTTACGTCCCTCAGTTCGCTAGGAGTGATGAGGTGGTAGAGGGAGAAATAAAGTGTGAGTGTGGGAGGAATAATAACAAAGTGTAAGTGTCCAAAAGAAAGTATTTTATTAAACAAAACAAAAGTCAGGAGTTCACAGCTGACAAAACGACTAACAATAGATGCCGAGCCAAAAGGGCTGGAAAAAAAGGGGTTAACCGAAACGCGAAAACTATACACTTTCCAAACTAATGGAAAGACGCCCTGTTAAGCAGTGACGCCGGGAAAATCCAACCTCAAAGCCAAAGTCAGTTCCTAAGACGACGGGTTTACCAGAAAGT